GCAAAAAAAAAACCCCTGATCATCTGTACAAGATATAAGGTCACTCTGTGAATTATTCATTTTAATGTATATTGTACAGCAAAAAAAACAGTGTGTAAGATATGAATTTGTTACTCCCACATTGCAACATGTTCCAGTCTTTAATTTTCAGAAAAATTGGCACTTAACTGTTCTTAGGGGCTTTCAGGTTGTACTGTACTGTACTGTATGTACTACGGACTTTGCACTTATAAGGATTAAGTTACCTATTTTTTGATTGTAAGTGTGTTTTATTTTTGTGCCTGTAGCTGGACATTGTCTTAATCTGGATAATTAATCGCAGAGTAGTGGCAGTCACATGGCCAACAAAAGGCTACTCCAAACAGTTGTGTTGTGAAGTGCACTTGTTTAGAGGTACCTGCAAAGTGGCAGTAGACAACATATTTCAGCATCTGTCCGCATTCTCCATGTTTTCTTCTATAGCATTATGCTAGCAAAGAGTAGCAGCATGGATTCTGCTCAGCACTTCTGTCACTCTGGATCTGATGTAAATGATGCGAAACACACTTTGAAATCCAATTTGAGCAACTGCACTAAGATGTATGTTCAGAAATCAGATTGGAATCGCATTTCAGACCACCTCCAAATGTGGTTTGGGTCCAATTGGAAAGAAATGTATTTCATGTGTATTTTTTGTTTTGCTTTGTTTTGTTTTTTTGGTTTGTTTTTCTTTGTGTCCAGAGTCCAGACTGATTTTACAAAGTCTGGCCAAAAATCAGATTTAGGCAGGTGTTCTGAATAAAGCCAAAATAGCCACCACTGTACTTGACAATGTTTCACTTGAATACCTGAGCATGATGGACAGGTATTAACAGAATTAAATCACATACAGTTGGACTGAAGCTTCCACATCAGTTAATCTTCTGTAACGAGCTGCCCACAGAGCAAAACACTGACTGACACAGTCCCATGTGTAAATATGATAGTGATGTCTGAAATAAAATGCTCCTGCTGCTAGTTATGAGTCAGCACCAGAGGTTAGATACCGTCCATAAGTGAGAGTGAACGGACAGAGAGGCCATAGGCTGATATGTGGTGTCTGCCAGCTGATGGCTGATGGTTGTGTCGCGGTGGAACAGAATGGGCGACAGGGCTCAGTTCAGCACCAGCCAGGCCCATCTGCTTGTCACCTGGCCTTGGCACGCAGGAGACTGGGTAATGACAGGGAAAGAATGGCATCAGTGGGCAGAAGCTGAGAGGTAATTACTGACTGGAATCCATGCAGAAACAACACATCTGGATCCATGAGTCAAAATGTGGAGAATTATACACTGATACCGGCCTCAATTCATGATTTTTATCTGTCAGAACTGCATATCAGCCTGGAGACCGAAAATCCTTGACTCCATCCCGCTCCCTCTGATCCTGATGTTCCTCGCTCAGAGGCACTGAGAAAATTCAATTGTACTTTAGGCAATGGAAAGGGAGAAAAAGAGAGCGGTGCTGATACACCAAGACAATCTGTGGGGAAAATCAGCCATGGCAGCACTATAGCTTCAGTGTTGAGTGACGCTATCCTGGCTCATGTGTTACTCCTCTCTACTCCATCACTGCTCACACATTCCTCCTAAACCCCATTACTGCTGATCAATGCCGCCTCTTTCACAGTTAGAGAGAAACGATCTGCTTGAAAGTCATATTTTCTCAGCAGATTTTAGGGCCAAAGCTAGCACCGTTCTCCATTGTGAGATTTTACATTGGGGCTGTGGAAGATGACCTATAAGGACTACTAGTAATAGAAGTCTGCAATGCCTTATAATTAACACTTAGCCCCTTCAAAATAACTTGGAAGTCCCATTAAAGGACTATTCTCCACTATGAGAAGTTAACTGACTGAAGTTAATGAAATCCTGCAGTTGGTCTGCAGGCATCAGCCGTCACCAAATGACCCTCCTTCAATCTCTAGGAGGGGTGTCTCCGTCCACGAGCCCGAGGGAGTGGAAACGCGGGCCACATTTTGACCGAGTTTCCGTCCTGCATCGGTGATCGCTTTCACGAACCCCATCCGCTCGAAAGAAAGAAGCCACCACTGTGTGGAGTCTCAGCCCTTACCCCCCCCTCCCTGTCAACTCCCTTAAATTAAGATTTCAGTAATTAAATTGATAAAAGTCATGCATGCCAATATGCCTCATGGTTCCAGACCTGATTTCGTACGCCACACAGTTGTGGAGAGCTGCGGAAGTTCTACCTTTGATGTGGCATTCTTTATTATTGAAAATAATTGGATTCTCCCTCCCCCCTCTCTCGCTCTTACTCACACTCACACACACACACATTTTGCCCATGTTCACTCTGGGCATGCTCAGTTAATCGACCTCTTGCGGGGCAACACTGGTGCCGAGTCTCCGTTCCATCTGGGGGGTTTCAGGCAGCTTTTCAGCCAAGCGGAGCCCAGGTTGTGTCTGAAAAACGGATTTGAGCAGCCCAGGCGGTGTGCTAAGGGACGTCACTTCAGCACGGGTCAGGGGTCATGCTGCAGGTTGGAGTGGCTCCTGCCAGTGAGTGGGAGCCGGGAAGACTTGTGGGAGCAGCGGCGAAGCCTACCGGGGCTCTGTTGCTCTACCTCCATATCAGCTTGGCCGAGCATAAGAAAAGAGCCTCTCTGGCCCACAGGCAGCTGGCTTCTCTCCACACTCAGCGGAACGGCTGATAATCAGCAGAAAGAGACCCCTGATGATTACTCTGCCTCTGCCTAAGACGGCTGCTAACTGCTTGCCTGCTCACTCCTCAGAATGTCAAACTAGTCCTCACATTTAAACCCCCCCTCCCCCTCCCCCTCCACAGTGTGCCATAGAAAAGCCTACAACGTCCATCAATCTCTGCTCTCTTTGTATCAGGGCTAAATGTGAATTTAATTGCCACTGGAACCGAATAAGGGAATTTTTGATTTCCCTCTGTATGTCATCCTCTATCAACCATGGACAGATGTTATGTGTGCGCCTCTTCCAGGACACAAGTTGTTTGGCCTTGCTGTTTCAGTGCCGTGTCTGCCTTGTGGGCCTACGCCGTGCCGCGGCTGACACACACCCAGAACAGCCCTATTTTAGGAGTTGCTTTGCAGCAGAAGCATAATGGTCTTAAACAGCTTGTGCTCCCCCCAACAAAGGGACCGCCAGAGTAAATAATGCGTTTGACGCCCAACTGATGAGTCATCAAAGAAGCAGAACATCAGCTATCTTATTTTACTGACAGCACTTAGCTCAGCACAGGGTCTCCACAGCACAGGTCAGCACCACTCAGGCTGCTCCTTGACAAGTTTATATAAATTTCAAGTGACTAAATATAAAGCATATTACACTGTATGAGTCACCATAGCGTGACTGTAAAAGAAAATCCATTTCCATCCAAGTCATTATGCTCATTTCCTGAAATGATTTTTTGTTGTCTTAAAATAATACCACGAGTGGGTACTATTGTGTTTGAACTAATTATCTGTATCCTTAACAATCAAGGAAGGCAGCGTGAGGTAGATTACAGTACTTCACCACAACAAAGTAAAATTTGATTTGGGTAGACCTACTAGATTATGTTTGGGCTGGGTACTGTTCACATGTAAACTGATTCTGGTACCAGTACCTCGAATGTGGTACCAATACCCAGCAGTTACTTTTTCTGGTACTTCTCTCCAGGCTGAAAACAAAAATGTAGGTGGAGCCAACAAGCGATTCTGCTCCTCTGTGCTTTTCTTATCACACATAGAACATCTCAGTCTGTTATTTGTCTGTTTGTGTGTGTCTTGCTCTTTGTTTCGACACAACTGACAAATACGTGAATTAAGAACGTAATTTCAACAACACAATCGCAAAAAGTTGTGATACAAGGCTAGTTCTGAAGTGAAATAGAAAAGAAAACAGACCAGACAAATCGAAGCTATCACTGGGAAGCCGACAGAGCTCAGATTCTGGCTTCCTGGCTTTGGGGCATTTCGCAACGCTTCTGCCTTCTCTCTGAACCCTAGCGGCTCCGCTGAGCTCCATTGTCTTCTCCGCAAAGCGCCCTGAAGCCCCAACTCTGTGGCCGGCTTCCCACCTGCATTACAGAGTGCTTTGTGATGAACTCTCTTCCTGTCTTACTCAGCGTTCTTATCCATATGGCGCTTAGGTACCAAAATTTGGCACCAATGGATTTACAGAGTTTGATACCCAACTGTAATCATGTTGATTGGTATTGAAATTAGAATTTGCCAATCTGTTGTTAGTTTTTAAAGAAAACTCAACTTTTACAGGGTTAAGCAATGATGTTAAATTAATGTCACCTGAATGAAGAAATTCCAGTAACATCAACAGGTCTCTATCGCAGCTTATTGTGACCAGTGATATATATATATGGTCACATTTTTTAAAAAGGGAAAGAAACTAGCTAATTTAAGCAGGATCTAAAATAAGTATGTAGCAAAATTGTAACATCAGAATATCAAAAACGTGTTTAAACACATTACACAAAAAACTCAGCCCAAATAAATGACTTGATGAACAATTAATGATGATGAAATGAACAATTGTATGAAGCCTCTGTTTAGACACAAGATATTAAATTTTGTACCATTTTGACTCATTATTGGTCTTTTCTTTACAGTGATGTCTGGTGTGCTTTGGAGGTTGTGCAGTTCAGTGCAGGCCACTTTTAGTGAATGTGTTATTATATACTTAGTCCATAAACTAGCAATTACTTTGGCTTATGCAGTAATTATTTAGAGTAGGCATTGTTATTCAGTGAAGAGGAGAATCTCTGTTGAAGTCAGCTGACAGAAGCTGTAGCCAACACTGAAGTATACATAACACAACTTATTAACTCTTCTAAGCACATAAGCCTTTTCAGTATTCTGTAGCTTAAGTGGGCTCAGCCATGGCCGCTCCACATTATCACGGCTCAGCTCATTGTGGCTTTGGCTCCTTTCTTTAGTGCAATTCTCAAAGATTACGGGAACAAATTAAAGTCCAGTCTTTGTGTCTTTTGTGCAGGTATATCCAAGGTGCATCGTCTCCAAAGGACATGGTCATCATTGTGGATGTGTGAGTATTTTACCCCTCAGTCTCTCTCGCTGCCTCCTCTTTCAACATTTCCCCCTGTTGGGAGTGCATGTCTCCTTCAAAGGGCGCTAGTGCCACCTGTTGGTCTGTGGAAAGTTAAAGGGAGATGAACGCTGCTCATTTTCTCACCTTAATTGAAGTTTGCTTGCCATTGTACCACCATTTAATACATGCAGACATGAGTTTGAATACTAAACATGGAAGGTCTAGTGAGAAGATCACAGGTTAAGAAAATGGACATGAGCAGGATTAGGACCTGTCAAGTATAACTGAGCTTCTAAGTGCTTCATTGTGTCTTTTCTGCAGGAGTGGAAGCGTTAGTGGACTCACTCTAAAGCTGATGAAAACTTCAGTGGTGGAGATGCTGGACACCCTATCAGACGACGACTATGTGAATGTGGCCAGGGTGAGTAGCAGCTTGCATCATGATTTGCAATTAATGATACAAATCACTCCTGAAAGCACAGATAACACAAACATTTGCTATATTCATTAATCAGGTGGTAATCAAGCAGGGAGTTTGGTGAACAGCACAGTGTGCTCACGTTGCTCCCACTTGTTTGCTTGCAGTGGAAACACTGCACTTCCCTCATTATAGTGTATTTACTTTTCCTGCTCTGCCGCTGTCCGTGCGGGATTGTGTCTGCCTCTCTCTTTCCCTCTCTGCTGATTACCAAGCTTTCTATTAGGACTAATGTTTAGGGGAATATTAACTTTATCCTATATTACAGGACAGATAACACACACACTCTCACACACACACAAACACATCCATATGCTCAGTGTGGTGGCTCTGTTTGGAGACTTCCTTGGGTAATCCTTCATAATCCATTGCTCTTAGCCACTGTATGCCTCTAAATCCCAGCTCTAAGAGCAAGAAATGAGCATGGTAATCTGGGTGGGAAACGCATCTGATTTTCACCCCTGTAAAGAAAGTGAGGGCTTACAAAAGCTCGCTGTGAATTATTTGCACACACAAAAGACATTAATAATCAAAAATTAACTGAAAATAAGAGTAATCAAACACTGTCTCTGGTGTCTACACTCTTCAGCACTTTTCTTTATGTCAAACTGTGGCCTCACTTCTGTAATAGCAGCAGAATTAGTCATAATAATATAGACTTTATTTCAAAGATTAACCGCGTGTTTCTTCTGAATCTTGTTTCACAGCTACTGTATTTCCTGAGATTTAAACAGGGTGTCTACAATTTTTAAGATGTCTTAAAATGTCTTAAATTCAATTTTATAAATGTTAGGCCTTAAAAGTCATTCAGAAGTCTTAAATTTGAGTTTGTGAGGTCTGAATTGCAACAAACATTTTACCCAATTTTATATTAAATTGTGTTATAAGATAGCAATTTTTTGATTTCTGATGTTGCAAATCTTTAAACCTACCTCTGAACCTTATACTTCACTTTACGTTTGCCCTTACCTGTTGGCAAAATGTAGATTAACCTAACTCACCCTAATAACTGTGTTCCTACATAAAATCTGCCTCTGCACAGGACTAGATAAAAAGTTACCTTTATACTTACTTGCAGTGCTTGAGTAAGAAAAAGATAATTTGTCCATAAATGTGTCTTAAATCTGGTTAAACCTGATCTTGAAAAGGTCTTAAAAAGCATTTAAGTGTCTGATACATGTAGACATCCTGTTTTAAGATGCAAGAGATGTGATACTAAGAAGTGACACAGTGATGAATATTGGATATGTGCCTCTGAATACTTTTGTGTTAGATTTCTTTGTCTGACAATTTAAATCTGACACCAACCCGTGTGAAATGTCAGCTTCTCTCGCTCATAATGTTTTACATCAATCTGTCCTGAAAATGTCAGTAGATTTTGAAGTTGACCTTCAAGAAGAAACAGCATTTGAAACCTGCTATCATAGACATTGCTGCTAATATTGTAATCATGCATAGACACTGCATGCAGGTAGAAAAAAAATATGCGCCTCGAGCACACCCATACACACACACACACACACACACACACACACACACACACACAGTTTTAGGCTAATTTGGTGGATGAGATGAGACAGATGATATTACCTTGGCTCGGTTTCTGTTCAGTGGTTTGCACTGGCGTTTCAGGTGCACCTGTTCTTTGTGTGGAAAGTTGTAATTACCAGTGTTTACTGCCAGCCAGAGAGTAGCAGGGCAGCGTACATCTGCACACACCCACGTCTGCATCCTGCTGCCATGAACTACACACACATAAACACACAGAGATGCACAGTCTTACAAATGTTGGACACATACTATATGCAATTTGCTCATGAGCGTGTTTGCATTTCCCCCTTCTAGTTCAATGAGAAGGCCGATGCTGTCGTTCCATGCTTCAGGACTTTGGTCCAAGCCAATGTTCGGAACAAGAAGATCTTCAAGGAGGCCGTCATGCATATGCAAGCCAAAGGAACCACAGATTACAAGTCTGGCTTCACATTTGCCTTTGAACAGCTCCTCAATGTAAGCGCCAACAAGCCTTTCAGGGAAGGGCAATGCAAGGGTGGATGTTTGTCTGTAGTGGAGTAATTGTGTGCCTCCAGAAAGTCTTCAATAACGTGCTGGAACTATGTGCTTTAGCTCCAGCATGTTATTATACATCCTGTCAGATCCAGTTAATAAAACTGAATGAACAGGGATGAAACAGTGCCGACAGTGAGTGGTCCAGGTCTGTAAAAGACATTTCCAGACTTCTGTCATCGTCAAAGGTAGGTCTGATAATAGCTGCTGCTGTTGCGGTGGAGTGACGCTAACGTTTGCAGCAGCCAGCACCGCGGTGGGGTCTGTCAGCAGCAGGCATCCACGTGCTCTCGACACAGGTGCTGCCTCAGCTCCGTATGCTGCTGTGTATTTTAAGAGGCTGCCATCCTAATGGGCTCTGATGGGATGATTGATGAGCGCAGCCCAGAGGAGATCAGCCACAGACACTTTATATTCCTCTGGTGGGCTTGGAGGCATAGAGCCAAGTGCCAGCTGCCCCCCCTCCCTCCACCACCTTCTTTTGCCAGCAGAATGAGAAATAAAAAGGCCCGTTTAATCGCTGTCTGTGGCAGACTCGCTCCCGTGATTGGTGGCAGAAGCACAATAAAAATATGTAATTGTAGCAATATTATTTATCTTTATTAGAATCTTGTCAGATTGACATGCCATTGGCCTGCATATCAATGGCAGCTGCCGTGCAGGCTGGCGGGGGCGGTGGGGGGGGGGGTATCAAAGCTGAATGCTAAAAACTGCTGGTTGGCTATGAGCATGTAGTGCTGAAATTAAATTTAACGCTAGAATAATGTTGTATACAGTACAGGCCAAAAGTTTGGATACGCCTTCTCATTCAATGCGTTTTCTTTATTTTCATGACTATTTACATTGTAGATTCTCACTGAAGGCATCAAAACTATGAATGAACATATGTGGAGTTATGTACTTAACAAAAAAAGGTGAAATAACTGAAAACATGTTTTATATTCTAGTTTCTTCAAAATAGCCACCCTTTGCTCTGATTACTGCTTTGCACACTCTTGGCATTCTCTCCATGAGCTTCAAGAGGTAGTCACCTGAAATGGTTTCCACTTCACAGGTGTGCCTTATCAGGGTTAATTAGTGGAATTTCTTGCTTTATCAATGGGGTTGGGACCATCAGTTGTGTTGTGCAGAAGTCAGGTTAATACACAGCCGACAGCCCTATTGGACAACTGTTAAAATTCATATTATGGCAAGAACCAATCAGCTAACTAAAGAAAAACGAGTGGCCATCATTACTTTAAGAAATGAAGGTCAGTCAGTCCGGAAAATTGCAAAAACTTTAAATGTGTCCCCAAGTGGAGTCGCAAAAAGCGCTACAACCAAACTGGCACACATGAGGACCGACCCAGGAAAGGAAGACCAAGAGTCACCTCTGCTTCTGAGGATAAGTTCATCCGAGTCACCAGCCTCAGAAATCGCAAGTTAACAGCAGCTCAGATCAGAGACCAGATGATTGCCACACAGAGTTCTAGCAGCAGACCCATCTCTAGAACAACTGTTAAGAGGAGACTGCGCTAATCAGGCCTTCATGGTCAAATAGCTGCTAGGAAACCACTGCTAAGGAGAGGCAACAAGCAGATGAGATTTGTTTGGGCCAAGAAACACAAGGAATGGACATTAGACCAGTGGAAATCTGTGCTTTGGTCTGATGAGTCCAAATCTGAGATCTTTGGTTCCAACCGCCGTGTCTTTGTGAGACTCAGAAAAGGTGAACGGATGGATTCCACATGCCTGGTTCCCACTGTGAAGCATGGAGGAGGAGGTGTGATGGTGTGGGGTTGTTTTGCTGGTGACACTGTTGGGGATTTATTCAAAATTGAAGGCACACTGAACCAGCATGGCTACCACAGCATCCTGCAGCGACATGCCATCCCATCCGGTTTGCATTTAGTTGGACGATCATTTATTTTTCAACAGGACAGTGACCCCAAACACACCTCCAGGCTGTGTAAGGGCTATTTGACCAAGAAGGCGAGTGATGGAGTGCTGCGGCAGATGACCTGGCCTCCACAGTCACCGGACCTGAACCCAATCGAGATAGTTTGGGGTGAGCTGGACCGCAGAGTGAAGGCAAAGGGGCCAACAAGTGCTAAACACCTCTGGGAACTCCTTCAAGACTGTTGGAAAACCATTTCAGGTGACTACCTCTTGAAGCTCATGGAGAGAATGCCAAGAGTGTGCAAAGCAGTAATCAGAGCAAAGGGTGGCTATTTTGAAGAAACTAGAATATAAAACATGTTTTCAGTTATTTCACCTTTTTTTGTTAAGTACATAACTCCACATGTGTTCATTCATAGTTTTGATGCCTTCAGTGAGAATCTACAATGTAAATAGTCATGAAAATAAAGAAAACGCATTGAATGAGAAGGTGTGTCCAAACTTTTGGCCTGTACTGTACTTCAAATGAAATCCCTAAATTATGATAATATGAGGAAGGAACCAACTAAGAAATTTGTGAATGTATAATGAAAAGATAAGAATAAAAGCTTAGAGGGTTTTATTGCAACACAATATAGTAAGTGAATATGAGGATGTGGACAGTGGATAATATTTGTACCTCAGTATGGAGGGATTGTATTTTGTCTGCTCATTATATACACTAAAAATGTTAATTAATGCTGGAGTGGCTAAAATTTCCAGGGATTTCAGGGATGACATTGTGGCCATCGAACATTGGAAATTGTCCAGATTTACCATCAGTATAATGACAGACACAAACACAACCACATCAGTGCCCACACACTCATGTAAACATAAGAGACACTATATTACTGTCCATGTTTGAGCATTTTAAAGAAAGAAAACAAGTAAAGCTTTACATCATCAGGAGGGGACATTAATACATGACAGTAGAAAGTAGAGAAAAGAAAGAATAGAAAATGCACAAAAATAAATAGCTCAAACAAAAGTGTGTGATCCAGTCCACGAAGAAATAAAATAAAAAGAACAATCCTGTGCCATAAATGAAATCTTAAGAGACACTTTGTCGATTTTTTTTAGAGATCCAATCTTCTACACTACCTTTTGATCTACTGAGATGAGATATATGGAGTAGACCCATTAAGATCTGATAGATACCACTGTATCTGTCCAATCTTTAAAATCTTGAGCTTCAATTGAGCTGTAATCATATCCCACAAAAATTCCTAAAAATACACAGTTTGATGTATTTGATATTTAGGATCTGTCCCGCACTAAGCTTCAATCAGGATTCAAAGTGTCTGCTGATTGATCAATAGGGCTGAGTATCCATACTTTATACCTTCAAGGTATCGACTGAAATAACCCAGTATCAAGTAGTATCAAAATGTCTCCAGTCAAACACTACCTGCATTTGATCTTTTTGCTACCCTCGTCTAGAAAAAGATTACTATTTGTATGATTTTGCTCGCAGCCAATCATCAGAAGCATTTTTCAATATAATGCAACATGTAACAGGTCCAGCTACAGCACATACAGTCTGTGGTGATGTTGAGCACTGTGGGTTTGACGGAGTTGGCAGTTCAGCGTGTCAAGATGGCAACAAAACAATCAAAAGTATAGCTCTACATGCCTGTGGCGTCTGGTGGCATTGTATGCAACTAAGTGCTTCCATTTACATGTTGGGCATCAAATGAGGTACTATAAAGCAGTGGTTCCCAACTGGTCCAGCCACAGGGTCCAGATTTCTCCTTAGTCATTAGTTCAAGGTCCACACAGTTGAATACATTCAGTGTCATAATTATATCTGGCCATGTCATTGCTGTCTTTGTTAAGTAGTTTTCTGTTTGTCACTCACTCTATAACAAAGGGCACTTTGAAATAAGAGCTCTGTTGCAGAAATTCACTGCACTTACAAACTTTACGCGTCTGCGAGTCACTTGCGGTCCATTCAAAATGGACCTGCGACCCACTTTTGGACCACAGCCCACCAGTTGAGAACCTCTGCTCTAATGGTATCAGTTTTACTTCAAGGGTACTTGTACTGGTATTGTATTTTTTTAACCAATAACCAGCTGTATTGATCAAGAATGGTCTGATCAATTCCCATTACCAATGCAGGAAAGTTCCTACTTTATCAGTTTGGTCCTACAGAGTCTTGATGGAATATCATAGTATCACTAACACTTGACTTTAATCTCCCTTAAATTGTTTAGTATTTAAAACACTTTAATGTGGTCATAAGCAGCTCTAATGACATTTTTAACTGTTAAATAATGCACAGTATTTGTCAACAATTATTATATTATTGTAGCTGTGTTTTACTATATTGTCATTCCTTATCTGTTGATATACATGTAGGTGCACTGATAAATGCTTATATCTCTGATAAACTACAAATATAGTGTGATATAAACTATGTATAACATGTTTTATACTGCTTATAAATAATATTTGTATACTAACTTCCCCTTTGACATATTTATCACAGCACCATGCTGTTTTGAATGATGTTAGCATGATCACCTTCCCCTTTTATTCCTGTATATTCCCTAACCTGTCTCCCTGCCTCTTTCTTCGCTCTCCTCTCCTCCCTCTTCCCTCTTCGTGTGCCACAGGAGAGCAGTGCCCCGAGGGCCAACTGCAATAAGATGATAATGATGTTTACAGATGGCGGGGAGGATCGTGCACAGGAAATCTTTGAGAAGTACAACTGGCCCAACAAAACGGTGAGTCTGTCCCCATAAGGCTGTTATCTATTCATCTACATCGCTCTGCCAGCCAAAGAGATCATGCATGTCCAGAAACTGCCTTAGCAGGCCTCTTTTTTCCCCTCGCCATCTCCCACCGTATTCTGCTGACATTGTCTCATTTTTGCACAGGCAGTTGTGTTGGTTCGGCTGTCAGACATGCCAAGCACTCCAATCTGTGCACACAACATCCTCTCCAAGCTTTCTTCACGTCCATTTTGGCTGTTTTTGATTCTGGATTTTTCCTCCTGTGATTCATCTCTTTGGCCTTTCTGCAGCTCTCTCCATTTTATCTCTCTTTCTGTCTGTTTCTCTTTCTTTCTCCCCCTCTTCTGTCTCTCTTGTTGTTGTGCTGCTGGTGTTAACAGCTCTGACCTGCTGACTAATTAGCCACTTTATCATCAGAGCCTATAAAATTACAGCCAACAGATACTCAGTTTGCGCCTTTGTTCCAGTCTTTGCTTTCACTCCCACCCTTCCTTTCCTCACTTCACAGCCCCACCAATATTTATTCTGTATATCCATTACTATCCGGTTCCCTCGTGACGGCTGCTGTCATACAGGAATAATCTGCAGTTTGACAACTCTCTCACTGCAGTCTTGTGTTGGAGACACTTGTGTGAGTTGACTGGGAGGCTAATCTAATCATGCTCGAGATTTGTACGTTGTAGTTGTCACATGACAGTGACCTTATTGCCATCCAGACGGAGGTTTGTGTGGTACGATTTTGCTCTGTTAGTTGTCTCTGGAGGAAGGTTGGTTTTTTTGTTTGGCTGTTTTTGTTCTGTCTGTTTTTATTCAGGCATTGACGTCATATGATTTGTTCCCTTTTTTGTCCCCTCTATCTCTCTCCATTTGTCTTTTTCTCCGTCCAGGTCCGCGTGTTCACCTTCTCTGTTGGCCAGCATAATTACGATGTCACCCCTTTGCAGTGGATAGCTTGTGCCAATAAAGGTAAGTGGATAAGGCGTTTCTATTAAAGCATATGTTTATATGTAGACTATAAAAGACAAATACAGGTTGGTGCCCCTGCGTCCTTGTGTCCACTTTGCTGCTCATAGTGATTTATAGATGGACACATTTTTCCATCACATTCAACGCCCTTTGGATGCCCCTGAAAAATATGATGTTAAAGGAAGCACTAGACAAAATGCTATTGTGGAGCACTCTGGTGAATGATATCATATCAAGTCATTCTCAAATGGGAAATACAAAGCCCAGTCAGTCTTTTTTTTTATTTTGTTTTTTTAATTTCAAGACAACAAAACACTGACAGAACAACAAAAAGAAGATAATAACAGTGAATACAAGCCAATTAACAAAACAGCATGAGGGAGTAGAGAACAAGGTGATTACATGTTGGTGTATGCATGAGTGTGTGTTGTGTGTGTCTGATGAGTCAGCATGTGTCTGAAATTCCATACTAACATGATGTTTAGTACGCTAAAACAGTATGTGAGATTTTTTCTCATGTCCGAATTCTTAGTATGAAACCAGCAATAAGTGAATAGTACTATTTCCGGTTAAATATTGCAGTATGCAAACACTGGACTCTAATCCAGCATAAATATCCCACATTGTAATGCAGTCAAGGACAACAATCATGTAAGATTTCACTTTGCTCAGCGTGATGTAGTTTTAAAAAGATTTTTAAATTGCCGGTAGAGATTATGTTGGCACAGGTTACCATGGTAGCGTGTCTCCTGCCAGTAAGGAGGCTCTCAGGAAGTGACTCGGTAATTATATATCAGTGCACCTGACAATATACTTACTACTGTTTATCTACAAAATAAGCCTGTTGAATGATAGTACGCATATCAGGTATGTAGTGCAAAGCGCGATTTCAGACAGGCTCTGGGATGACGGCTACAGGGGGATGTATAAAAAAATAAAACGGGGGGTGGTGAACTGAGGGAAAGCATAGGAAAGAAAATAAAAGAAGAACAAAGGACAAAACAAACCAAAAAAAGAAATAAAACTTTAAAAACAAGTACACTAATACTAACCCTGCTAAATACAATAATGATAAGCAAATCAAGGGGAGTGCCACCCTGTTCACTGGCAGTGAAGCAGGATCAATACATCGTCTGGGGACTCCAGAACAGGTCAGTCCCACAACCTGGATATCGTTTCATTTTGCACTTTCATTATTGGTATGAAATTTTAACTTCTTTTTTTAACCATTATTTTAGGAATTTCAGTATAAAACAAACGCTCAGTACATCGTTTTAACAACCCAGACACAAATATCTTTACCGGTAGACAAACAAAAAAACAAGTCCTCAGACTTCAACATTACTAGTAAAATAAAATACATACACACAGCGATAGAGGGTATATGGCTACTCAGTTAGACCAATTCAGTTCACTACCTTCAGATACTCGAGTACAGAGCTCCAAATTCTTACAAATATTTGAATTTTATTCTTATTAGATAACCTAAACCTCTCTAGGTACAATACATTCATCAGCTCTCTCATCCACATATCATATGTTGGTGCACAGTCTGACTTCCAACTTATTCAAGTAGAATAAGTTTCCTTGCCACAACCATACCAAATTAAATGGTGGAAATGAGTTTCATACTTGTCTGCCAAAGGTAACACACTCGTGGCCCCATAGAACAGCTGAAATTTTAACTGTCGTTCTGGTATAACCATGTTGCCTGTATGGTTTTGTGTATAAATGAGTCATTAAAAAGCCCAGTCTATTCTAACAGATAACTATAAATCAATGTGTTGCATTTGTTCCTGACGACACCCAGTCAATACACAACAAGCAGATGTGGTCTGCTCGCTGGTTTGAAGAACATTGTATTGACCCTAAAGTCTTCTTTGCATAACCACATATAAGCTGAGCAAAGATCGTAGATCAAAAGAGTCACAAAGTCACAACTGCTACTGATACAAATAGATTAATAAGACCATCCATTTTCTGTACTCCCATTTCCTGTCTAGGGTCATTGAGTTGAAGATCACAACCCAGCATAAACTGGGAAGAAGCTGCTCCTTTCGAAGGAATAACTCATACAGAAAGACAGGCAATTTGAATATCAGTGCTTACCTCTGAACCTCTACTGTTATTATGTACTGTATAACTAACAGTGTGACTTATCACCCCCTAAAAACCTAGTTTTTGCTGATCTCCAGTTGACTAACGTCTCACAGGTTTTTTTCACGAGACATTACTGTTGGGTGTGATTACAGGTGCATCAAAGCACAGCTCTGACCGCACCGCGCAGTGATGCTCGCTGTGGTCAGAAGTGAAACACACTCAAAACTTTCACCCACAACAGGGCAGCGTAACACTACTTTTCAGCCAGGTGTTACGTTATTCTTTAACTATTCTGAGGTAAATATTAATAGAATGAAATGAAATATTAAACCCAGCCTGTCCCATTACAAAGCCATCATCACTAGGATTTATCCAGGTGTCTGTCTTACTGCACGTGATGCTCAAATTAATATTTTATTAAGCTAAAGCAGCCGCAGTCCCTAAAATACCCCAGCAAACAGGCAGCCCTGCCTCTGATAGACCGTCTGACAACCCATATGATTCAGCTGCTCTTCCTGTTAGCGACTGTGTCCGCATGAATCTCATCCTGACTCACTTAATCCGGACTCAGACTGCTGTTGCTGCACTCAGTTTTGAACACTGTTATTTTTTTAATCCATAACCCACTTCTCTTGCTCTCTTTGTGGCATGATTTAATATTGTTTCTCAGTGTTGCAGTTTATCTGAAGCTGCTCCTTTATGAGGCCTTTAGCTGTCTGTATGAAGCCTCGGCTAGCGGCTGCTGCTGATTAGCTTATTGCCAGTGGAGCCAAGTGCTTCAGAAGTATCTCCCCAGAAGTTGTTATTAATTAGCAGGAGGAGTCTGGTAGCAGGATGATTACCGTGCCATCTCCCTGTCAGGCTCGGGGAAAGTCCAGGATTACGCCTCTGTGCCAACATGCTCTCTGCTGTTCGCGACTGTAGTGATTACCATGGTACTAAAGTCTATGCCAACATAAGACAATGGTGTTGACACGCCAGCCTCAATGGAGCTGTCCTCTCATATCTTCAGTACTTATTACTCTTTGGTATCTCACTCCACCAGAGCCAGCTCCCTGACACTTCCGCAGGCCCTAACCCTTCACCCGTGACATACACACATTTCGCCAAACAGCAGCAACACGCACACACAAGCGCAAACACGCACAACTAGGCCACTTGGAGATGCTAGCTGTTGTCTCACTTGAGCTTCAATCCCATTTTAAGAAGAAAGTAACCTCTCTGTGACTCTGAGGACAATGAAACCATTTCTCCATGCTCTCACACAGTGTAGCAAAATCCAAAACAGAAAGGAGAGTTATCTTCCAAAAAAAATAATAATAATAAAAGGTGAAGCCGAGGATGAAAGCAGCAAATACGATATACTGCAGTGGTGATCCTAATACCTCCACAATATGCATTTATAATCCTAAATAGGATTAAAATATCACATAAATTCACGATGGCCATCCACAATGGAAGAATAGTTCAAAGTTTATTAAGTAAACTTATACCAGTTTATATAGTGTCAACAGAAATCTTGACAAGAACACTCAATATGCTTAGAAAGGAGGGCACAGCAGTCTACACAGAAGGAAAATTCATACTAACATTTGACTCAGCATTTACTTTATGTACAGTACAGGCCAAAAGTTTGGACACACCTTCTCATTCAATGCGTTTTCTTTATTTTCATGACTATTTACATTGTAGATTCTCACTGAAGGCATCAAAACTATGAATGAACACATGTGGAGTTATGTACTTAACAAAAAAAGGTGAAATAACTGAAAACATGTTTTATATTCTAGTTTCTTCAAAATAGCCACCCTTTGCTCTGATTACTGCTTTGCACACTCTTGGCATTCTCTCCATGAGCTTCAAGAGGTAGTCACCTGAAATGGTTTTCCAACAGTCTTGAAGGAGTTCCCAGAGGTGTTTAGCACTTGTTGGCCCCTTTGCCTTCACTCTGCAGTCCAGCTCACCCCAAACCATCTCGATTGGGTTCAGGTCCGGTGACTGTGGAGGCCAGGTCATCTGCCGCAGCACTCCATCACTCTCCTTCTTGGTCAAATAGCCCTTACACAGCCTGGAGGTGTGTTTGGGGTCATTGTCCTGTTGAAAAATAAATGATCGTCCAACTAAACGCAAACCGGATGGGATGGCATGTCGCTGCAGGATGCTGTGGTAGCCATGCTGGTTCAGTGTGCCTTCAATTTTGAATAAATCCCCAACAGTGTCACCAGCAAAACACCCCCACACCATCACACCTCCTCCTCCATGCTTCACAGTGGGAACCAGGCATGTGGAATCCATCCGTTCACCTTTTCTGCGTCTCACAAAGACACGGCGGTTGGAACCAAAGATCTCAAATTTGGACTCATCAGACCAAAGCACAGATTTCCACTGGTCTAATGTCCATTCCTTGTGTTTCTTGGCCCAAACAAATCTCTTCTGCTTGTTGCCTCTCCTTAGCAGTGGTTTCCTAGCAGCTATTTGACCATGAAGGCCTGATTGGCGCAGTCTCCTCTTAACAGTTGTTCTAGAGATGGGTCTGCTGCTAGAACTCTGTGTGGCATTCATCTGGTCTCTGATCTGAGCTGCTGTTAACTTGCGATTTCTGAGGCTGGTGACTCGGATGAACTTATCCTCAGAAGCAGAGGTGACTCTTGGTCTTCCTTTCCTGGGTTGGTCCTCATGTGTGCCAGTTTGGTTGTAGCGCTTGATGGTTTTTGCGACTCCACTTGGGGACACATTTAAAGTTTTTGCAATTTTCCGGACTGACTGACCTTCATTTCTTAAAGTAATGATGGCCACTCGTTTTTCTTTAGTTGGCTGATTGGTTCTTGCCATAATATGAATTTTAACAGTTGTCCAATAGGGCTGTCGGCTGTGTATTAACCTGACTTCTGCACAACACAACTGATGGTCCCAACCCCATTGATAAAGCAAGAAATTCCACTAATTAACCCTGATAAGGCACACCTGTGAAGTGGAAACCATTTCAGGTGACTACCTCTTGAAGCTCATGGAGAGAATGCCAAGAGTGTGCAAAGCAGTAATCAGAGCAAAGGGTGGCTATTTTGAAGAAACTAGAATATAAAACATGTTTTCAGTTATTTCACCTTTTTTTGTTAAGTACATAACTCCACATGTGTTCATTCATAGTTTTGATGCCTTCAGTGAGAATCTACAATGTAAATAGTCATGAAAATAAAGAAAACGCATTGAATGAGAAGGTGTGTCCAAACTTTTGGCCTGTACTGTATATTTTACTTAAAGCTGCTACAAGGAACTTTTAACTGGATATGCAAAAGTCTCTCGTTTCTGCTGATGTCTGTGTGTGACCTACAACAGCAAATGAGACCATCAGTGTGAAGATAAGCTATTTCTACATAGTGTATATCCATACCTTTAGGAAACTGTCTCCGGGTCCGTCCCAGGTCACTTCCAGGACGAAATGATTTACGGCACTCAGACGGCACACGTCATCTTACCTAGCTGCTTACATTTATAGTGACTCTTATAAATAGTCGCTATTCCTCCTCCTCGACCCAACGTCCGCGGGGAGTTAAAATAGCAGCAATCATCAGGTAAAAGTTCTGTGAAAGCCTTGGACTCACCAACAGTCAGCCACGTCTCAGTCACACAGAGAAAATCCAATCCTCGGGAAGTCAGGAATCCTTCAGGATAAACGTTTTGTTCGCTAGCGATCTAGCATTTACCAGCCCAATCCTGGCAGGAGCCGGCGGGTCCACGGCGTTAGCTGTCCGGGGAGCCACACACAGAGGCTGCAGGTTGTGCAGATTCACCCTGCGCCAGCGGGGAACAAGGAGAGCAGGGGCCGCGGGGCTGGAACACCTCATCCGGGCCGACGACAGGTACCAGCCAGGCGTCGACAGGGTTCATTGAGTGCCGAGAAATAAAGAGGCGAGGCACCGCTCCATACTCAGTCCAAGAAGCCGTGGAAATGCTCGCCAAACAGGCCTTCAGCCTCACCAGCCGACCGCTGCGTTTACCGCGGTGGCGCTTACACCGGAGAGGTGGAGCTGGGGCGCGGCAGAGGTGAGCTGGGATCCCTGATAGGAGCGGGGGCAAAGTTTTCCCGTCTTGTTCTTTCATTCATCCCCAAAACAAACACATGCGCGAGCCAGGTAAGCATCTTTACGACAATACGCGCTAGAGCTCATGGGAAAAGTAGGCTTCATTCCGGCAAAACACTACCGCTTTTGTCCACAGGGTCGCCAAAATCAACTCAAAATGAAAGTTCCTTGTAGGGGCTTTAACCTACAACACACAGTTACCTTTATGTAGAATGCATCATTCAGTCAAAAAAGACATGGTATAAAGGGACAGTTCACCCCAAAATTAAAAATACACATTTTCCATCTTACCTGTAGTATCTATCTATATTGTTTTGGTGTGAGAAGCGGAGTCTTGGAGATATCAGCCATAGAGATGTCTGCCTTCTCTTGAATATAATGGAACTAGATGGCACTCGGCTTGTGGTGCTACCAAAAAAAAAAAAAAACTTTTGAAAAACTCAACAGCAATGTTTCTTTGCAGAAATCATGACCTGGTTACCCAAGATAATCCACAGACCTTGTTGTGAGCAGTTTCATGTAGGAACTATTTTCTCTCCACCAAACTACACCCACCAACAGTATCACTGCACAGAGGGAAGTGTGCATCTTCTGCTAGCTCACCTAGCACCACCGAGCTAGCTAACATTACAGCTCAGCCGAGGAGGACAGCGTTAGTGTTTACATCTTGCACTGTCATGAGCACAAGCCTCTTGACCATGAGTAGATGCACACTTCCCTCTGTGTGGTGATGTTGATAGCGGGTGTAGTTCTGTGGAAAGAAAATAGTTCCTACATGAAACTGCTCACAACAAGGTCTGTGGATTAACTCGATTTCTAAAAAGCGACAAGGGTTGGGTACCATTCACATTTGAACCAATACTGACACCAGTTCTGGTACCTTAAATTGGACACTGGTACACAACGGTACCTTATTTCGGGTCTGTACTTTCTCTGTAATAATAAAAATGTGATTTTTGAAAAAGCTGCAGTGATGTAATCGACAAAAATGCCATTCTGCTCCTCTGCTCTTTTCTAATCACACATAGAGCTAATCTTCTGTCTTCATCTGTCTGCCTGCTTGTGTGTATGTGTGTGTGCATGTGTGTATGTGTGTCTGCTCGTCTAGCAGTGACACTAGACTATTAGTGAAATAATATGAAAAAAGAAAAAAAGACCAGACGCCAAAACTATCGTGGCAGATCACTGGGAAGCAGACAGAGCAGCTCTGGAGCTTCTTAGCTGGATTCAGGGGTGCTTCCACCTCCTGTCTGAGGTTGAACCTGGCAGCTCTGCAGAGCTCCATTGCCAGCCTCGCTTCCAGGTTTCAGCACGCTTTGTGGCTCTTCCACCTCTTGTCTAAACCTGGCGTTCTCCCCCAGATGCACTCTCAGGTACATATGGAAAAGATGGATTTAATGTGAATCGGTACTCGTTGGTACAGATGTTATTCTGTCGGTAATCTTAAAAGTACCACTTTGAGCACCACGAGCAGAGTGCCATCTAGTTCTCTTATATTCGAGAGAAGGCAGACGTCTCTACAGCCAATATCTAGATTGATAAATATCTCAACAGGTAACAGGAAAAATATATTCTTTTGATTTTGGGGTGGACCGTACCTTTAAACACAGTGGTTGTGATGTATTTCATACCACAGTCAAACAGACCCCGAATTTTCTGTTGTATTTGTCTCAAAACAAACAGACTTCATAAATCTGAGAATGACATTAGCGGGAAACTGACTCCTAATAGTGCAGAGGCATTATGTAAATGAGTTTTCAGAAAGAAAATAGGTTATTGATTAAATTCATAATTGCCCCTCACGCAGCAGACCTCCGTTGTTAACCTGTGCAGCACAGCGGAGATCCACATTACAGTCTCACTTTTTAGTTACCGCCTATGTTTTCTACTCTTCACCTCTTGCTTAGCTTTGCCCCACACCCACAGATGCCATCTCTCTGGCACACAGCCAGAAACACTGTGACAAACTACTGCTCTGAGCAAAACTATAACAAATAGCTGTGCCCTGTGTGTGTATGTGTGTGTGAACCACAGATTGTGCGTGCAGAGATGTGTACGTATGTGCACGATGTCAGCTCGTTCAAATGTGCAAATGAATGAAACGGAGAAGGCAAATCTCGACACAAACCTCTGTGGCACAGTGCATATAATGTATCAAAATAATGAGAGTCATCTCAGCCTTTTAACATTCTGGGGATGCTGTCTCCATTTCGCCGCTCTTTGTATAAACACTCATGGCTTTAATAACTTGGGGAGCGGCGTGGTTATTGACCCAGTCGGTCACTCTCCTCCATTCCTAATCAGCAGCAGCAGTGCCTGGGGCTCAGCATTCCCAATGAGCCTCCACATTTACATCCTACAGCACAGCCACGAGTGCAAGGAGGTCAATGGCCACAAGCTCTACCATGCCTGTTCGGCCCAACACCATCAGCCACAGATGACGGCGTTACGTGTACCTAATAACATGGAAGAGATTAGACGTCAATCTACAAATGGATCAATTTCATACACACACTGTGACTGTTTAACTTCTGAAAATGTAGACAGAATATGATGCAGGTGGGCACCATGACGCAGGGTGGATGCAAAACTCTCTGTTGGAATAGTGTATTGATTCTCTCCTCTTAATCTGCAGGTTACTACTTTGAAATTCCATCGATTGGAGCCATCAGAATCAACACCCAGGTAAAGTATACGGAGTGTGTACAAGCTCCTGAATGCACCTTTATGAAAACACCAAAAAAAGGCAATTTGAAGCACGGAGCCAGTCCATTCTTCCTTCACGGTTGCTTTGATGATAATTATACTGATTGTAGATATGCTTTTAAGTGTTCCCTAACAAAAGGGACAGAAGATGACGCAGCGGGATGGTTACAGAGAGGAAGTGACAGAGTTGAAGATGGAGTGATAACAAATAGGGTTGTGGTCTTTCGATGAGGATGTTTGTGAAAGCTCTGAAGTAGAGACTTTCAGATCTCTTTCTGTCTTTCTTTTGCACACACACGCACAGGCACAGGCACATGCATAGGACCCTGCCGCTCCCCACTCTTCCTTGAGGCACTACGAGCTTCTAGGGCCCCTTGGGATAACCATTCCAGCTGTAGAAATTGACTCAGTTGCTGGGAGGTGGGGGAGCTACAGCAAACCCCTCCTCCCCCTGCTCCTACCACCCACCACCACCACTGCCCCCCCACCCCACCCACCCCACCCCCCCAGCCCACCCCCCGGTGAGCGATCAGACCCCAGAATATACTGTCAGCTGTTCCATTAACTCCGGCATATTTATATTCTGAGAACTGCCACTTACTCTAATAGGTTTTCTGAAGGTGGGTGACTACAGCTCTCTGTAGAGGCCCAGAAGACACATTATTTAATCGTACTCTTCCCTTCAACATCACACACTCATCACATAGTCTCTTAGATGGCAACATTCAAATAACAGATGGACCATAGATGGCAAAAATATTGTTATTCATACTGTCCTGAGTCATGCAATTATGTAGGAAGACTTGAAAATAAATGGCAGAATATTTTGTGTTTCTGCGCGGATACATGACGCTGGAGTTTCTAGTGACTTATGTCGTCCATTCTTTGTATAGGATCTCAGTGGAGCAACAATAACAGCCTAGGCTTTAGTTGGGATGTTTGTCTTTAGAGGCAGCGTGCTGATGAGTTTGCTCTCTGGGATTGCTGTTGTTCCGGTACCCATGGAGACAATAGCATTTAATCAACATGCAGGGACACTGCTGGAGTCTATATGGCTTCAGTTCCTTTGGACCACATATCTCCAGTTGCTGACTTTTTATGTTTCCTAGATTGTTCTAGCCAGGCGGAAAATTTCCCCCATATCCCGTGAAAAGGTCTGGCTGTCATTGTCCTGATGGAATATCTCCCTGTGGCGCGTTAAACCGGACTTTTATTGAGCTAATAATAGAATAGGTTACGCCTGTCAGCACCTCACTGTTCAGGCGATGGAAAAAACAAACGGTCAAAAGCATAATACTGAAATGGCTGTGTGCTTATACAGGGCCCCCCTTTTGTGTATTGAGGGGAGATACAAGGGTCAGAGAGCTGCGGTAATGTTTCCCTTTTCGCTGCAAAATGGGTAGAAATTTGTCATCATGTTAAAAAGGCTAATGTTTTTAAAATTAACATTTGACCCTGCGAGAGCCGCTGCATTCACACTGATCCTGTTTTTACATTTGAATACGTTGTGTTTATACATAAAGATAGACATTTGGCATTATAGCTCGCCGACTGCTGCTGAATAGGATACTAAGGATGATTTCAGAGCTTTTGTAAATGTTGGCAGATGTACGCACAGTCAGTATAATTAGAGATTTATGTTGCTGTCTCTGGTCCTTATAATAACAAGACCCTGAAGGCTCTCAGTGTGATCGTCCCGTCCCTGGTAGGCTTTTTTTCCCCTCCACACTGTGCTGCTGCTGAACATGTCATGAGGTCACTCACTCAATAATTTTACCAATGACACATCATCTCCAAAATGACAAGAATCAATACATTGTTTACAAAAAAAGAGCATCTCAGCCATTGTGCGAGGTGGCTCCTGAGAACAGAAGAATATAGTGAATATGATGTATTACTAGTGGACTTAACCCCTCACCTCTATTCACAATAGCTGTGGGACATTTTCACAGTGCCGGCGATGACAGTAGAGCCTGTGGGAGAATGGCCTGTTTGCACGTCGTGCCACTGACACCCCTAATGTGTTTTTAATAGCTCCTTCATAATGATGAGAAACGGCCTTGAGTGGCTCAGGACTGGAGGCTTTATGGCTCGGCAGGACTGGGATGCTGCTGCTGGTGGCCCACTGGTTTATGTGGTGACAGAGAGGAGGCCGGTCAGGGTCTCGTAGTTTTATGACAGATGAACGTTGGCTCTTCCAGCTCTTCGCTTTTAATGCCTCTACATGACAAGCACTATAAACGTTTGTTTGATTGTGTGTGTTTATTGTGCGTGGTCACACGAGCATGTGTGTTTTTGCTGCTGCAGGAGTACCTGGATGTCCTTGGTCGTCCCATGGTGCTGGCCGGGACTAGAGCAAAGCAGGTGCAGTGGACAAACGTCTACCAGGATGCTCTGGTAAGAGGGAACTTCTTTTCATTACACTTGAAGTAACCATTAGAGTAGAGATGCTCCCACACAATTTCTTCTTCCAGATACTGATTCTGATACCTGAACTTGCGTATCGGCTGATACCAAGTACCAATCCAAAACCATTGCGTTAACAGCTGTATTCTAACCCTGTGTGGATGTTCGATCATTGATATTGTTGTATGCAGGCCGGCCATCAGGGGGCTCACAGGGTACAGATGACCCCGGCCCAGGGCCTCGGGGGGGGTCAATGAAATGTCTATGGTTGACCCTTAAATGGAATCAAGTACAACAATTTACTTACTGACTAATTTCACTGACAATACAAGTTATATGTTTTGACATGATAAATGTATTTTTATCATTGAAACACATTTTAACGTGCCATCTGATACTCAAAACCCCGTGGGTATTGTGAATACATGCAAATGCCATGGGTCAGATGCTCAATGCGCAGGACTCACAAGCGCGGCCAGTGTAAACATCTGAGGCAGACTGCAGCCTGACTGGCTAAGTCAGGGTGCCTCACCCAAAGTCAGAGGCTCTGACAGGAAAAGCCAGGGTACAGAGAGAACAAGAAAATGAAAGGAGCAGAGAGGCAGTGGGCAAATGTCTGGCAAGAAATGTGAAGAAGCACCAGACATGACAGGCGAAGCTCATGCTGAGAATTTAGGCAGAATATTTTTTAGCAAATAAAACCTGCTGTAGCAGGCTCACTTCTAAAGCTACATCATATTAAACTAGAGAAGCTTAGGCATCTATTGGTACCAACCATGTTATGCTATCTTGTCGGAAAGGGGCACAAAAAATGCTTCAAAGTTATGTTACATTTTGGCAGGGGAAAATTATTTATTTAAATATTTCTGCATACTGGGGTTCAGTGGTGTAGTGGTTGTTGATGAGGTGGGTGTGCTACAAGGTAGATGGGTAGATTACTGAGGAGGAAGTAGGTATACTCTCCTATATATTCCAGTGGCTTTATGGCTGATAGGTGGGTATATGCTAAACAGCCAGAAAAGAGGTGGATATACCCCGTATTCCTGTGTATACCCTCCACTACACCGCTGCTGTGGTCCCTATATAGTCTTGAAATTACATAAGTGGGTATGACTCGAAAACTGGGTGTTCATAGCCATATACTCTTTACACTATTTCAGTTCTGCAGATAATTTGACCAAAATTTGATTGAAAGAGCCCTCAAGATTCAATGAGGAAATGAAGAGAAAAGTTATGTTTGCTCATGATTTGATCTTATGATTTAATACCATGCAGTAATTTCCTCCCCCCCTGATGGGTAGGGATGAGGGGCCCATTTTGGAAAATGTTGTCCCCCTGCCCATATTACTTAGTGGCTGGCCTGGTTGTATGGCATGGCTCTGGTTAAACCCTTAAACCACGAACAAATACACACAGAGAATGAATGCTTGTCATGTTGCCTTGTTACTGGTGGGACTTTTCCAGTGTAAACTATTGCCGCTCTAAAACCATAGTCGCCTGTGGCTGCACAGCTCAACTTGCTGTGTAGGCTACTGTTTCATCGCGCTGAAGAAGAATTGATTTTTGAAAAAACTGTTTTATCATGGCGTGAAACTACTTTAAAGTTTATAAATAAATTACGTGGTATGGCATCAGTACATAGACTTGCATACTTGCTGGTACCCAATCCAGCATCTTAGGCAGCATTGGAGGCATTTCAGATATTGTTATCAGTATCGGAACAACTCTACTTAAATTATTGAGTCCATTAGCTACTTTTGATGTGTGAATCATCAGCACATGTTAAAGACATTCAACTAATGACATCTTACAGTTGTCTACATATAAGCACAGTTTCTGTTCCACTGTCTTACAAGAATAATATAAGATTATGTCATCACTGTTTATTGTTCTTAAAGGTCAACTATGAAGGATTTTCTGACAAACAATATATAGACTCAAACAAAAGTAATCCCCCTCCATCATCACGTATAATCCACTAGAAGTGTGTGGCAGTGTATTTATCTGCAGAGATTCTGCCCTCTGCCTGTATTTTCTTATTTTCCTCTTATTTTGCTATGTTCAGAACATTCCTGGAAAAGCGCACAGGTGAGGTTGAGAATTTATAAAAAGGTAGCAACTGGGTGCCAGACTGTAAGCAGCAGGCATCCAAGAGGAAGCTACAAAAATTGCAGAAACAGTGCTGAAAAAAAATTCAAATTCAGGGAAGGAGAGTGAATCTGGGGTTGACTTTCATTTTCACCGACGATAGTGTTACAAACGGTAACCGAGAATTCCTGCAAAGTATAATGTTAAACACAAAGTCCTACTTGCAGTCACAACCTCTTAGTTTATTCAGTTTGTATAATGAAACAAAGCAATATTTTAACTTGGATTTCTAACATGTGTCCTCAGGGTTTGGGTCTCGTCATCACCGGGACGATGCCGGTCTTCAACCTCACTGTTGATACCGTAAGCTCCCAGGTAAAAACAACACAGCAATACAAGACATGGAGCTTAAAATAGCTCACTTACACTGCACACATTATGACTCATAGCCCAGCTCATCATTCATATTAATGAGCCTTTACCTTCATCATTATGTAAGAACAATGTTTTAATTGTCATTCATGTGGTTAAGGCTTCATAAGGTTATTCAAGCAGAAACAGGAGTTGGAGTAGCAGGTGGGCTCCAGGTTTTATTTTGCGCCTCTTTGCTGTCGTTGACCATCATCAGTCATTTGTAATGGCGACCACACAGCTGCTGCTCTTCTAGGCAACACCTCCCCCCTGAGGTGACAACAGACATCACAGCCACCCATCTGTAGACTCTATTATCATCCAGAGAGAGCACAGATGCATCCAGCTTTCAGTGTCCATGACCAGAGTATTCACTCTGAGCTCATAACAGTGCTGCTGCAAACTGACTCAATTTAAGGTAGACTGTAAAAAATATCTACTAATCAGATTGCACTCAAAGTGATAAGTCAATGATGGCATGGAGATGTTGTCAGTACTCTCATGGCGCAGCTACTGGCTCTCTGTGATTCTCTCTGATGCCGGTGCGGTTGTGGATAAAATGCTAATGATTATGTATTCCTTCTACAGAACCAGCTCATCCTCGGAGTCATGGGAGTAGATATCGCAGTCAGCGAAATCAAAAAGAAGACACCTACATACAGAGTGAGCATGTCACACAATCAATTTCACTCTCGTATCACTTTCATATTGATGATTATTGAATCATATCCACTTTTCATGTGCAGCTTGGGGCCAACGGCTACACCTTTGCTATCGACCCAAATGGCTACGTGCTGCTGCATCCCAACCTGCGACCCAAAGTAGGTCCAGCTAGAAACGCTGCATCTAATGAGTTAACATGCTTCTGATTCTGAAGGTAAATTTGGCCGTTTTTCCGGCTGACTTACCTCCTCCGTCTTCCCCTGCTTTCTCTCTCTTGTTCAGATCATTAACTTCAGGGAGCCCGTCACTCTGGACTTTCTGGATGCAGAGCTGGAGGACAACAACAAGGAGGAGGTAAAAACATCTTCTCTGAAAACATCATTACTATCAACTTGTGTGTCTAATATATGTTTAATTTAATCATTTTATTTGTCAGTTGTTTTTTCCTTTTGTGTACCAGTGTGCCTTCTCACGCTGCATCATCTCCCTCCCCTTCTTTTAGATCCGTCGACAGATGATTGATGGGAAATCGGGGCAAAGGAAAATCAAGACGCTCATTAAGTCAGTTGATGAGGCAAGTCATCAATATATGAGACTCAATCATGATCCAAAGTAGCACCTTCCTGGATGGTGTAGTAATGAACCTGAATGACTCAGTATGTTTAGGATCTGTTGTTTCTCTCCAATTATGGAGGGGTGTTCTGAGGGTGTGACGGCGTTACATATTTCTCTTTGTGCTTGTCAACAGAGGTACATTGACGAGGCCATGCGCACATACACATGGACGCCTGTGGACGGTACAGATTACAGGTAGGTTTGAAATCAAACACTCATCACCTGACCTCAGAACCAAAAAGATTGTGCAACTTGAACCTGTGAGTGAAGTCCAACTTTGATACTTTTGATTCACCCAGTTTGAGTCCCAAGTCTCAGATTTACAGTTGACAGCTGTTACTCATCAACCAGCCGTGTTTGTTAACTGGAGCTGCCACAATCATGCACTGTGAAGAGACTATCACTGTATAAAGGCAACTTGCTCATCTGCCGTCTGTATTTGCATAAAATAATTCATCTGAATCACCCAAATTAAAGAACACATTTTTTTCTCTCTCTCATAAAAACCTTCGACAGTACTCTAAGCACAAATTAATTGCGTAGTTTATTCATCTCAAAACTTGGTTGAACATTTGAGGTTGCATCGTAATGACATTTCCTCCAGGCAGCACTTTGCAAATTACAGTTTATGATATTCAATAGTCCTACAAATGCCTGGTGTGTGTTTTTACATCTGCTGGCAGCGTGCCTGGGCCTGGCCGAGTCTGTATGAGGCTTTCTCTGCACAACTCTATTAATATTCAACTCAAAGGGAAATTCCAGTGTATTTAACAATCCTCATGTGTTACTGTTGAGGCCTAGAGTCTAATGCTAAGCAGACATTCAAAGCTCTACTGTGTCATACATCCCACCCTTTAGAGTTTAGGGACTTTTTTGCACATAAAACTGGTGACGTTGGGTGTTTCTGTAAATCTTAATTATTCGGCTGTAGCTGTAGCTCAGTCTGAACCTGATACAGTCACAGCCTGATTTTCTATCTGTTCCAATTAATCCTCTTACTGGGTAATGTTTTAGCTTTGTATGGCACCACAGATTAAGAGATGGGACATGTATTTCTATTTCTTTCTCTTTTTAATTTCTGGCTTTGGAAGAACAGTTTATATTTGTAACATAAAGCAAATGTAGGTCAGACAACGATGCTGTAGGGATAACAGGTTACAAACTGAAACTAATATTTCTCTTTTGTTTGAACCCTGGTGATGTTTCATTTGACTCAAACAGTGACAGTAATGTGTTGCAGATATTAGGCATGTATCAAGCTTCACAGGGCGTCCTGGCTCCAAATGCACAAAATTAGATTGTTCGCTAAATATATTTATAGAAGAGTGTAGTAAAAATGCTAAAATGGAGTGGGATTTTAAATGAGATTGACTTTCTCTCCATAAGTAATAGCCCACTGGTTTATTATAGTGCTCAAAGGTACCTTACATCATTTTTAGTGTGTAGTGCAGCTTGTTAACACATTTATTTTTACATTCATTGTTTCTTTGGACATTGAACAAAGGCTCTTAATGGTTAGCTACTTTCCTTTCACACAAAACAGCAGTCTTCCTCACCTGCAGCCTTTTGTTGGCACATTCCTGCCATCTGACAGTCAGCGGAGGATCATAAAGCCATTGGCAAGAATGTGCCAACCCCCCTTACGTTTGCATGTTTGCATCCTTGTGCAAGTGTGTGCACATACAAACACAACAAGAATAAAAAAAACATTGCTCAGTTGCACTACTGGTGGTCGAAATATCCACAAGCTACCTTTAAGATTGATCCTTTGCTGTTTTATGATGTCAAACTAAATAAGCCATGAAACCTTTTCATGGGACCTCTAAATTAGCTGCGTAATACCCTTTTCCCACCAAATTTAGCAGGTGTATGAAGTAACACAGGAAAACATGCTAAAAATAGGTGATACTTCGTTCCCATTGCCAGTAGACGGGTGCCCCTTTCTGTTTTTTGTTCTGGTGTGTCATGTTCAAGGTCACAAAATCACTGAAAAACAGGTTAGTAAACAGTAAAAAGCAGTGTGGAGGACAGTTAAGATCTTTTTTTTTATATCTGTTACTTATTCAGTCTCTCTTTCAAACTCGGTACAGACTAATTTGGAACGATGTTGGAGCAGTGGTTGGACAGAAACGAACGATATTTGCAGCTGGGACAGCAAAGAATTGCAGAAGTTAATAACAGTTGTGTCAGTTCATTCATTTATTTTCCATAACCGCTTACCCTGTGAGGGGTCGTGGGTGTGCTGACATTGGCCGAGACACCCTGGTCAGGCTGCCAGACTATCACAGGGCTGACACATAGAGACAACCGTTCACACTCCCATTCACACCTACGGTCAATTGTCAGTTGCATCTCCACAACCAGTTAACCTGCATGTCTTTGGACTGTGGGAGGAGGGCAGAGTACACAGAGAAAACCTATGTTGACATGGGGAGAACATGCAAAGTCCACACAGTAGGGCTCCCCCACCTCAGGGTTCGGTCATGTCAGCGTTACACCAATTTCTGTGACCCGTTAGAGAGCACATGACCCATCCCTTAAACCCTGAACCCTCAAATACTCACAACACTAAACAATTTTTAAAGGGAGTCTAGTATTTGGTCACAGAATTTCAAGGGTCATAGATTTCATAATATCACTTGAAAAGGGGCAAAATTAGTGTGTCCACTCCGGTGTCGTGTTTTTATCACTTATCGCTCAAGTGCCAAAAGCTGCAATACCTTGAACAGCCATTTGAGGCTGGCTGCGAAAGTAATTGAATCCCCATAAACCCCCATGATAAAATGTCCAACTTTACACCAGAAATAAACATGTTTACAGACTGGTACAAAAAACGACTTTGGTCTCTATAGCTAATTTCAACATTCATGACAACTGTTCCGACTGTTTGATATATAACCCACCTGTTTACATTTTATTAAGGCTTTAAGTTGTGCATAATTAAGAGCATGCCTGGCTTCGAAAAACAAAGATGAGTCCACAGACCAATGGGTGACATCACAGTGGCTATTATTTTATACAGTCTCTGGGTTTTTTGTCCAGTGGGAAATCTGTTTAAGTGAGCGTCCCCGACTGTGTGTGTTTTTATGTTAATGTGTTTACATGTGCTTGTTAATGATTCTCTGCGTCTGCCTCGTCACCTGCAGTCTAGGGTTGGTACTGCCCACATATAGTGAGAACCACATCAAGGCCAACCTGAGTGACCAGATCCTTCAGGTGCAGTGTAAGTACCCGGGAATACCCAGCATCCTTCGCTCTCTGTCTCTCTCACTCCTTCTCTTTCTCTCTGTCCACTCCTTCCTCGTCTCTCTCTCCCAAAATATGACCTTATGCTCTTATTCAGTCCTTTGTCCTGGGTCTCCAACATCATCATAGGGAGTGTACGAGCGGAGTGGCCTGCCCTGCTCCCGCCCTCTTCCCCCCTTCTCCCCCGCCCTCTCTACGCTCTCCGATAGGCAGGATCATACCTGAGTCCCCCGACTCCTCTACTGCCCCCTGTTCCCTCCTGTCTTCATGCTGTGCTGTAAAATGGTGATGTTTTTTCTTCACACTGGCTGAAGAAAAAAATAACTGAACTGACAGAAAGGTGAAAGCTGTGGTTTTACTGTGTTACTCAGGTGAAAATAATGGTGACTTCTGTGCTATTATTTTTTTTGCCAAATGCTCTCGCCTCTTCTCCACCAAAGTAATGATTCTGAAGCATCTGTGTTCAAAGTATTTGATGTTCTGACAAACTGTGAAAACACGCATGCTTTTCACTCCTTATGATGAGTTTTATGATTTGGGGAATTTTCCTTCTGTTATGTGTGTGATTTCTTTTTTCTTTATTATTATTTTTGTTAGATTGTGTGAAATGTTTCTCAGCTTTGGAATCATTCAGTATATAAACTCCCACACGGCCCGGGATCAGGGCTCGTCTAATGTGGGAGTTTGGGTATTTGTGGGTCTGAATGGGGACACGTGTTGTCTCTCTCATTCTTTCTTTGTCCAGACCCTGTTACTCCCTCTTTTCCTGTTTCATTTGATTTTTCTTTTCTTTTCTGTTCGACCATGGTTATCTCTCACAATTACTGGTTTCGTCTTTACTGTTTTCCTTTCCTGAATTTCCCAGTTTTCCTTTTTTTTCCTTTCTTCCGTTGGTTTTTCCGTTTCCTCGTTTGCTCTTTGCAAATAAGATGTTTGCTCTTCATTTGTTTTTCTCTTTTGTCTTGTTTGACTTAAATTGGTTTTTTTCTTTCAAGAAAACAATATTTTTATTCAAACAGTAATTGAATAAAATATTGTCTGTGATCCCCCCCTTCCCACCCGACCCCCTGTTTCTTTTCTTGCTCACTCCTTCTCTGATGGATCCACACAGTGCCATACACCAAGGGCAAGTATACTCCATATTGGTCCACGTTCCCTTCCTTTACTTCCTACTCCCTACCGCTGCCTCCTTCCCACACCTCTCGTCCTTAACCTCTTCCTGCTGCCCCCTCCCCTCCCCTCCCCTCCTCACCTCCTCCTACCCTCACCTGTCCCAGCCTGCTTGCCTCTGTTCCTGCCCGTCTTGCCTTCAGGACTTCCTCCCTTTTTTCCCCTCTTTTTCCTCCTCCTCCTCCCCCTCCTTTTATCCCTCCTTCTCCTCTTCACCCTCTTGCTGCAGCTCAAATCCCACATATCTCACGATGGCTCCTCTGGCCCCCAACCTCACCCTCCTCCCCATGTATCTGCTGCCCCAGAAGCAAAAAAAGAACAAAAAAGAAAAACACCTACTGCACCCAAGGAAGACAGATATACATGTTCTCTGTTAAAACTTGTCTTTTGTCCTCCCTCCTAATCCTTTTCCTTCTGTGGATAGCTCCAAATGGGTGGTGTCTGCCTCCTTCCTCTCTCTGTCTGTCTCTCCTTCTTACACTTCTTTCATTTTCTTTCACCATATTTCTCTCTCTTCCTCATCTTCTTTTTTACATTTCTCTTTCACCATCTTTTCTGTCTTTCTCTCTCTTTGTCTTTTTCTTACAGTGTCATTAGCTAATAAATGTCTTAACTAATTCTCACACTAGGGCTCAGGTTTTGGCAGATCTTTAATTAGATTTTTAAAAACTCCCTCTTATTAGCACAATAGCTACATCAGTTGAGTTTATAGAGCTCTACGTTCTGTAAAATATTTCTAGTTGTTTGCTGTAACATTTTCATAATCAAGTAGGTAAACACACTAATCTGAAATGTTAATTTTATAGCACTACATCTTAGCTATAATAACGCATCAGCACATAGACCTCATGTAAGTACTGCTTTTTATCTATAGTAGCGTAAATAGGGAGCTCTTTTATAACTACATATATAAAATAAAAGATATTCAATGTTTGTTAGCTGCCGTAGTATCTCGTCCATAGCTGGAGACGTCGCAGCAGCCTGCAGACTGACCCTTCAGGGCTGAGCTGCCTGCCCAGGTCCTCCCATGTTGTCAGGTGTCAGGGTGCCGCTCGGCGCAGCGCCTGACTCCTGTGTCGTCCCTCTGTACTCCCTGTCTCCATCGGCTTGTCTCCCTCCCTCCTCACCCCTCAGACTGCCAAGGGCATGGCCCAGCCATTCCTCAGTAAACCCGACCCCGGATGTGCACGGCATTGTGGGCGGAAAACTACCTGGGCACTCTATTTTACCTCTAAAATTTCCCTCCTCTGCTGTACACCGTTACAGGTCTTGACATAATGAGAAAATAACACGTTGGATTTGTCGCGCCTGTTGAGGCTTTAATGCTGGTGGATATTTTGTGCTCTGTTTTGTCTGTGATAGATGAAGTTGCCCTTTGACATGCCCTTCACAATGCAATGCATCTCCTCTGATTATGTGTCTCTCTGAGCCCTCTCCCCTGCCAGTCTGAGGGGTGACCACTTCCATCAGGACCTTCACTCACCTCCCCCCTGCAATAGTTGGCCATGTTGATGCCTGCCTGATCTAAAAAGCACTCATTATGGATAATCTGTGTGAGAACTTGCTTCCTGACTCATCACGTCTCGCAAGTCAGTTCTCGGACATCCAAAATATGTTAGATCAAAACCGGATGAATCAGAAAATGTTTGTTGACAAAGTGATGAAAAGAAAAAAAAAGAAGAAGAAGGTGTGAGTGCTTGTGAAACTAAAGCAGTTATCCATTGAGAGTCAGGTTCTATTTTGGGCACCATATTGGCTAACGCTAGTGTTCCCATGATACCTCACTGTTGCTATGGTAAACTCCCTTCTGCGTCCCTGCACCTCTGAAGAACAGCTGCTGTTTACCCACAACTCCCCACTGCCCTGCCCACTGCTCTTCCCGGATAATCTTCCCCTTTCTGTTGCAGATTTTGAATCACTGCTGCCAAACAGTTTTGAGTCTGAAGGACATGTATTCATTGCTCCCAGGTAGCCCTGCGTGTGAATGCTTGGTGTTGTTCATGGTCATCAGTGTTTGGTCTTGTCTTTCAGTACACTATATACTTCTCTTTTGTTGTTGTTGTTGTTGTGTTGGCTCCACCTTTAGCATTGTTTATCTATCATCTTCTTTCTTAAATAATTTCTACTGTGATTTTGAGTTGCACTGTGTGTAAGTGGTTGGTTACATTTATTTATTTTTCAGTCCAAGTGGTGTGTTGATTTGCTGTCACAAATTTAAGGAAAATACAAGATTCATCATAACCTCCAAAGATGATTTTTTATTTATTTACCCATTCTCCTCCCTGAGTTGACCTTGTTACAATAAGATATTGAAGCAACATCAAATCTTTGCATGCTGCTACCGTTACATTGTATGTTTGTATTACACATTCATATTTAGGAGTTATTGGTTTGGTTGTACAACATCATGTTAAAGATATACTATGCAGGATTGTTGGTTACTACTTATATAAAAGCTCGCCAGCGAAAGTGAGAGTAAAAGCCAACACCACATTCACTCTGGTTTGCTGTTTCACCTTGCAATACGCCTCCTGCTTACAGTCTGGCACGTGGCCGCTACCTTTTTCTAAAGCCCCGACCTGAGAGCCGTCGGAGTACACACCCATAAACATCCCAAACACAGAAAATAAGAAGACAATACAGGCAGAGTCTTTGCAGGAAAATACATGCCACACACTTCTAGTAGGTCATAAGTGATGATTGAGAGCGATTACTTCTGTCTGAGTCTATACATTGGTTTTTCGGAAAATCCTGCCTAGTATATCTTTAAGGATAAAACGGATATTGGACAACAAAAGCAGTGTATGTGAAAAAAAATCCTCTTTGTATGTTCTGTTCTGTTATCAAACCCTCACGGCCTCCAGCTGCAGCCTGAATTCCGAAACACACTGATACAAATCACTCTTTCATTGTGATGCCTGTGCTCCACATTCACATTTTGTCCTGATCGACGGCCATCTTAGCATATTGGAATTTGAGCTTTAAGACGTGCATGCTGCACATGATAGCATCACGTAACACGTATATGGCTTCACGCATCCCTGCTCTGTGTGCCCTCTATAAAGGACAAGTAAGGCAGAGTGTAAATATTGCATAGAAGTGTTTGTTTTTAGCTTCTGTCTCTGAGTTAAAATGCTGCGTTTGTTCCTCAGGGAGTACTGCAATGATCTGGAGCTGTCCAACAACAACACTGAGTTCCTGCTCAACTTCATTGCTCTCATGGAGAAGGTGACACCAGACTCCAAACAATGTGAGGTTCTTTCTTTTCCCTCACACGCAATCGCAATGCATTTTATTGATTTTATATTCAAGATTGACTTTAATGGTTAAGGCTAGTGATGTTATATATATATATATATATATATATATATATATTTTCAACAAATCCCATTAAAAAAACACTGAAAAGGCCAATAATTTTTTCCCAATGGTAATTATTGTATTTGTAGCCATAGCTATGAGCAAAAAATTACGTTTTTAATTTTGCCACTGAGCTTGCACAGAGACAAGGTGAGATTTATGAATTTATTTTGGCTGGAAATTGGTGACACCGTCAAATTTTGGGGGAGGAAATCTTGTGTGTTCATATTAACTATAATTATTATTATTTTACGTTTGATTAGATTTGACTCTGTTTTAGAAATCCTCTCATTTGGTGCAGTTTTTTTCTGTTCCAGAAAAGAGGAATGTGGATAAAACTGACATTCTGTTTGTTTCCACCCTCTCTGGTCATCTCTATTTAATGTTTAGGTGACAATTTGCTCCTTCATAACCTGATTCTGGACACTGGCATCATCAGGCAGCTGGTGGAGAAAGTGTGGAAGAATAAAGACTTGAATACGTGAGTGTGATTTGCCAACACTGAGGGTCTTGTGGGATTTGACTCTGAGTGAAGTTTAGATTTGATACCAGTCTCTTTTCTCTACCCTGATGTTTAGATACGGCTTTCTGGCTGTGTTTGCTGCATCAGACGGAGGTGTAACAAGAGTGTTTCCAAACAAGTAAGTGCTCTACCCGTCAGCTGTGTGTCTGTTAGGTTTGTCACTTTATTCTCTTTTAAGGCAGTAAGATGTGAAGACTTAAAATGTTTGAGTAGGCTTGTACATCAGAGATTTACAGCCCCGGTGTCGGTGCTCTTAAATCTCAGGGCTGCAGAAACCTGGGAGGAAGACCCTGAGCCGTTTAATGCCAGCTATTACCGCCGCAGTCTCGACAACAAGGGCTACATCTTCCGTGCGCCTTATCGAACAGGTGAATGATGCTCTCTTGTTGTTGGGTTATATATCTCACACTGAGCCTCGTAATGTGTTCGTGGCTCTTTGTTTCTAACCCCCCTCCCGGCTTGTTTGTCTGTTTTGTTTCCCTCTTGAAGCCCGGGACGAGCTGCTGAACCCAGAGAATGACACCATAGGGATCCTGGTCAGCACAGCTGTGGAGATCACAGTAGGAGGGAAGACCATCAAACCTGCAGGTGGGTTCAGCCCTGAAAGAGGAAACAAAATCCTTATACTGATTCAGTGCAGGATTTTCCACCCAAAAAACATGTATAAACTCATACAAAAGTAATTCCTCTCTGCCCTCGGCCTGTATTTTCTTACTTTCCTCTTATTTTCTGTGCTCAGGACATGAATGAGCTTGTACCTCCACAGCACTTTGAAAGCTAGAGTGAGAGACTTTTACAAGAAATTAACATCTGTTACATTCAATACTTTGCTAAACGAGTTCATACAATGCTGATTGAGCCTATCACAGCCAGGGAAAATTTCGGTGTTGGGTGTCTGTGCGACATTCCTTTGCAGATGCATCAGAGTGATGCATTTCACATCAACCAGCCAGAGCTGAAGGGGACAGGAAGATGGGAGAGATGAATTTACTTACTTTACATTTGATTTGTTTCTATTTTGTTGTGTTAAGGTCTTTGCACACTGAGTCCGTTTTTACGGATGCATTTTTTTAATCCATGATCCAAAAAATTGTTAGGCACAGAAACCTTGCACACTGATTCATGTGGGTTTTATTGTTCTATTCATTGTGAAAATTCGCAATACTGACAAATTGAAAAAACACATTTCCTCCTTTGCCTCTCTCCACTGGAGTTAAATATCTGGCTGTCATCACTCCCTCCCTGTGTCTTGCATTTGGCACCGCAGCTGCATGAAGGTCCTGTTGTCTCCAGCTGTCCTCCCTGTCCATCTCCACATTATGTGTGCGGTGTGCTCCTTCTCGTCATCATCATTATCCACCTGAATATTATTATCTGACCTGTTGAACATGAGCTATCTGAGTTAAGAAATGATTCTGTGCGCCCCATGTTCCTCTGTCTTGTTATGGCTGTGTCCCACCGTCACATTTTCTTCACTGATTCTACGTCAAACAGCTCTCTAAAGGCTTCTGACAGATGCAAATAATGCAGGACATTGAACCTTTTCTGAATTTTAATGATGGACAAAGGTCTCAGACTCAGTGTGCAAATGTGATTGACGCAACGTGAGGTCGTATTTATTTTCAGACTTGCAACAATTTCTGACGAAAAAACAGACTCGGTGTGCAAAGGCCTTTCTTCTGTTAGGCACTGCTTTTCATTTTGTTTTCTCATTGCTTCATCTGCGTGTGCCTTATTCTGATACTTCTTCTGATTCTATATATTTTGGAAGCTATGTCGGAAAATCCAAAGATGCGTCCAAGAAAAGTTTCTGCAGTGGATGCTCCAGATAAAAAAAGAAAATCTGCATTCAGAGGAAGGATTTAAGTAAAGGAAAAAAAGCCCACTTGTAGGCATACGTCATAAGCACGTGTTGACAGTGTTTATGTAATTACTCTCATTGCCAGAAGGGGGAGACAAAAATTCTGCACTCCAGCTTTAAAGAAAATGTTTTAAATCCAGGCAGAGATAGTTACACATTTGTGTTTGTGCTTCTTGTCACTTTGTGTGGACATGTCCATGTTCTGCATCTATTTTTGGGGCCTTTTTTGTCCTTTTGTATTTTACATTTTCATCTCATTTCCAAACTTCTCTTTCTCTCAGTGGTCGGAGTGAAACTGGACCTCGAAGCCTGGACGGATAAGTTCAAGATTCTTGCCAGCAATCACACAGACGGCCACCAAGGCTCAAATACGGTGAAATATACTTTAAGAAATATATTCACATGTTTAAGTCTTCAGCCGCAGTTTTAAGATGCTCAGCTGCTAACTTTATTTTCTCTGTGACAGTGTGGACCAAACAGGGGCTGTGAAATGGACTGTGAAGCCAACAGTGAGGTAAGTACTTCTGCAGATATCTGAAGAGCTTCCTGTATTCAGCTCCATCTACTCCATCATAGCACTGTACATTTTGTGCTTGTAACTAACACCCTATCTTTGCCTCTGTGTGCAGGATCTCCTGTGTTATTTGATAGATGACGGTGGATTCCTCATCATGTCTAATCAGAAGGATGACTGGAACAAGGTGGAGTTGATAAATTAATTTGACCACACTGACCATGTTTGCTTGTGTATCTTTACACTCAGCTTAACTACTGTTTCTTATTCCCCACAGGTGGGCATGTTCTTCAGTGATGTTGATCCCTACCTGATGTACGCGCTCTACAACAATTCCTTCTACAACCGCAAGCAGTCATTCGACTACCAGTCTGTGTGTGAACGCATGCCCAACAGTGAAGCTGGAGCTGCACCCAGAGGAGTGTTTGTGGTAAGAACAACAAGATTTCAAAAACTAAGATAGATGATAATGAGTTAAATAATTGGCAGATAGAGAGACTGATATTAAATTGAAATATGCATGTAATCCAGTTGATAGGACGATCTTATTGTTCCATTTTTCTCTTCTGTATCTGCAGCCCACAATTGCAGATTTTCTAAACGTGGCTTGGTGGACGTCAGCAGCTGCATGGTGAGTCATCAAGCTCGAATAAAATTAAAAAACACAATTATAACACACAGTACACACATAATGTACCTGAAGAAAATGATTCGATGGACATTTCTAGTATACAGTACCATTTTCACTGCAAATACATTGCTGTAACTCATCAGTTACAGTACTAAGCCCCATCTTGTGTCTCCACAGGTCCTTGTTCCAACAGTTTATATACGGACTGGCTTATAACAGCTGGTTTGTCACAGGTGGGTTCAAACAAGACAGTCATTGAATGTTATCTTAAAGGGAGTAGGAACAATTGAAGAGATACACTGTTTATGTTAGATGAGAAGATCGATACCATTCTCATGATGTTTGTGTTTTAAGTACGACACTTAAAGAAGGGAGGCGTGTAGCCTAGCTCAGCACGGGAAAACAGCTCTTGGGGTCTCTTCTAAATTAAAAACACCCCCACACGCACCTCTAAAGCTCACTAATCAACTCTTTCTACCTTGTTTGTTCAATATGTAGACAGCCAGGAATGTAAAAACAACAATTTGTGGGGAAGTTACTGTGTCAGTCTTTTCATCTCGCTCTCAGAAAGAAGAAAAACTGTAATATAAAAAAATGTAAACTATTTCCGACCACTTAAAACAGGGGTGTCCAAACTTTTTTAAATGGGAGCCAGATAAGATAATGTGAAAATACCTGGGGGCCAGCTGGTTCTTGAATCATATGAGTCATGGTCATTTGGGGGGTGAAGTATTCCTTTAAGCCTTAAAGAAATACTTCACCCCCAGATGACCATTTGTATATAAATTATTCAATCTGTACTGCACTGAAATCACGAGGAAATCTTTCTTTTTCTTGTGTGCCTCCATGGTGAACAAATAATCCAAAAAATGTAGGAAATTCTTGATGAATTAAGGTAAAAGATGTCTGTGTTTCACAGTAGCAAAGGTATATCAAAACATCTGTTTACAAGCTCCCACAATTCCAAGTCTCATTTATCCAGCCGTATGCTCAGTGCTTCCCAAACACATGCATTTTGACTAAAACTCAATATTTGAATCTGAACTGAAAGTGAAAGGAATATATGGTCTCTTTAAAGCCAGACTCCATTGACAAAAACAGTAATTTTACCTCACTGAACACAGGAGCTGTTGATTTAAGCAGCCTCGATCGGTTAGTTTGTTTGTGTTATTTTGTGATTTTGATGTTTTAACGGGTTAGTTTAGATTCAGCAAAGTCACATGATAACATAAACTACTGATCAAGGCAGCAGTAGACCAGCAGCTCCTGTGTGCGGCAAGGTAAAATTACTGTTTTTGTCAGTGGAGTCTGGCTTTTAAGAGAACATAGATTAGTTCCTCTTTCAGTTCAGTTTTAAATATGGCGGTTTAGTGAAATATGCATGTGTGTGGGAAGTACTGAGCATACGAGTAGATAAATGAGACTTGGATTATACTGCATGGGTTGTGTGAGAGTTTGTAAGTGGATGTTTTTATATAGATTTGCTTTTTTGATTTTTCATTTACCGTGGAGGTATCCATGGGGGATGAAGCATTCTTTTAAAGTAAAATTGGAGTTATGAGCGATAACTTTAAAGTGCACTGACTATGTTTAATTGAAATACAGGATATCGTAGTACTTAGTGCGCAGTGTTCTCATGACATCACTTTGTTTCCAGCCTGGAGTCCACACACTGTAAATACAAGCTGTGTAAAGAAATGGTGAAGGAGAGAGATTTTACTGGCTTTTCCAGGCCAAGTGCAGACATTCATCTCTGTAATCCCATTTTTAGCATCACATCTAATAAATCAGCCGAACTGACAAGTGTAACTCTTATGTCTTTGTGCTCTGGTGATGCTGCAGATGAGGTGGATGCAGAAGGAATCGACTCCAAAGAGCGGAGTTGTGTAATGATCCAGACCCAGTACTATTTAAGTAATCTCAGCAGCTCCTACAACATTCTGCAAGACTGTGGCAACTGCTCCAGGTCTGTACACACACACACAGAGCAACGCACAAACACATGTAAACACACATGCACACACCACAAAGAATCGCGCTGTGACAGAAGCACAGTTAGCAAGACGGATTCATCCTTCTGTCGGAGCTAATAAACTCTGCTGATGATTAAACCGCATCAGCTTTAATGAAACGGTCATATCATCGGCTAAATGAGCCTTATAAGACTGTCTCATGAATCTCACTGATCCATTAGCAAATGAGGCTGTGATGTAAGTGAGCAGAGGGGGGTTGTTGACAGAGTTGTCTCTCTCCCTCTCTCTCTCTCTCTCTCTCTCTCTCTCTTTCTCTGCAGGCTGATTCATGCCAAGAGGATAAACAACACCAACTTGCTGTTTGTGGTGGCAGAGAAGATGCCGTGCAACACCTGCGAGATCGAGAAGCTGTCCCAGGAGGAGGAGGAGTGTATCCTTTTTTCACATTGTGCACCAGCTGGCAGAGGAGAAGACACACTAGATTTTATCTCTTATTTCCATACCTGTGGAAACACAGATGTGTCACATTCAATTCAAGGTTATTTTTATCATGATAGTGGGAATTATGACCAGTCATTTTACATCTGTAGGACTGCATCAGGAGCTGGTGTGTGGGCAGATAATGAAACATTGCGAAAGAGAGAAAGAAGAAAGACGAAATTCAAAGGATTTTAATTTTCCTTAATCGAGTCAATTTTCAGACAAGGAGGAAAATCCATGTGAAGAAATGACTGTGGCGCGCTATCGAAAAGGACCCTCCACCTGCTTTGACAGTAACATCTCTGTAAGATTTTCAGACATGATATCAATAAGCACATTTATTCACATTAAACCGTCTTTCAGCTGAATCATATTGCAATGATGTAATCTCATAATGCTGTCGTTTTATTCCTCCTGCACAAATAAGTGGTTCTGAGAAAGTTGTAATCAAAAACTGAAATTGAAGACCAAAACAGCAAAACACAGTTGATTAGTTTGAAAATCAGGCCGACTATTTGATGTGGTTTTGCAAACATTATTTATATTGTGTCCTAAATATCCTTACTTACATCATTATGAATGATTTCAGCATCATCACTCAGCCCTACATACTGCACAGGCACACAGCGTGACAGAGCACATACAGTTGTTGGCTACATTTAAGTTTTTGACAACTGTAATCCTTTGTCATTCAAGGAATAGTTCAACATTTTGGGAAATAAGCTTCTTTGGTTTCCCCTCAAGAGTTAGATGCAAAAACTGATACCGCTCAGGAGTCGTGTCATCACAGTGAGGTTGTCAAGCAATCAGCAGGGACTCTAGAAAGTCACCGCTCCCTGCCAAGATACAGGCTGTGCACTACATTTACAGTCCACCATTTTATTTGAGTATCCACAATAAAACATGACGTGTGCACTACCTTCTGCATTCCCACAATGCAATGCTCTGGATTTTATAGATGCTAAAATCACAGTTGCACAACTCTCAAGCTGTCAGTGACGATACAAAATGAAGATAAGAAGTAAGTGTCCGACATCTCAGTTTACTGCTCACTGTTAGGTGTGTGTTATAAAGAGAGCAGAGAGTGAGTGAACGAGTGATTTTGGACTCGGCTGTGGTCCGCCATACTGCAACTTGTTTTTACTTTAGTTTTTGTACAGATTAAACGTGTGAAGCAACATGTTGATTAGTGTGCTCTAAGTTTGCTGGTAGGCAGATTTTGTTTGGACAGTGATGAGTAGAGTAAACAAAAATGGTACTCAAGTAAAAGTATTGTACATTTATGATTATTTTTGACTCAGGTAGATGTAAAAGTCAGAAAAATAACTAATTGATAAAGAGTAAAAAAGTATCTCGTAAAAAACTACATAAGTAGGGAGTGACCTTATCAGATACAGTTTATTACATCACTGTATTACGTTCACACAGGTCCTTAACAGGTAATAAATTAAATGTAAAGTGCACAATAATTATCATAAGTGCCATATCCACTACCAGACAAATAACTAAATACATACATGCTGTTAAGCATTGTCTAAAACGGTGGTTCCCAACTGGTGGGTCATGGTCCATCAGTGGGTCACAGGTCCATTTTGAATGGACCGCAAGTGACTCACAAACATGTAAATTTGTAAAAAAAAAAAAAAAAAAACACTTTATTTTGAAGTACAGTGAACTGAATATGAATATTTTGAAGTGCCGTTTCTTGCCATAGAGTGAGTGAATAATGGACAGCTACTTGATAGAAACAGCAAACTAGCTCAACGACATGACCAAACACAAGTATGACGCTGAATGTTTTAAACTGTGTGGACCTTGAACTAATGAATAAGAAGAACTGGTCTAAAAAACTCTCTTAAAACAAACAAACAAAAAAAAACCTTTGTGTCACTAGCAGAGCAGAGTGGAGAGTCACTTCTATGAAGCTTCTGAAACATCTGGTGGATTCACAAGCATTGTCTGTCAGCGATACGGACATACGGCTGGAACACGGCACAGCTGCTGGAATCTAAAAGTTACTGAATCCTTAACGTCTGTATCGTGTGTGTGTGTGTGTGATCGTCCAAAACATAAACTCAAAGTCTATACACGCTACTACCCACCGTCTTTGGACAGAGCCGGGCTAGCTATTGCCCCTCTTTTCCAGTCTTCATGCTAGGCTAAGCTAACCTGCTGATGACTGTAGCTACAGAATTAACAGACAGATGTGAGAGTGGTATCAGTCTTCTCATCTAGCTCTTGTCAAGAAAGCAAATAAATGTTCCTCACAAAATGTTAAACTGTTCCTTTAAACAATCCCAAACTAGTAAATTGTGTGAAAGAAAAAATGTCCACCATCCTCATAGCAGTTTGTTTCTGAACAAAGGTTTAGCATGAGGTTGGATACGGGGAGCAGGTGCTTCCTGACTCACTGGACAAATAGTTGACACAGTTGATTAGTAATAAAGCATAGGGAACAATTATCTGTTGTCCATTAGCGTGCAGTATTAAAACATGCAGTGCACTAGATGTGTTTTTACAGCTGCAGTTTTCTCTTTGCAGGAGAACACATCAGACTGTGGACGGGGCCACTCCTTCCGCCCGTCCCTCTACACCTTACTGCTCATCCAGCTGCTGCTGCTGTACCCAGCCGTCAGCCCCCACGTTCACTCTCTACTACATTAATTCCATTTTCCTCCACTAATCCTCCTTTTAGCCCTCCCGAGCTTCTTTCCTGACCTAAAACACTCCGACCCCACCTTCGTGCCCCTACGCCCTCCCCCCCGATATAGTCATAGGTAATAATGGGACTTCCCTTCACGGCAAGTTGGAAGCCCTGAGTGCCGCGCTACCCAGCTCGCTTCAGTTCGTGTCGCTTAGTGACAACTGCCGGACGTTTGTGTCCTCAGCCAGTTAACCTTCATCTGCAGGAGGAGTGGGTGGTGCTGGACCACCTGGATCATCAGAGGCAACGTCAGAAAAGAGAAAACAACCCCGTCCCACCTCCATGATCACTCCACCACTTCCACCATCCAGAGAAGGGAGGGGAAAGAGGACAGGCCGATGTCCTTGTCACAGACCTCCCGCCACATACAGACTGGAGAGTTGAGGTTGTCTGTCCGCCTTCGCCTCTGTCCGTCAGACAGACGGCAGGACTCCTCCTTCTTCGTCTCTCCTCCATCTCAAGAGTCTCACTGCTCTGTCATTCGCCTCTCCTAAGAGGCTGTGGACCATTCAGCCAGTTATAGCCACCATTAAAGAAAGTAACAGAAAAAAAAAGAACTGTCGAGTATACAAAATGTCGAGTATAAACCTCTGAAGTGATGAGTATTCCAAACATACAGTATATCTAGGTTTCAATTTGAAAAAGGAAGTCGTTAGGTGTTAATTTTAAAAAAGACATGAGTTCATTTATGCACTATATCTACTTGCCAAAATGAGATAGACTTTCATGCGGTCTTATTTTTTATAGCCAAAACAGGAGGAGGAAATGGCTTCTGATTTAGATTTAGGATAAACCACAAGAGGAAGAGGAGTCACTCTGAGAAACTGAATGCTGATTCATTTTGTGCAGCACCTAATTACAGATTAATGCTTTTAAAAGACGTCCACTGGGATTATCATAATTAACATGATGGTAATCGCATTTCTTGAAGTATTTCCCCCTCATATTTACTATTAAAAGCTATCTGGCGTACACACACTAGTGACAGCTGCAAAATATGAATCAGTGTTTGGTCGCTGCAGATTCGGAGCGTCGTTGATGTCGTGTTTCATTCTCCTTTACGATCAATCGACCATTCTGACCTCTGGTTTTGGACTGATGTTTAAAAAAGAAAAAAAATCCCTGTGCTCTCTGATGCGAAAGCTCACCTCTGCCAATCCTCATGAGGCTTCTCCAGTAACCTCTACTAACGCTCCTAATCACAATTTGTATATGTGCTTTACAGACACACCAAGATCTCTGCCTCATGACCGTCTCATAGTAATTCCTGGTGGGTTTTTTTTTTCCTCTCTCTTTTTTGGGCTTGTATTACCTTTGACTGATGCTGTTCGAACTTCAAAAACCATTCGCTGCTGGGGGATAGGGGCTTATCAACATTTCCAACAAAAGTGCAGAAGAGGCAACTAAATATGGTGATCACGTACAGTAGTAGTCTGGTTGTAATCCGTCACAGTTCATCATTTGATCATTACGATGTGTGAAAAGTCATTTAGACTCCCATGTTTAGGAGCCGCTCTGTTTCATAGTGCCTTGATGCACTTTGTTTTGGACCACATCGGCTGTATAAGAGTAGAGCTACTGTATAGTACCTTTATAGAGCAGCCATCTTGGTTAACACAGGAGCCTGTGAGACTGAATCTGTCGGCTATAGAAATAGCTTTACACAGAGCCATCGCACTGACCTGGCTCTAGCTTAATGTATTTGCCCTCTCGGCTGTGGAGCCACCTGACTGCCATCATATGGAGTTACTATACCGTTCCTTTACAAAGCCATGTATAGAGCTATGATACACTATCCGTATACAGCGATTTAACTGGCCATAGAGAGTTTTTAGGGCCACCTGACTGCTATAGTTCTGCCTGAATCGTATGTGTCTGTGCGTGGATGTGCGTGTGTGTTAGTTTGCGTTAAAAACCCTCAAAGGGAATGTCTTTAAAAATGAGTTGTGGAGTGTATGAGGGATGACAGTTGTGGTTTCATAGCTGTCCTTTCCTGATTCCTATGTTGCAACGGAGAAAAAAAAATCCAGTGTTGTTGTGGAGGAGATTAAAAAAAGGGATTTTACTGAAACAAAAAGAATCCATCTTTAACCATCAGTCTGCCTAAATGTTAATCTGAGGGAGCGGAGGTGTTTCCGAAAGAATGTGTAGTTCATCAGTGTTTTTTCTGCTTCAAATGCAACATAGTTAACAAAGCCTCTCTAAATGCCTTAGTGTTACACAGTACGGAGCTCTGATACGTTTCCCTCCCTCATGTGAACTCAACGCACACACTAACAGATCCTCCAAAATACACACTCCCCTGGGTTTCCTCGGTGTTCTGCAGTAAGTATAGTGAGCTCTGATTTTGTATTTTTTGCGTCTTGGAATGATCCGTTATTGATTGATGCCTGTTTTGATTAAACGCTTGAAAGCCAGGTGGGAGTTTTAAATTTCAAAAAAGCCTCCGACCTTCGATGTTCACACCCACCCAAACCTCACTGTATTGCTCAGGTGGGACAAATTTGAACCTTAACTACACACTGTACAGTTGTTGGTACTATTTGATGTGACAGACATGCTGGCACAGTAACTGCAGCGCGGCTCCGAACAAATCAGAAAACCAAAAGACTGTTAAAAAATTTAGATTTAAAAGATTTCCAATTCGGCTCCTTTGCGGTGTTGAGTACCTCGCAGGTCATCTGATGCTGGATGCAGTTTTACTTTTCCGGCATTTGTTTGTCTCTGTCTTGTGCCATTTAAATCTGTCTGTATTTCCCTAATTTCCACTGTCTGTAAATGAGCGCTACACGTGCCTGTGGAAATGTACCCCCTGCAACTTCCTCTCTTTTCCTGGCCCTGTACGCTTATAGCCGTCACACATAAACTAAATACGTAGGCCTACGTCTTTTTTTTTGCACCTGCACCGAGACATTATGCACATCACACCTATAAGCAAAACATGTAATGACACTTATTCATGGGAGATGTCAAGCACCAGGCAGAAATAAGCCAAGGACGTCACTTCCCAGGTGTGCTTATTTTTTATTTTTTATTATTTTTTTGGTGAGCGGGTCAGAGGCAAGCTCAGGGAGTGGGTCTCCACAGAGCAGCACGGGCCTGTCAAACAGAAGGTCATGGAGGAAACATGTAGTGACGTCTGTGTTTGCATCCCGACGGAAATCCTCTGAAGGGAAACACACGTCTGATTTCTGTGGTTTGACAAGTTTACTTTTGCCAAAAAAAACAAGAAAAAGAAAAAAAAAGAGACAAAAATAGAAAATTGGACCAGCTTGGGGATGATGAGAGGGAGGGGGTCAGCTTTAGGACAGGACCCTAAAACGAGTAGGGGATGGTTTAAATAAAGCCTCATGCCTCCTCCCGACCCTCGCTGCATCTGTGTTGGTGCGTCTCTGTGGGAAAGACACGTGTGTATGTGATTCTGTAGTCTGTAGTCTGGTGCTATGTGACCATGTTTGACAAGTGTGTTAAAAAAATAACAGCAACATTTAGAGAAAAAAAAAAGAGTAAAATCAGTCGAGTTTAAGTGAAGTTATAAAAAAATATAGGAATACAGCACTGTTGATAAGTTTGAGATCTGAAGTCAAAATGTTTTGAATTATTTTTTGTTTTTATTTCTTGTACGTGTGTGTGCGAGTGCGTGAATGTCCGTGTGCGTGGAAGATTTAGCTCCTTCTTTTCTGGGCACTGGTCCATGTCGCTCCATTCTTTTGTACAGATGAAGCTAAAAAAAAGAACAAAAAAAAAGAAGAGGGCAAAATTTGTAAAATATTGTGTCTGTGACTCCTTGTAAAATATTTTCAAATTGTTTATTACAGAGAATCAGTTATTAAATAATGTTCATATTTTTCACTTCATTTCAGCGTGTGGTGTTTTGTTTTTTCAGTCGAGACACAGGTGGAGGTTCATTCATTTTCTGGTTACATTGAAAATATAAAATCAGTTTTCAACAATAGACTTAACACATGAATAGCTTTACTTGTGATTACAATATAAAGTAGTTTTTGTGATATAAAAGGAAAGTTTTGACATCTTGGAAATATGCTCATTCACTTTGTTATCAAGAGGAGACGGTTAACACAACTCGTGTCTGTACGGTTAGCCAGCTAAATTAGCTTAGCACAAAGACTGGAAATGGGGGAAATGGCTAGCCTGGCTGTCGTTACACTTCAGGGTTTTTTTTACAGATTAAATAAACAAGATAAAACATGCATAATAGTGGGCTGATTTTGTCAGGTCAGCTGTTCCACCTGTTTCAAGGGTAGACAGTAAAAAATAATGGACGTAACCACCATTATTTTACCCACTTGTTTATTGACTCCTGTTTTGAAGCCTCGGGTTTGGCATTTCTGCCTTTGCCATCTTGGTTGGAGCCAGTTGTGACCATATTTGGACAAGGGGGTGAAGCTGTGGGGGAGTGAGGGGTGGGTCTGACTAATAAGCTGTTTTCTAATATAAACTTGGGGGAAACCGGTTTGGTTATTTGTCCAGAGTTTCCCTTTCAGAACATGTAGCACACAACAAGAGAGTCTGTGTCAGAAGCATTCTCAACTACTGGAAGAGCCTGGTCTCACTCCGAAGTTGTCGAAATCCAGTGCTCTGGCATCCTTTAACGTCAGCATGATACGCGGCCGGTTGCTGTGATAGCTTAACGGTGCCCAGCGGCATCAGGGGGAAACGCAACAAGACAAGGACGAAAGTTAAGGCGACGAAAATCTGACTGGGGTGGGCGGGACGGGTGATGGATGGGTCCAACAAACACAGACTTTCACCCCAGAGAGCTGTGTTCGGTCCTGTAAGATTCTAAACCCAAACCCTATTCTTTTTTCCTAAACCTAACCATGTGTTTGTTGTTGAAGGAAAAAAAAAAAATAAATTTGCGGTGTTGTACTGATGTAGTGCGTTTATTTTGCAAGAGACTGTATGTAAACGTTAAATTTCCTGTGAAAACGGAAGACAATGCATGTGACAGGCAGAACTTGACACAGTGTCCCAGAACGTCAACAACCAACACACCCAGGGTACCTTGCACAACGTATGTGGACGTGGAAAGTCCATGACCAAACGTCAATACGTGACAAGGTCGGAGTGAGAATGTGTTAACTGGAAATATTCCGATAACGCAGATTACACAGTGCTCACGTAGCCGTTTCATATTTTAGACATAGCCAACAGAGTCCCTTGCCGTTCCGTTTAGCTTTGGCCCTTTCTGACAGAAGCTCCTTGTAATCTCTCCAGTTAGCCACTGTTGTTGCCGTCTGCGTGTATATTACCGTTCTTCATCCTTGAAAAAAATCTGTTTAAATCAACTGATTCCCACATTTTTGTTCTCACATACAGCTCCTCCGGGTAATGTCTAGATAATTTCAGGTTTCCAACGTACTATATGTGTGAAAGGCACTTTAGACCGTGGTGAACCTTGGACGTTTTTTTTTTTTTTTCTTTCCATATAAGGCTGTAAACATGTTTATTTCTACTGTTAAGTTGGGCATTTTTACATCGTAGTCGGAGGGGACTGACTCACTTTTGGAGCCAGTCTCATGTGGCCATTCAAGGAACTGCAGTTTTTAGCACTTCCACATTGACTTCATTTTTCAGCCTCGGAGGTTGCCACTTGGTTTCACGTCATTATGCTAAGCTACGTTAGCCAGCTGTTAGTGGTAGCTTCATATATAACATATACCAATATCAATCTTCTCATCTAACTTTTGGCAGCAAAGTGAATAAGCATTTTCCTCACATGATCATTGAAAGTTTGAGCCTCGTTTCCTCTTAGCATTAGAAAAGTCTTGATTTCCAGTTTTATTACTGACACTGTTTAAAAAGTGAGAATCACTTCGTGCAGGAGGACGTCTGTGACCTAAATTTCTCATGAATGAATAATGTGCTTATTTGTGTGGCTCCTGTGAGTCATTTATGTGTGACTGTTGCTGCTGAGAATCTCCCCACTGACACACAGCGAGGAGCTTCACAGCTTATTAAGGAAGTCAATGAGAGCTTTGTGCCAAGTGTCTGGGTCGTCCAGGTAACAGGGGTGACCGGCTCCTTTCATCACCACCACCCTGTGATTGGCCAGATTGCTCAGGTTGTTCAGTGACACTTCTCCGAGCTGAGTGTCCTGGTCGCCGTACACAATCAGCGATGGGACCTGAGGGAGAGATGGGACACAAACACACACATCATGGTGAAGAGATTTCTGTGATGAATCATCTCCAGAGTCCTTTCCCTCTCTCTGAGTTATTTTTTTTTGTTTGTTTTTAAAGCCCATAGCTAAAGGGATTTTGCAGATGTCCTCTATTTTACCTCAAGTTTAAAAAAATTCAAACAGGTCTTATAAAAAGATAAGAGGCAAGCTTTTTATTTTTATTAGGTGTGACTAATTTATGTGTCAAGAATAAAAATAAAGGAAATAAAAGAGTAAGAACAGACTAGTCATATATTGATATTAGTTTGTATCAGCTGTGGAAAAGGATTCAGATCCTTCACTTAAATAAAAGTCACAAAACATTTTTTAAATCTGTATCTAACCAGGAGAGTCCCACTGAAACTAAGGAGACCTCGCCGAGCAGCATAAATGAAAACAAATAGTTACAAGTGGAAAATACAAATGAAACATAAACAGAATAAATAAAAAGGATGTCACCACTCAGAGGAGAAATTTGAGAGTTTCGTAACCAGGTAATTTTAGATTTGTATTTACATAAATTTGGGGGACTTGCACGACACAGATTAAACAAAGACTGAAGCAACAGAGGCCGAGTTATCCTGGCATTTAAAGTGCCGGTATACTTCATCAGAAATGTTTGTCAGATGGTTGAACAGCTTTGAAAACTTTCCCCCACACACCTTTCTGATGGTGTATTAGGAGGGACAGTGTTCCATGGTTTCTGTAACATTCACACCCACTTCACATCGTGATTGGTCAGGGTCCAAACTTCTCGTGAAAATCTGAGTGAACGTCTTTTAAGAGAAAATATCTGAAGATGTGTGTCATCCTTGTTTTTGACTCAATATTGTGTCTCCCCTCTCTCTAGGGCAACCTGCTTTTCACACCGCCATCAGGTGTAGCCATTTTAGATGATGTGTTCACACCGAACGTAATGTGAATTTTGCATCACATTACTCGAGCAAATACGGCTGCTGGAGAGTTTCTTTGAGAATTAAGTGACTGGCGAATATTTGCCTTTAACAATTGTGCTAACTAAGTGGGAAAGCAGCTAACAGCTAGCGTTGTGTGCAGTAAAGTACAGCCGACAGCTGCAATCAAGTGATGTGAACACAACACAGTTCATACTGTCATGGCAGCCCATTACTGCTTGCCCCTCTCGTCGTTCACCTTTCACAATAAAAGACCAACTTAAAGTACTCAAAGCATTTTGCTAAGAGGCGGCACGGTGGTGCAGTGTTCAGTATCGTTGCCTTACAGCAAGAGGGTTCATGGTTCGAACCTGAGGTGGGGGGTTAAAACCCTATGTAGCCCCTCTGTGTGGAGTTAAGTTTTTCTGCACGTACTCCAGCTTCCTCCCATGCTGCAAAAACACCCTGGTTAGGTTAATTGGTGACTCTAAATTGTCTGTAGGTGTGAATGTGAGTGTGAATGGCAAATGTGTCAGCCTTGTGATAGTCTGGCGACCTGTCCAGTCCACATCTCGCCCGAAGTCAGCTGGAATAGGCTCCAACACCCCCACGACTCCTAACAGGATTAGCGGTTACAGTTCAATGAATGAATGAATAAATGAATTTTGCTAAGACGCAACTCAACAAAACAGCTTACGCAAGTCCATCCATCTTCTAACCTTTTCATCCTCTTGAGGGTCGTGGGGGGGCTGGAGCCTATCCCAGCTGTCATTGGGTGAGAGGCAGGGTACACCCTGGACAGGTCGCCAGACTATCACAGGGCTGACACATAGAGACAGATGCCTAAATGGTTGAGCAACTTTAATGTTGTTTTATGTCAAGAGGAGGCAAATTTGAGCTACTTATGACCTCATATATTTTTAGTGCAAAATCTCAAACTGCAAAGTAATTAATTATTGCAGTTGCCTTTCAACAGTGCGTCCACAAAGGAGGTTATGTTTTTTGTTCTGTTTTTTTTTTTTTTTTTTTGCTTCAAAGCAGGATTATGGAAAAACTACCCGCCCAATTTTCATGAAACTTGATGGAAAGGTGTGGCATGGACCAAGGAAGACCCCTCTAAATTTCAGTAACAGGCCACATATACAAATTATTTTTCACTTTTGTAAACACTGCAAGATAGTGCATTTGGCGGAGGGCTGTGTTCACAGAGCAGCCTTCTAGTTACTGTATGTATGTAGTTGTTTTCAAATCATCACCTCACTTCTGTTTTATGTTGCTGCTTTTCTGCCTCGATATTTTCCCCAAATCACTGAACATCAAGCAGCCGTAATGCTCTCACTCTTTTTTTCATTTGTGTGCTTGTTTATGGAGGAGAACAACTTTTAAGTAATAAACGCGTCTCCTTCATGGATAATGCACCTTCACTTGGTCCGCCATCTAAGAAATTGAATTTTGAAATGCTTGGGAGCTGGATGAAAGCCAGTGTGAAAGTCACATGGTATCTGCTGCTGTCATGGTGGCATGTAAAAGGGAGAGAAGGTTGTGGGGTTGACATTCACGGCTGCTCAAGTTCTCCTTTAAAGAGGAAATGAGGAAGGGCCCAGATACTGTGCACAGGAAGGGAAAAGGAATATAAAGTGTTAGCTGACACACTCAGGCTGTACCTTTACACTCTGGTACTGCTCCGCTGTAAATTTGTCGGTGCAGATGGGAGCTACAGGGATGTAGGCTCGTACCAGAGCCTGGTGCTGGTGGAGGAAGGGGAGGGAGTACATCCCGCTGAGGGAGGGGCTGATCAGCACCACCGGGCTCAGGCTCAGCTGCTCACACACCTCTTTCAGGAAACCTGCAGGGGCCAGTTCTCCAACCGCTGCCGGGGCCACGGCTGACTTAGACTGACCGAGTCCTGTGGACAGACACCAGAGAGGAGGGACAGCGGACTGAGAGAAGAAGACGAGGGCTGCAAGTTATCACATTTAGCGGATAGCAAACCTTTAGATCAGAGGATTCAAATTGTGAGACACGGAGGGAGGGACATGAGGAGAAGAACCATATAGATTTCTCCATATGGTCATCTGCTCCATGCATGCTACTGAAACTGTTTACATTACGTAGCCATAAAGAGACAGGTGCTAAAACAGAGGGTGAATACATGTGATCCAGTGCAGACAGTGTTTTTTGACTATTAAAGCATGTAAAATCTTCTAGTAGAAACCTACAATACAAGCACAAACCTGAAAATGACCATAATATGTCCCCTATGAGGACTCCATTGCACGCCATCATCAATATCCCTCCTATCAGATGGCTTTAGGGCCGTCAGACTCACCTGGCAGGTCGATGGCGACAGCACGGCAGCCTGCTTTGGCCAGAGTCTCCAGAGTGCCGATGTTGAGCCAGTTTTCTGATGAGAAACGGATGCCGTGAAGGAGTAAAACTGACATCCTCACTTCCCCTGAGGCAGGTTCACTCTGTCTGTAGAACAACGAGGCTTTGCAGCTCTCCACCTGCACACTCCCCTCTGTCATCTTAACAGCTGACATCCTGAACAGAGGAACAGCAGAAAACTCTTTGCACTGTCACTGTTATACACTACTGTTATGCTCTGGTGAAGTACCAAAGTATTAACATCAGAATATACTCAAAATGGCCAAGAGCAATATCCAGGAGCTGCACTTCTTTGTTACAGGTAAGATGTGTCACAACAGCTACAGAGGTGCCCTGGCCTACAAGACATATCCCAGACAGAAGTCTGTTTGGTACAGACCCCAGCAAAAATCACATCGTCATCATTTTTAAATTTTTTAGTGAAAATAAAATGCAAAAATGACCATTACCACTAAAATCCTGACTCATATCCCAATCAGCTCATTTCAGAATATCGTATTTCTAACCATGTTGTTATACCTCTGGATGCACTGAAGTGTGAACATCACTTTAATGTTGCAGCTGGTTCAGGTGCGACTAATTTTAATCACTTTACATATATTTTGTATTAATCTGAATCTGGAAAGCAGCTAGTAGCTGAAGCTGACAGATAAATGTAGTGGAGTAGAAGTATAAAGTAACATAAAATGGAATTACTTTGGTAAAGTACAAGTACCACAGACTTGTTCTTAAGTACTTGAGCAAATGCACTTAGTCACTTTCCACCAGTGGTTGTGACAATATAAAATATGTTACATAGGAAATTTATCATCGCTAACAAATACTGTACATCAGAGGCGTAAATAGAGACACTGCAGGCAGTGCGGTTGCACAGGAGCCTGTGAGAGTCCATAGAGAGAGCGGGCCCTCCAACAATGTGATCGCTACTTTAGAAATATGCCTGTGTTCAAAGAAGAACTGCCATTGTAGGAGCCATGAATTAATTTAGAGAGGGATAAATCTTGTAAGATTAATAACTTTTGGAATGGTTTGTATTGTTATACAGTACAGGCCAAAAGTTTGGACACACCTTCTCATTCAATGCGTTTTCTTTATTTTCATGACTATTTACATTGTAGATTCTCACTGAAGGCATCAAAACTATGAATGAACACATGTGGAGTTATGTACTTAACAAAAAAAGGTGAAATAACTGAAAACATGTTTTATATTCTAGTTTCTTCAAAATAGCCACCCTTTGCTCTGATTACTGCTTTGCACACTCTTGGCATTCTCTCCATGAGCTTCAAGAGGTAGTCACCTGAAATGGTTTCCACTTCACAGGTGTGCCTTATCAGGGTTAATTAGTGGAATTTCTTGCTTTATCAATGGGGTTGGGACCATCAGTTGTGTTGTGCAGAAGTCAGGTTAATACACAGCCGACAGCCCTATTGGACAACTGTTAAAATTCATATTATGGCAAGAACCAATCAGCTAACTAAAGAAAAACGAGTGGCCATCATTACTTTAAGAAATGAAGGTCAGTCAGTCCGGAAAATTGCAAAAACTTTAAATGTGTCCCCAAGTGGAGTCGCAAAAACCATCAAGCGCTACAACGAAACTGGCACACATGAGGACCGACCCAGGAAAGGAAGACCAAGAGTCACCTCTGCTTCTGAGGATAAGTTCATCCGAGTCACCAGCCTCAGAAATCGCAAGTTAACAGCAGCTCAGATCAGAGACCAGATGAATGCCACACAGAGTTCTAGCAGCAGACCCATCTCTAGAACAACTGTTAAGAGGAGACTGCGCCAATCAGGCCTTCATGGTCAAATAGCTGCTAGGAAACCACTGCTAAGGAGAGGCAACAAGCAGAAGAGATTTGTTTGGGCCAAGAAACACAAGGAATGGACATTAGACCAGTGGAAATCTGTGCTTTGGTCTGATGAGTCCAAATTTGAGATCTTTGGTTCCAACCGCCGTGTCTTTGTGAGACGCAGAAAAGGTGAACGGATGGATTCCACATGCCTGGTTCCCACTGTGAAGCATGGAGGAGGAGGTGTGATGGTGTGGGGGTGTTTTGCTGGTGACACTGTTGGGGATTTATTCAAAATTGAAGGCACACTGAACCAGCATGGCTACCACAGCATCCTGCAGCGACATGCCATCCCATCCGGTTTGCGTTTAGTTGGACGATCATTTATTTTTCAACAGGACAATGACCCCAAACACACCTCCAGGCTGTGTAAGGGCTATTTGACCAAGAAGGAGAGTGATGGAGTGCTGCGGCAGATGACCTGGCCTCCACAGTCACCGGACCTGAACCCAATCGAGATGGTTTGGGGTGAGCTGGACCGCAGAGTGAAGGCAAAGGGGCCAACAAGTGCTAAACACCTCTGGGAACTCCTTCAAGACTGTTGGAAAACCATTTCAGGTGACTACCTCTTGAAGCTCATGGAGAGAATGCCAAGAGTGTGCAAAGCAGTAATCAGAGCAAAGGGTGGCTATTTTGAAGAAACTAGAATATAAAACATGTTTTCAGTTATTTCACCTTTTTTTGTTAAGTACATAACTCCACATGTGTTCATTCATAGTTTTGATGCCTTCAGTGAGAATCTACAATGTAAATAGTCATGAAAATAAAGAAATCGCATTGAATGAGAAGGTGTGTCCAAACTTTTGGCCTGTACTGTATGTTTCTGGTTAGTGTTTGAGACATTATTTTTTTTGTGATTGCGGTTGTTGGGAGAGTCGGATCACATGGATATGGACAGTGACACTCATTATCTATATCAGCATCTCGTCTTCACCTGTGTGGTTTTTTTTGGTTGGAGCGAGAGGGTGAGTGGGTTGCTGTATTTTTTTATTGACCGCACTTTTCTTTGTTCGCTGTGGTCATTTTGATTAGAAGTTTGTGCATGTTATTATAAGTTGATTCCTTCTCATTAATAAATTTATTTGATATATTTTTGGATCTCAGCTAATCTTCTGTTGGCGTGTCAGACAAGTTATCAGGCCCAGCCTCAGCTTCTCAGTGAATTTTTTTGTTTCCTGCAGTCGCTACACTCATTAAATTCAAAAAGGTGCCATTTGCTATGTGTGTATTTGAAAAAGGCAAACTCATCTGTATCATGTTTTTTTTTTGTAAACTATGAAAGGATTAAATTAAATGAATAATTTCTCCTTTTTTTTGTATTTTTGCCACATACAGATGCAATGATGATTGCTGGGTGATATGTATGTTGATGCTGTCCAGTGTTGAGTCTCTGATCATATGATGAGACGATATGTGCACAGTAATGTGCACTTGGGCCTGTTGTAACTAGCTTACGCCACTGCTGTGCATTAATGAAGAAATATCCAGCATTGGGAAAGCTACTCTGACAGCTATCAATTATTTTAACCTAGAAAATGTTGAACTAAAGCAAAGCTGCCCAAAGAAGAAATCTGATAAGCTCAAGGAAAAGTAGTTCAAACTACTTCGTAAAAAATGCTTAAACTGACAATGACCATGTCATAAAAATGATAACAAAATATAAAACAAACAAGTCACATGCCAGAAAAAAAATGCCACATAGCCATAGAAAAGTGCAAGAAATATCATCTTTGTTTCGTATACAGTGTCCATCAGTGAGACGCCTGTCCTCAGAAACTATTGCACCAAGCAGGATTTAGTTAGTCAGGTACGATAACATGCAACAACTTGTCTTTGTTAATAATTATACAAGGCTTTAATTAACACTTCTGACTAATTGTGGTCACAAGGGATTCAATTACAGTAGAGCAGCAATGATAAAATGAAAATTAAAAAAATAATTCCTTTCCTTTTATGGCCCAAAATTGTTTATAGTTTCAGCAGTTAACACGCAAACAGTAATGAAACTACTGGAATCACTATGTAAATAATAATGTAAATGAACTACCAGCAGGCTAATGCAAAATATAGTTTAACTGCAAGTAAGTGCATGCAGTTCACAACTCCCTGCAAACACTGCAAAAACACCAGTAGGGGAGAGTGAGGTGAGATGTGCCAGTTTTTACTTGAGGTGACTTTAAAGAGAGGGCATCGCAGTAATGCGTCCAATTAAAATATGTACATATATTTCAGGATGTGGGGCATCCCTGGGAACAGCCACTTTGGATCTTAAATAAACTGTTTAAAAATATGGCTTTCCAAAAAAAAGTGGTCTCGTGGCACAATTTGCCCCCGATGCGGGGTGAGTTGTGCCTTTGGAGAGAATAAGTTGGGGTAAATTGTGCCATTGATTATTGAAGTAAAACAGAACATTTTCATGTCATATACTGTAATGCTGTATCAAAGCAAGACAAATTCAATACCACATTACTTATTAAAGCTTTTTTTAATAACATCAAAGGCCAGATTTAGCAGTAGATAACATGTCGAATACATGAAAGATTGGCTAGAAGTAGGCCTACATAATATTTATCATTTTCAGAATAAAATGTAGTTAAACCTGAACAAAATCAACTGCAATTCTCAGAACCAGGCTACAACACAACATGCCACTTGTCAATGCTGCAATATTCTTCAACAAGGCCTATTTAAAATGTTAAGAACAAAATAAATGTCAACTCCTGGCCATTAGAGTGTGTGTGTGTGTGTGTGTGTGTGTGTGTGTGTGTGTGTGTGAGATGGCTCCATAGCTGCAATCTTCTTCAACAAGGCCTATTTACAGACCTCCCCCTGTTGCACCTCTCTCACTACTCTGTCCAGCTCCATAAGAGGGGTTGAACCCCTGTCTGTCTTCCTTTTGTAAAGGCGCGGCATTATGGCTTTTGGTCTAAAATCAAAAATGTCACACAATTTGCCACTGGCACAACTTAACCCAGGCCTTTTGGCACAAATCACCCCATCCCCACCATTTTAGCAAACTTGTATCATCCAGCAGTTTAGAGCTAACATCATGCTAACAGTATAGCCTCATATTGTAGCTTACTAAAGCACTAACTCATGTATGAAATGTTTTCAAACTTATCTATAATTGTTCAGACACAACAATCAATAAACCATGATCATAAAAAAAATACTTTGAAAGGCAAAAACAGTTTTTTGGACTTAAATCTGCTTACGTCTTGTGCCATGTGCCTCTTTTCTCCACAGGCTGAGTAAAATAGATGCCTCTTTAAAAATATGAGGTCACATGACGAATTTCTTCTATGGTTTTCTAGAAACAAGGGGTGGCACAACTCTCCCACTGGCACAAATCACCCCACTCTCCCCTACAGCTAGATTACAGTGGGTTGTAACCATTTATTAGACGATGATGTGGGACTTTAAGTGTTACTGTGTGGGATATATGAACAAATACATCCCTCTTAGATCAAATGCACCAAAAGCATGAAGTCAGCAGGCATAAAATGTTGAGTACAAGGACCTCAAGACTGTACTTGACAGCTCACTATAATGCAACACAGCCAAAGCATTCACACAGAAGTACCAGGTGGGAGCTGCAGACGTCAACACACCCGCAGGTTTATTGAGTGCAACAGCAGCCTCTCTGGCAGCTGCAGCAAGTTAAACAATGTATGTAACTCCAAACTTAAATCGCGTTGGACTGGGCTGCAGCGTTTTGTACGATGCTGCAGTTAATTTGTCCAAACACTTGAAACACTGTGCTTTTATTTTGTAGCCCACTGCAGCTCACTCTTGTGTCAGTGTTAAATAAGTCCGACAGAGGAGTTTGTTAAACAGGCTGATGATCAAAGTCCAGATTAGATCATTTGATTTGTAACATCGAGCTCACAAACTCACAAACTTCATCACAAATACCATGAGAGAATAATCCTCCACTTCTTACCTCACAGGCTGCAGAGAGGGCCCAGTGTCTAACCTGCAGAATAAAACAGGACAGCTGTAGCTTGGTGTTAAATCAGCTACAGTTTCACTTTATGTCCCGGAAAACAGGAAAAAAAAATCCTCTGGAAATATTTCTACTGACGTCTAGCGTCTGCGAGGAGAACTGCTTTTATTCTGGCAGCTACATAAAAACCAAACCTGTGTTATTCACTAAATATTTGGTTTAATCGTTAGGTGCACTGTTGCAGACTATATATCTGAGTATCGTGAATAAAGTGCATGCACCAGGGCTGATGTGCCACTCGTCATTAATGATTAATACGCAGTATTGATTGGCTGTGTTTTGGGGATTAGGGCCTCTGTTTGAGTAAGAGCTCAGTGTTCGGCTGTGGGTGGTTTTGGTGAAGTTTTTTGCGTTTTCTAACATCTGACTGCACTTATAGGGGGATTTTTCTCTCAGTATCAGGTCGAGCTGTGATCGGATGTTTAATCCCCCAAAAAGAAACTTCAGAGCAGAGATCTCAGTCTGACTTCAGCCCAGTGTTGTAAAACTGTCTTCATCGTCCTCAGAGCACAAACAATGAAACTGCTGCTGCCATTTATTCTCCTGACAGTCCGACTGACCACCGGTAAGAAAGTTCTAACATCATAATTGTCTTTAATTATGAATGTCAGTCACTTATACATCATATTGTTGTTATGAAGATCCTAAATTTTTGAATTTATTATGTATTTTAAATCAGACTCAGAGTAAAGGCCTGTTCAGTAACTGTTTGTGTGTGTGGGTTCATACAGAAGTGTGTAAACAGCAAAAATTGATTAAAAAAATAAGTAATATCCAGCTGAGTATTTTTTAAAAATATTGGGAGTATTATGTAATAAAATAAAAGTGCATGAATGTCAGTGGTGTAGGAAGTATTCATTTTTATTTTTATTTTTTACTTAAGATAAAGTATCAGTATCTCACTGTGACAGTACGACTCCACTACAAGTAAAAGTCCTGCATTCAAAACTTTACTTTACGAAAAGAATCTAAGTATTAAATGCAGCACAATGCACTGTAACACTTTATTTACTCTGCCTACAGGTAGTTTATAGAGTATCTGTAACCTTTCAACAGCTTATTAGTTGAAATCCAACAGTTTATCTTTATTCTGTAAAACTTTAACAGATTATCTAAAGAGTTCATGTCACAATTTATTGACATATTCTCAGAATAGTTGCGTTGAACTTGAACTTTCCCCTCAAGCTATGCAGCATAAGTATAAGCAAGTAAGCATTAGTTTCAGCTAAATTATTATGAAGTTAATCGTTACATATACTCTGGACAAACATCTACAGAATAAAGTAAAACAGTTGAATTTCGACTAACAGGCTGTTTAAATGTTAAAAATACTCTATAAACTATCTGTAGGCAGACTAAATAAAGTGATACCAAATGTACTTAAAGTATCAAAAGTAAAAGTATCTGTTCCCTGTCAGTGTTTTATTATTATTATTATTATATATGGATATTTGGATTAATATTACTGCTGCATGAATCTGTATGTTGCATTTTACCACTGTAGATGTTTAGGTTGTGTTAATTTTTAACTCCTTTATATATTGTTGGAGAGTTTCATTTACAACACTGTGTCATATTGTGAGAACTACACATCCCTAAAAAGTTTTCATGGTGCCAGAAAAACAGGCCTGTTTTCAACTGTGTGACGATGCAGTTTCCACCTGATCCACTAGGGATTTTATTTAGTTTATGTACCTTAAGAAGTAGGGGAATTTTTTCAACACGTAAAGCAACACAATAATGTTGAAACTATTGTTATTATTATTATTGTTTCACTGGACAGGAAATGGATGAAAACTTGTAAACTGTGAAGTAACTAAAGCTGTCAGAAAATGTAGTAAAGTAAATAATCAAGTACAGTACAAGTACCTTCAATTTGTACTTAATAACATTACTTGAGTGAATGTACAAAATTAAATTCCTTCACTGTAAAGGATTCATAGTTATTTAATTGTCTGTGTTGTTATGAGGAGTCTAACTTTTTGGTTTTATTGTGTATTTAAGAATCAGATTAGGAGTAAATGTTTGTTTAGTAACTGTGTGTTTATGAAGAAATATGTAAACTACAAAATGAAATAAAATAAAATAAATCCTTGACACAACCAGTTATTTTCATTTTATATTTTTAGATTAGGATTATTATGTTAAAAAAAAATTGGTATTGCTTGACGTAAACCAATAGCAGTAATGATAGCTGTAATAGTAATTGTGGTCTGTTGCTGTTTAAAAGTTTCTCTGGTCTCACAAACCAGCAGCAGCGTCTTGGTCCAAAGGTTATATGTGAGCAGGCTCGTGCCCAAATGTTGCAGTTGGTGCCAGTGAGCACCTGCACTCCAGTTCAAACCCCGGACTAAACACATAGAGATACAGTCCTGACAGTCAGCCTGAGTTTTATTGTTTTGTTCTGCGTAAACAGGCTACCGCAGCCCTCTGAATGACTTCCAGCGCTCAGAGGGCAGAGAGCTGGTTCCTACCTCCTGGAACTCGGCTCGAGTGTCGTCGTTACCGGGCCTGAACCTGGAGGACTGTGCCACACGTTGCTCACAGTCTCTGGACTGCAGGTATCCAACCTTCACTTTAACACAGTGGCTTGAAAGCATCACTAGGCATCCTTTTTATTCAGCAAGGACATTAGTTATTACTCATGACTTTATTTAACTGCATGAATTAAAGAAGATCACTTTGTGTTAGACCTGTAAACTTGATGGCTCAGGAAGTGATTTAAAGGACACACCTGGTGATAATCTATACTTTTTTGGTTTAGCAACATTAAAGGTTACAGACAAACAAAAATAACCACAAGGAAACATGGAAGATAAACATTAACCTATCAAAACATTAAAATATCTTTGCACAATAGGGTTGCAACTAATGATTATTTTCACTGTCAATTTCTTTGTCAGACATTTTCTTGCTTAATTGATTGGTTGTTTGGTCTATAAAATGAACACACCACATGAAGAGTAGTGGACAAATGATGACCTTTTCCTAAAGCCCAAAATGACGTCCTCAAATGTCCGGTTTTGTCCAGAACCCAAAGATATTCAGTTTACTGTCACAGAGGAGTAAAGAAACTAGAAAATATTCACATTTAAGAAGCTGAAATCTGTCAATTTTTGATTCTTTTTCTTGACACAAGTACTGAATTATCAATTACTAAATTAGTTGGCAATTAATTAAAAAGTTGACAACTAATCGATTAATCGTTGCAGCTCTAACGTACAGTGACAAGCACCAACTGAGTCATTCATCACTGTACTTATGAGAACTTTAAAATCAGGCAGAGCGACCAGTTCTCTTAGTTTTAAATCTTTGTGAAGGCCGTCCCAAGTGAAGGCAGCAGAGCACATAAAATCTTTCTTACCCAGCTCAGTCTGTGCACTTGGAACAAACAATAACACCACATCTTGTGATCTCAGATTTTTACCACAGTCAGATCAAAACCAACAATGAAGCGATCATACTAACAAATATTATCTGTGTAGCCAAAGCCTGATTGATTTTACTGTTCTGTGCCATAGATCTCAGTTCTTCTAATCTATTACAGCTGCACTGATGCACTACGTGAGATGTTCCTTTATTACCATGAACATGCTGTAGTTTATTTTGAGTCAGTCCCACATACACCGTCCTGCTGCTGGAAATACTCAGTAAAGCTCTCCTGAGTCCAGATCTTTGATAAACCCACTTCACCAAGTTGACTAACTCATCTGGCACTGTGAAATAAAAGTTTCCCAGTTAAAAAAGTAACCAATCCAATTCTGCAAAGGGACAAACAGTTAGCCAATCTGCCATGGGTGGGACTGACGTCAAAGTCAAGCTGTGATACCAACAATGGCGAATGCCATAGACAAGATAGATACTGCTATCGAGGCTGTCCTAAATTTGAAAAAAAAAACAACAAAAAACAATTCAAATTCAAAGTCTTGAATTTGATATGACACCCTTGATTAACAAATTACTTTACATAGATGGCGTGTTATCTCAATATTTCCTGACATCGTAGTTTGTTTTTACTTGAGTCAGTTCCACTCTTACAGTTTGCAGGCATGGCTACACATCAGTTTAGACTTGAGATGACATTAGGTTCGACCGTTGGTCTCTAGTGATCGCTTAGAGAAAATCAAATCCCCCTCTCCCACAGAAATCAGTTAGAGTGATCCAATGTCAGACTGCAGATGGAGATGACAGGTCTGTCTGATATCAGGCAACCAGATGTGTATTAATCCATTTACTACTGTTTAAGTAATAGTAGTAGTAGTTTGTTTCCTGCTGTTGAAGGAAAGGGGTGGCAGTAGCTCAGTCCGTATAGGGACTGAGCTACTGCCAAAGCGTTGCCGGTCCACGTCCCCAGCCAGTTTGGTGCCAGTTTGAATCCTTGGCACTTTCGAGATGCACCTAAGCAGGGGGGTTTGGAGGTGTGACTACTCGTGTCTCTCGCCATCATGTCTTAAGATCAGAGCAAGTGATGTTTTTATTGCTGACAGAAATGATGGCCAACACTGTGAAAATTAGACTTTAGCAGCCCCAGAGATCTTTTTATGTCTGCATTACAAAGTTCTATTAATGATCTTAGAAGCTCACTGATTCATATCTCAACATTAAGAAATAAAGGCTAAATCCTTTCATCAGAATACTTTCTCTAAGTTTGTATGCATCAGTGTTCAAAGCTTTGACATGAAAATATCCCTCAACACCAGAGCGTTCAACTACGAGACCCGTCCAACTGTCTCCTGTAAACACCTGCCCTGGGTGGGTGACGGGAGCAACGCAGAGGTGAAGAGGAACGTGAACTGTGACCTGTATGAGAAGAAGGGTAAGACTCATTGTGTGATGTTACACAGATCAAGGTGACTGATCAGTACTGGAGTTGTTTTGACTGGTTTGTTTTTTGTTGTGAAGTCTATGTCAGGAAGTGCATCGTAAGTAAAGGAGAAGACTACAGAGGGAAAGTCTTCACCACAAGAAGTGGACTCACCTGCCAACAGTGGTGGTCCAAGTTTCCTCACGATCACAGGTGACACAGATTCATCATTGATCTTTCATACAGTGAAATCAGGCACATTGGAGTTAAAGTGAAAAAGGACTATGAGGTTAAACAGATGGTATTCAACTTAAATGGAATTTGAAGGGGCAACACATTTTTACTTTCAACTTGTCCATTATGGCAGCTTGGTCATTGGCCCTACACTTCAAATTGACGCTCCAGGACCTTAAGTGTCAGTTTTAGACGTGTCAGTTTCCACTTGTTACATGCAAACAGTGTCTTCAAAATAACCTTCAGAAACACAGTTTATGCCACCAAAACTATTTGGTTAGTTTTAGGAAGAGATCGTGGTTTGGATTAAAATGGCTTTGGTTTTACATGAGACACTAGCGGTCTCTTTGGTGAAAGTCCTGCATTTGTTTGACACATCCATCCACCCTGACCTCCTATGTACTTACACAGGCTTCAGACGTCAGTTGCTCTGAGTGTCTAATGCAGCAGATGGGTTTACACTGGAATTATGCTGCATTTACATGGAATCAGGGAGATGGTAGACAGCAAATCAGATATCATTTTAGTGGCAAGAACAGGACGGCAACATTAGGTGAGGCTGGCAGACACCACTAACAGTCCACATTAAGCTCCTTCACACAAGGAGAAAACATGACTAATCTTGACCTAATTACAAATAATAATAAACATAAAATAAATGTATTTAATATATTCTATTTTATTCTTTGTAAATAATACAGCTCCACCATCGCAACATTATGGTCATGCATGTTTCATTTTTCTGTCCTACTATTCTGTCTGTCTGTTTGTTTTTCCCGTGCTATCTGGAAGGTGTCGTCAATCTGTGGTCTACCATTTAGTGTCTGCCTGAATCCATGTGAGCACAGCTTTTCAATCAGGACAGACAAGAATAGGTAATACGGGAAATATGAGTGTCCAGATTAACAGATGGTTTGTGCCAATTAGGAAGTCTTTGGCGCTTGGGCACCAGAGGGAAATATTTTGTGATTTAGGGACATCTGAGTGGCAGCAAGATAAATCCCTCCATGGAGTCCAGACAATGGTGGTGGTGGTGGCTGATGGGTCTGAGGCTGCTGACTGCTGAGGCATATGAGGCTGATGAATCTGTAAAGACTAGGTGGTGATGGCGAGGTGGAAGGTGTGCACGACTGCAGCAAGAAAGAACCATATTTAAAATGAGGAGCAGTAACATGATAGGCTGACAGAGAACGTGTGTTGCTGTGCTATTGGCTGATTGTAAATCAGGTGATGAATCAATTGACCTACTCAGACAATGATGCCAAGAGATAGAGAGTGAGCATGCCTGCAGGGAGTGAATGGAAGTGAGAAAAAAACTTATTAAAAAAAATATATTGTCTTACTGACTGAACTTTTGCCTGAGCTTCATTAGTAGAAAGCACAGTGCATCTCATACAGATGCTACAGTGTGCCTTGTGTGTTGGTATCAGATGCAGAGATACTTGAAAAACAGTAAATATGACTTAATTAAAGCTCCACTAATCAATACAATACAAAACCAATGGCTGTGTGTAATGTGACAGGAGTTACTCACATTAAACCAACTGACTCTGTGGTTCCTCTCACCTCATCAGAGCTTTTAGCACTTTGTATTGGTTTTCTTGACTCTCATTGACCTTGTTTCCAACAGCAGATGGCAGCTGTTGTCAATATGTGTCAGTTTTTTATTCATAGTGGATTTCTGTTGCTGCCAAGTGGCTGAAAAAATGATACAGCTTTAAGTTAATTTCTCCAATTACTTCCTGTTCTCTAAAATTGTGAGGCTGTGTATAGAAAGGGCTCCAGCTCACACACTGTCGCTCTGACGTGGATGCAAACACCCTCAAATTAAAGCTGAGAGTCGACACTTTAACATGTTACATTTCCAATCCAAAGCTGGGAGTACAGAGCTTGTAAAATAAACAAACGTGACACTGCTCTAAAACATTTTGACTGCTCTGTATAATAAGTGAAAAACTCTCTGTTGGTCTCAGGTGGACTCCCACAGCCACCAACGGTCTGGAGTTGAACTACTGCAGGAATCCAGATGGGGATCGGATTGGCCCGTGGTGCTACACCACCGACAATGAGCGACGTTATGAAAGCTGCAACATCCCCCAATGCAAAGATGGTACATCTCATACGTTTCCATAAATCAGGGTGTACAAGTGTGATGGGAAAAGATTTATTTGCAGGTCCTGAACTTTCTCAGTTATTTTCTAGGCTTCTTGGAACAAACTATATAATTTGGTCATGATTATAGGAAAATTGTGATAAACACAGTGATTAGTCACTCATTAATTTGAGTTTTTAAAGAGAGATTTGGGAAAATAAGATAGTTTCACAGTTGGGTGCAGCTTATAAGGAGATGTTGACTTCTCATCCTTTAAAGAACCCTTAAAAACTGATCAAAATACATTTAAACCAGAGGAAGTATTCACCTATTTCGCTGGAAACTTTGCTCCCCATGCTGAGGTGTATGTTCTCCTTTACTTTTAAATTGCACAGAAAACCAAATTTCACACTGTTTGCATGTTCAGCTAACTTCCTGCCTGCTGTGAACTGACTCAAAGATGATTACTTTGGTAAAAGAAGGTTGTAATTACCAAGTGTACCAATTGAACACCATCTCCCCCATCATTAGCATCAAATTACAGGGTCTTCTCCAGGAACCTTACTAAGACGTTACAATTTTATCAGCTCATTTCAGGGGAATTATTTGGATATTATGAGACCTGTAAAATCAAATGTTTCTGTATCAGTGACATTTTTTCTTCTTCTCATACTTCTGACTTAAAGCTGTGCTTGTGGTTTTGTTTGCAGACGTGTGTATCACGTGTAACGGAGAGGACTACAGAGGGCAGGTCGACCACACTGTGAATGGCAGAGAGTGTCAGAGATGGGACCAGCAGTACCCGCACCAACACATCTACCAGCCTGAAAAGTACTCGATGAGTCATCACTACATTATCCGTCATGTGCCTGATCAGCCAGATTATTCAAACATGTTAATGTCCTGTGTTTTTTTAACTGTGGACATAAAAAATCTTCATGTATATTTCAGATATCCTGATAAGAGTTTAGACGACAACTACTGCCGTAACCCTGACGCCTCTCCGGTGCCCTGGTGTTACACCACAGACCCTGATGTGGAGAGGGAGAACTGTGAGATCAGCAAGTGCAGTAAGATGTTGCTTTTGTTACAGTAACACTGTTAGAAGAAAAAGATTACAGATGGAACGAGTAGTTGATTGAAAGAAAACTGATCTACAGGGTGCCCAGTAGCTTGCCTAGTAGAGCAGGCGTCCCATGTACCAAGGCTATGTCCTTGCCACAGCGGCCCGGGTTCAATTCTGAACTGTGGCCTTTTGCTGTGTGTTGTACCCTCTTTCTCCCTGTTTCACACTCATCCTGTCCTGTTTAATAAAGGCAAAACCCCATAAAAATAATTTTTAAAGAAGGACAACTAATCTACTATTATGAAAATGGATGATTTGCTTTTTTCTGGGGGTGAAATTGGCAAAACCTACTCTGTTTCCATTTTCTCAAATGTGAAGATTTGCTGCTTTTCTTTGTCCTCATTTATAGCTAACTGAATATATCTGGGTTTCTGACTAGTGGCTGGACAAAACAAGACATTTTCACTACAGACCAGGGGCCACATACAGCCTAATTTGACCTCAGGTGACCAGTTAAACTATTGCATAATACCCTATAAATAACATAACCTCTGCATGTTTCCTTCTCTTTTAGTGTAAAAAAGTAAAAGTACATTCTGAAAATGCATTTAAACAAATGATTAACAGTCTAATGCAGCTGAGCGCCACTTGTCCCTCTAAGAAGTTGAATGCTAACTGTCTTAAGAAAAATAATTTTAACAGTATGTCTCGGTTTTCCCACATTCAGTCAGTTTAGTACTCACTGTCATTACATGTTCATTTGTCTATATATTTCCAGTCCTTTATAGTTACCCTGGCATCAACACACCAAACTAAAGTGGAACTTCAGGAAAGCAATCCAGGTAATATTAAAAAGCCTTTATTGTAGTAGCTAAAATCATCAAAAGAGCCAACATGTTTCCACCACTGCAGGTCTTTGTCAGGGCTTTCAAAACATGCAACACAGGTATGGCCACACCCACTCTTACCAAGGGTTTAATGTGTTCTATGCCCTCTATGCATTATTGTCTATTTGTTCCACCTGTCATGCCATTATATGGGTCATGTGATGGCCTCCGATGGTTCCTGCCACTACAAAGGTAGGGCCATACCTGTGTTGTATGTTTTAAAGACCTGCTTTGGTCGAAACATGTTGGCTCTTTTAATGATTTAGTCACTACAATAAAGGCTTTTTAATATTTCCTTCCTCGTTTTTCTATATTTTTCGGAGTGCCTGGATTGCCTTGCTGCCAGTCCTGTTGTTTCCCGTTCTCCATGAGCACCCGACACAAGGTTTTGACCTATGTTTGTATATACAGAGCAACCAGTCATCTCTCTCCTTTTTAAAGTGGAAGCTGTTGAGGAAGCAAGTTCCTGCCTTACAAACCATTTACAAGTCTGACGTTTAGGCGGTGCCTTGGCAGTATGGTTCCACCCATATTGTTTTAAGATATATATTTGATACAGATTATTTTGTACTGGAGCTGCTGATTGACAATATTTACACAATGTTCAGCTTCTTTGAATATGATCAAGATAAGTATTCATTGTTTTTTTAAGAGCTGTATTCAGGTCAGAGTGAAAAGCCTCTGAAGCAGCATTTTAAATGATGTATGTACTCACAAGTGCATCAGTATTAGGTGTATTAAGTCATCCAGTGGGCTGGAATGGACCCTTTGGTGGGCCGGTTCTGGCCCACAGGTCTTATGTTTGACACCCCTGGTACTGACCACAGGATTAATTGATTAATCAAGACAATAATTGGAGGATTAATCTATGAAAATAAAAGCATACGCTGCAGCTCTAAATAATATGTTACTGTACTGTTTAGTCTCCTAAGTTTTCTTCAGACCTTGTTGCTTGTTTCTTGTTGTTTTGTTTTTGCCATTACTTCCCTCTGGCACAATTGAGGGGACATGAGCTAAATTGAGTTGATTCCTGCGGCGTTAGGAGACACAGCAGAATTAGAGAGTCTCATTAAGTCGCTGTAATTAAATTTAGAAAAATCACCTTTTTGGTGTTTCTGCAAATTACTTCCCAAATTGTGAGACATTTCAAAATTGCCCCAATGATTCTCTTTGATTTAGGAGTAAATGCGAGCTGATTGGAGCCCTGCATTGTCTCACGGGGTTTCAGGTTAATTACAGGTTAATTACAATGTTTTTCATTATTTTATTTGGCTTAACATGACTTGTTTACATTTACATTTAGTTTCTGTGAGTTTTACTGTGGTATAGCTTTCATTAGGAGTAGGTAGGCATTGTAGTGGTATACAATTATTTTACAAATATACATATAAACAAAGTTTAAAGATTTGATAGAATGCAATACATATTTAATACTTTTCAGCATTTTTATTTGATTATCTAACATTTATTTACCCCCCCCACCCCCCCCTCCCCAAAAAAACCTCATTGAAGTTAAAAAAAATCTCCTTTACAAGAGTGTCTTGGACTTGGTTTGTTTAATATACAATTATTCATGCAGTCTCATTAGTTTTCAGGCTTCTTCTTCTTCTTTTTCTCTGATTCTGTTTTGAAAGGGGGATTTTATTTAATATAATACATGACACACTAAGGGGGACTCAAATGCTGAACTTTTAGCTTCAGAAGACAATTAAATAAATAAACCCAAACAGGGCATCAGTGTTTTCTCCAGTATTTCGACACAGGTTGTGCAAGACGACACCGGCAACATTGGCATTTCCACTGAGGACAGAGATCACTGAGGCCAAACAACTATAAGACAGCACCATCTTGTGGTGCAGCCAGTGTTGAGTGTTGGGGGGTTCACTTTAAAATTAAACAATTCAGATCCTGGTTTTAAAAACAGTTTTAAAAACTAAACTATGCATATACAAGGAAGTTGGTCTCCTTACAAAAAATATGAAATACCCGCCCTAATCTTTGCAATGTCATGAAAAAACAAAAGTATATTTTAATCTACACTTCGTGGAAGTGAGTAGGAATCTTTCTTACACAATCATGGACTTTTAAAAAGAAGTAACATTAATTATAGAGCCCCTCCAGACATGTGTCTGAGACACAGAAATACTCTTCTTGGAATTATAATGTGTCATTGTTATAATTTTACCTTGATGAATAATATCCAGTCTTTCTCCCTCACTGAAAACCCGGAATGTATGAATATGCAGATGAACAGTTCATTTGCAAAAACAGATAAGAGCCAATCTTAAAATGAATAAATCACCAGTCTGATTGATATTCCTTTCAGTGCACAATGGCAAAAACATGATTTATGAAAATGTAGATATCTTATCAAAACAACTGACTTCTGCACATGCAAAAAAACATGATTTAGGAAAATAAATGAAAACAGAGATATCTATTTTGTTTCAAAGATGTCGCCTACGCCACTACGAAGTAAATTATCAGTCTGTGTGCAGGAGCATTTAAGTCTCCACATCACACCTCTGTAAGTTACATGTTGAACCATGATTGAGTTTTAAAGATTGGCTTATTGTAACGTCACAAAATCATGCCTGTGTGTAGGCTACATAGCTTAAATTTTAAAGGGACAGTTCACCTTAAAATCAAAAGTACATATATTTCCTCTTACCTGTAGCACTATTTATCAGTCTAGATTGTTTTGGTGTGAGTTGCTGAGTGTTGGAGATATCGACTGTAGATGTCTGCCTTCTCTCCAGTATAATGGAACTAGATGGCACTGAGCTTGTGGTGCTCAAAGTGCTAAAAAAAACAAAAAAACATTTGAAATTTAGCAGCAATGTCTCTTTCCAAAAATCATGACCTGCTTACTCAAGATAATCCACAGACCTTGTTGTGAGCAGTTTCATGGAGGAACTATTTTCTTTCCGCTGACTGTATCACCACACAGAAGGAGGTGTGCATCTACTCATCGACAGGAGGCTTGTGCTCATGACAGTGCGAGATCTAAACATTAATGGCGTCCTCCTCAGCTGAGCTGTAATGTTAGCTAGCTCAGTGGTGCTAAGTGAGCTAGCAGTAGATGCACACTTTCTTCTGTGTGGTGATGCGGTCTATGGGTACAGTTCAGTAGAGAGAAAATAGTTCCTACATGAAACTGCTCACAACAAAGTCTGTGGATTCTCTTGAGTAACTGGGTGGACTATGTGGAAAATGACCTGTATGTAGATATACATGGCTCAATGAAAACACAACAATTCTTAGTTTCAGGTGATTATACACTAATAAAAACATAGTTATGAATATCATATACCATTTCTGCCAATATGTCCACCTAAACCCAAAACACTTGACCTTTAATTTCACTTCAATAACACAACAGAAATCACAGAATCCTCTCATTATTCAGCAGCCCGATGTCCTGCTCAGACGGACCATATAAACTGACCTCACCTCTGTAACTTGCTCTTTGTTCAGCTGAGGTGCGGGTGGAGAAACGCCAGCGCTCCAGCTTCACCACCAACTGTTTCCGTGGCCGTGGGGAGGATTACCGTGGTAAAGTCAATGAGACAACATCAGGTATCCCCTGTCAGCGATGGGATGCCCAACAACCTCATGAGCATCCCTTCTACCCAAACACATATGAATGCAAGTAAGTAACACACAGCATGATGGAGGAGAGAAGAAGTTGAGTGTGTTTGAAAGATAAAAGTACTTTGGGTTATTTTCTGCACTCATTAGTTTGACATTGCTCTATCTGCTTCACATATGAATATTAATGTCAAGATGTCATTGCAGTGAAAGTTCTTGCGATCTTATTTCTGCTCTGACAGTTGACAGTAGATGATAAATCAGGCAACTCCAGATTAACAAGCGGGTCGCACTCTGAGTGGCATCGTGGATGTGAAATGAATATTAAGCTTATTTGTGACTTGGTAATCATTCATCACGCCCAAATCGATTACGAGCGTTTCAATCAGCCATTTTTTGTAGATGTTACAAGAAGTGTTGGATGTTAATAGTATGTTATTTTGGTATTATCTTTATATCTCTAAATTAAACATTAAACAGGCCGAGCAGATACAGTAAAATATGTCTTCACTTTATGCATTAGTGATAAGATTATTACTGTAATGCCTGTATATTTTTAAATTTATTAAAAAGTTTCTTAATATTAGCTGCAAAAAATATTATGTGTTGCCTTGGTACAATCACAAATTAACTATGCATTTAACTTTGTTTTTAAACAACGACAAGCCTGATAAATACTGGACAAAATGTTTTTGATTATAATAAAAGAACCAGTTTTAGTACAGGATATTTTAAAGGAACAGTGTGTAAGATTTAGGGGGAATTAGTGGCATCTAGTGGTGAGGATTGCAGATTGCAACCAGCTGAAACATCTCATAGTGAGAATTCCTTCAGCATACTTTGGTAAGCAAACACAAAAATGTGAATGGCCATATCTAGAGCTAATGTTTGGTTTGTCCATTTTGGGCTACTGTAGAAACATGGTAGTGCAATATGGTGGACTCTGTGGACAAGGACCCCTATATTGATTTTAATGGCTCATTCGAAGGTAACAAAAGCACAACAAATCTTAGTTTCAGGTTATTATACACTAAAGAAAACGTACTTATTATATTCCATTTCAGCCAATATATCCCCTAAATCTTACACACTGGATCCTTTAATAACTACAATAGTTAAACATTGTTAACAGCTTTCAGCATTTTGCAGTGATTTCTGTTTATAAATGTTTAAATGGCCGAGTACCAAACTATTTACAGGTGTGACGAGCATGGGTATAGTACAAGGCATAGTTGAAAGATTCAGTCAAAATTCAAAGACTCAGGACTATGGTGGAAAAAGGTTAATATAACTTTTTTTATATATTGTGTGATGCTTAAGTTTTATTTCTTGTTTTAAATGCTGCTTGTGTTTGTTTTATTTTTCTTGCTGTTTTTTATTTGATTCTACTGAAAAATGTGTTATTGTATAAGTTGTTGACAGGTTATGACCGAATAAATCTAAATCAATTCTGACTGACTTTGTGCTGCTACATCTCATCCAGGGGTTTGGAGGAGAACTACTGTCGTAACCCAGATGGGTCGGAGGCTCCCTGGTGCTTCACATCTGTGCCAGAGATGAGGACCGCTCTCTGCTTACAGATCAAACGATGTGCAGATGACATAGAGGCTGAAGGTATGACCTCCTGATTTAAATTTTAACAAAAAGAGGAAATATCAGTGTGTAGCTAACTGTCAGAAAACAGTAAGCTGACCTCAGTAACACCAGCAGGATGGAAAGAAAAAATCTGTCTCTGTCTGTCTCAAGTCTGTTGGTTCATAAGCGCAAGTGCTTCATCAGTTAAAGACACATCTTTAAGTAGGTAGTCCTGTGGTACAGAGATGTAAATCCCTGCCATGCTTAGCTGGCATGCCGAGTCAAACCGAGTCAAGCCAAGCCAGCACATGTGTATGGAAAAGAGCTAAATGGTAGCTATGGCCCTGCATGAGAGCAGGGAGTTTCAGTGTTGTATCCAATTTTTTACATTTTATTTTACCACTTTTGCTGCGTGCTGTAATTAATCAAGATCACTGTCATAATAATAATTTTGTTCTTTTTCTTTCTTTCTTTTTACAGATTGCTACCATGAAAATGGAAAAAACTACAGAGGCATGGTCCGCAAAACTCGTAAGGGGATCACCTGCCAGAAATGGAACGTCAACACACCTCACCTGACCAAGTATGATGATCATTTAAGTGTTGCAAAGACACATGAGAAAACAGTTGCAATGTGCAAATTTGTAGACATCTGTGACACAGGCAAAACCAAGAATGGAAAAAAAAAGCTGATTGTTGTCTTTATATTTAAGCAGCTGTATCCAAAATGCATCATGATTCTAAGCAGGTTTTTGGTATGCTGTTGTGTATTCACACTCGAAACAGTCAGTATGTAAACAAACAAACAAAAAAAACTTTGATTAATACATTTTTGAAGGACACAGTTCTCCCACAATTTGATGAACGGAAATGGAGGAGCTCCTCACAGCTGGAAAAATTCAAACTTATTTTTTATAGTCGTGAAACAGCTCCAGGAAACACCTAAAAACATTATTGTTACAGTTTGAGTTGAGTATTACAGCAGTTATACCTATTAAATATGTTGATTTCTTTCATACTGATCACAAAAACATTTCTATAAAGATCTGTATACAGTGCATACGGTACACAGTTAGTGTGTAGCATAAAACTGGGAAACAGTCTCTTGAGTTGCTTTGATACCAGCCAGAAGAAAATAAGTCTGTGTGATTTTCCAGGATAAACCCAAGGACGCATCCTGAGGCGAACCTGACAGAGAACTATTGTCGTAACCCAGATGGGGACCAGCACGGACCCTGGTGCTACACCACTGACCCCAAAACTGAGTTTGACTACTGTGCCATCAAACAGTGTGGTACATAACTCTGCTGTCTTTCTATATTTGAACATCTTCAGAGGAGTTTAATGCTCTGCGTGATGACAATTCATCCAGAGCTTCTGTTTCCTGAATTTAACGATTCATCTGTTTCTTGTTGTGTCACACAGCTGGAGAGAAAGTGTCCATGACTGAACCAGTAGGTCAGTTTCTGAATGAATATGAAGCAACATTTCAGTGTTGACAACAAGCCTTTCTGTATTTTGTTTGTTTGTTTTTAATAATATGTCACCTCTTTGTGAACACAGAGAAGGTAGAGTTCAGTGAGTGCGGGAAGAGAGACGACCGCCTCCCGAGGACGAGGTTGCGTATCGTGAATGGGGTTCCTGGGAACTCACCATGGACAGTGAGCCTCAGAGACAGGTGAGTCTGAGAACTGTTTGAGCTGGACAAGAATGTGTATAGTAAAATACACTCTGACCTCTGACCTCTTGTGTGCAGGAAAGGAAACCATTTCTGTGGAGGATCCTTGGTTAACCCCAGATGGGTGATCAGCACCAAGCAGTGTTTCTCCTCCTGGTAAACTTTATTTATTTTAAAGTTTTTGGAGTGCAGCCCGTCAGCAGGGTGTTCGCACTGTCATTGTGAACAATTAGCACTTAGCTCAAAGCACTGCTGTGCCTAAGTAACCTACAGCCTCAGAGCTGCTGCTAGCATGACTGCAAACTCTTAAAGCCTCTTCACAGCAGCGATGTTAATTTGCAACAGCTGCAACAATGGTTCAATAAAAGGTTTAAACAGATTCGCACCAGCTCACTCAGCAGAAAAAAATATGGATTCATCATGCAGTGATGATGACCTAGTCCTCCACCTCCTCAGTTGACAAAAGTAGAGGATATTTTGGGTACTTCCACTTTTACAGGGAAAGAGAAGAGTCCCACTGCCTCATACAGGACCTGAAGCTCTACCACAGCTGGTTCCAGACATAATTTTGGGTGCTTTCACACATGCCCTGTTTGGTTGGCTTTAATTGAAGTAAGGTTTGTTTGCTTCCTCAGTGCGGTTCGTTTGGGCAGGTGTGAACACAGCAATCGCACTCAGGTGTGCACCAAAACAACCGGGCCGAGACCTTCTTGAAGTGGTGGTCCCTGTCCGGGTACAAACAAACTCCGGTGCGGTTTGTTTGTGGTGAGAACGTGTTCCGACCTCGATCTGAACCAACTGCAGTCACATGACACATTGTTTGGGTTAAACATGAGCATGTTACAGTCCTGGAGGATTATTAATGTGCACCTCCTCCTGTACTGCCTTAATATGCACATCCAGCACATCCAATGCATCAAAACATTGTTTTCTAGTTGGAGCCGCGCCTCATTTTCAAACTGTATGGTTTGACTAAAATGAACAATGACAGTAATATAGACCATGATGACCAGCGCTAAAATCAACCTGCGTAGTTGTCCTCTACTTGTACTTACACTCTTCTTCAACGTTTTGTTAACCTCCTGGATTTTTCCCGCATGGAAATTCTGACCAATCAAGAGCAGCTTTCCTGCACAAGGCATTTTATCTGGTCCACTTATAAATACTGCTGTGAGAACACGAACCAACTCTACACAATTATACAACTTTGTAACAAAATTAGTCCCTGATTCAGACCAAAGCAAGACAACTCTAGGTCTGAAGGCACCCTTATGATTTAAGATTCACCCCCCTGTACAGTACAATCAGGAGAGACATGTTTTGGTTAGGAAAGAAAATATTTAATTACAAATGCACATGAGAATGGAATGTGAAAATGTGAAAAGTCTTTGGCGATTAGACCCCTTTGAGATGGTGAGCTATAAGGAGGGTGATGGATCCGTAGCCAATTAGGGAACCCCCCCGGGGTCTAGACGCTGGCGGTGGTAGAGGAAGTGGAGAAGAGATGAGGATCAGATGGATGGGTGCTGATGATCCAGATGAGAAGAGGAATGAGTCTTCGGGTTTATCTTTGACCTTGGATGTGATGGCAGGAGGTGAACGGGGTGGAGGAGGGGCGGGGATTCTGTCTAGAATGACAGCTGAAAGCGGCAGAGGAGAGAACAGATTTAAAATCTTGTAGTGACAACCTGATTGGCTGATGGAGGCCGTGGCTAATTACGATAGGACAGCAAGAAGAGTGATTGAACTTACGCTGAGCTTCATTTGGCCTGGCTGATTTTGTTGTAAATATGTTTATTTCTGTGGTAGAGTCAGGCATTTTAACCTGGGGGTCTGTGGGGATTGACTCACTCTTGGAGCCAGTCTCAAGTGGCCATTCGAGGAACTGCAGCTTTTAGCAATTCTGCATTAGCTTCCTTTTCCAGTCCCGGAAATTGCTGCTTGTGCGTTCATAAAAATCGACTTTGTTCCAAGGCTTTATTGTTGCATAATATCCACATTCTTTGTAAAAGTACTCTTGATAAAAAAATAAATATTAACATGTGAATTAAACACACAAAAACAATGGCCATAGTGTGTGAAGACCTTTGGTATTGTCAATGGAAAAGCAGTATTTAATTACTTGAGTTCCCCTTAAAGACTTAAGGATATTTCAAGTTGTACTTTGCTTGTCTGCATGTGTGCACAGCTACGTGGACCTGCCCGGGTACTCGGCCATGATGGGAACTCTGTATCGTGATCCACAAGAAGGAGAGCCTGGTGTGCAAACCATCCCCCTGACCAAGATCGTCTGTGGACCCTCAGAGTCTCAGCTGGTCATGCTACAACTGGAATCGTGTGTACTGTCAAGTGCCCCCAGCACCCACACACACACAAACACACACACACCCACCCAGACGTACCAATAATCTGGTTCTGCCTCTCTCTTCTGTCTGTAGCCCGGCCCAGTTTAATGAGCGTGTCTCTCAGATCTGCCTCCCTCCTGAGCGCTACATTGTAGCTGAGGGGACGAACTGTGAGATCGCAGGATGGGGTGAGACGAGAGGCAAGTATAATCCTTTGGCAATGATAACTTGACACTGAATTAACGACATGCTGTGCTTCATGCGACTACAATATGCTTCAATTGTAGTAATTGATAATAGATGACTTACTTAGAACAAGCATCTTGTTTCTGCCCTTGAAGTAATGTCGCATCTAAATGAACGAGCTATTCAGACCGTTGAGCAACAGATGGCGTTGCTATTTCCAGACCCATTCCACATCTGTCCACCTTCCTTTTTTTCTTTTCTCCATCTCTCTAAACACATTGGCTGCTAACTCATTCCTCTTTCTTGCTGCTTTTCAAGGGACTGGAGATGAGACTGTCCTCAACGTGGCCCACATACCAGTTCTCAGTAACAAGGAATGCAACAAATACTTCAGAGGTCGTGTTCGTGAGAATGAGATGTGCACAAGCTCTTTCCAGGGAGGGGTGGGTGCCTGTGAGGTAGGTGAAAAGAGTTCACAGTATTAAAGCTTTCATGTGACTGTTTTAACTTTCTTTTTTGTTTACCCTGGAGCTGCAGCAGTTCCTCCATTCACAAATTTTAAGATTAATATTTATGTTTGTATTTTGCCTTTATTAGATAGGTTAAAGTAGAGATGCATTGTGGTTAATATGGCATGCGTCTAGGTCACCATGACAAAACGGACAGTTTTCTTTGACATTTACGGCAGAGGTATTAAAGGAATAGTTTGACATTTTGAGGAATACGCCTATTCACTTTCTTATCAATAGCTAGATGAGACTGATACCACTCTCGTAACTGTTAGCTAAATAGAACCAGCTAGCTTAGCACAGCTATCATGGCTCTGTCTCACAGAAACAAAACCCACCTGCTAGCACCTTTAAAGCTCACTAAATAACACTTAAATTCTTGTTTGTTTAATTTATCCAAAACCAACAATTTGTGGTTTTGGGGGCAACTGTAAGATTTTTATTGCTTCAAAAAGAGACTGGCTGTTTTGCTGTCTCCAGTTTTTATGCTAAGCTAAGCTAAGCTAAGCTAACAGACTGCTGGCTACATGAGAGTGGTATCAATCTTCTCCATCAGCAGGACACGAATAAGTGTTTCCCCAAAATGTTGAACAACTACTTTTAAAAAGTAATAGCACAATTAAAGGAGCTGTATGCGACATTCAGAGCATTAATATAGCAGCAAACAACTATTTGTCGCGTACGGATAGAGCAGAATCCTGAGTAGAGAATGAAGTCGTACTCCCTCTGTGTGTGTTGTTTGGTGTGTCACATGATGCAAATTTTTGTGTTGCCCTTCATATGCGCGAATAACTCACGTCAGGTGTGAAATCGCAGATTCCATTAATGAACTTACATTGGTACAGTCTCAGCGTTATACGTCCCTAGAGGATGCTGATTGAACACATTGAACATATTGAACACAATATAACGCTAGCTTTTCAGTTCTTGGTTGTGGTAGATGGTCCGGCTGTGTGTGCATGTTAGCACATGTGACTCCCTGTGTGTGTGTGGCACACTGGCTAGCTAATCACCACCGCTCTGCTCTGTGCTTTATGGCGGACACTGTTGATGTTGTTCCAACCCACGGTAGTGGAGCAATGTTGTTGCAGAGGCATAGCACTCATCCTCCTGTTCCCCCCAGTTAACGCTATTAGCTCTGTTAGCACATGGATGTATAAAGAGAACTGGATAGAGTGGAAGCGGATCTTGGTTTATTCTTATGAAAGTTGTTCAGTGGCACATGAGGCTAAGAAGTTTGATTTGGACGTTATGAAATTACTTCGATCTTCTGCATTGTGAGGCCCATAGAGCAAGTGCAGTAGAGATTTACAGCGGCAGAGCGGCTAACCTCCGGCTTACCTCGGGTTTAGCCTCTCAGTAACTTGAATCGGGACAAAGTGATTTATTTGTGCGGCTCCTCCAATCTTCCTAAATGTTATCAGACCAAATAGACCAAATCTGGATAGTGAAATCAGTCATTTTGCAAGGTTTGTGACACTCAAAGAAATGTATGATTTACAGATGCCTTTTTCACAGCGTAAGTCTATGGGAAAAAGTATTTTGAGTCTCATGGCATCACGTGCAGGGCGTAACCGCAGGGCGTGTCTTTAAAACCCGGGGTTGTTCCTGGGAGCTTGTGTCAGTGTTGCTGCTGTTGTCAGCGCTGTTTATGGCTTTAAGCTGCTAGCTGCTGGCTCAGCCACCTCCATGTTCAGAACTGTGTGCAGACAGTCCTGCTTCAGAATCATAGATATGCTCTAAATGTCGCGTATAGCTCCTTTAAATGCTGAGAATTAACACTTCAAACACTGACAGTGAAGAAAATCTTTTGATGAAAATCTCTTGAAGTAAAGAGCATACAGCTATTTATATGCTCCTATAAATCAGACACATCTACCATTTGGGTAATGGAGGCGGACAGGACAAGATGTGACTGCAAGATGTTTCCAACCTCAGCAGTGACAGTCAGTCATAACAGAGACAAATAATGACTCCAGAGTGTTGTTCCTGCGTGTCTGCAGAGAGACTACGGCGGCCCTCTGGCCTGTCAGAACAGGGACTGCTGGGTACTCGAGGGTGTCATCATCCCCATGAGGCGCTGCGGACACCCGGGGCAGCCCAACATCTTCATCCGAGTCTCTGTCTACGTGGACTGGATCAAGAAGGTCATGGAGATGGCTTAGAGACAGAAACTGCCATCCAACAGGGACTCATCAAATCTGCTGTCAAAGCCCTTAAGACCAGTTATTCACTTATTAACCATAGACATGTTCCTTCTCGGATGTCTATTTTGTATTAAAAATGTTAATAATACATTAAAATGTATGGTCAGATTTCACTACGTAAGTTACAACAAGACTATATTAAAAAGACACATACATTCATGGAGAAAATGCAAAGACAGCACAGTAATTTGTTACAGTATATCTGCTTTAACCCTCTGACACCTGGATTGACATCATGTTTCTTGTGCTGCGTTCAAATGCCTTTCACAAGTATTTAAACCTTTGAACCAAGAGCAAATTAGTTTGATTTCTTTTGAAAACATGTAAAAAAAAAGGCAATGAACACGTTCACAAGAAATGTCCCGCATATTGCAAGAAATTAGTAGATTTAGAAAATTATCTTTAATAAAGAGGTAGGGAAAATGTTCAGTAGACTATATTTATAATTAACATAATTATATATTTAATTAATAATTTATTTTTCCATAATTATTATTATTATTATTTTTAAGCACTTTTTCCCAGTTAATTTCCTTTTTTTCTGTCTAATTTTCTTGTACTTTTTACTAAATTCTTGCTCATTTTTATCTCATTTCTTCAGCAGTTGTTCATTGCCTTCTTCTCGCATTTTTTTAGATCCAATTTGCTCAGGATTTGAAAGAGTTAAATACTTTTTTGTATGCATTTATATCTAGTGAATTTTTCCAGCCAGAGTCACTAACCAGTGGGGACATTTAAAGTCATGATGTCCTCGATGCAAGAGGCCAAAATCAGACAGAATAAGTACAAAACAAAATATTATCAGATGCAAATAATGCAGAGATTTAACATAAAATGTAAGTAAAGTAAACTTTTCATGAAGTCCCCCCATTTAGTGTTTTTATAAACATTTAATAATGGTTTTAAATAAACTATAATGCAGTTGAAAGCAGATTTAAGGAGATTCTGAGTGTTTATTAATGCACAGGATTAAAACTTGTCTTATAAAGACATTTTTTATTATTACCACCAAAGGTTTTTTCAGTTTGTTAATCAGCAGGATTACAGAAAAATGACTGGCCCTGCTTTGATGAAATTTGGTGTAAGGGTGTAGCACGGGTCAAGCAACAACTCAATTTGGGAGTGGATCAGAATATTTTTTACTTTCGTTAACATTAAAGTTGGGGCATTTGGTCTGCGTTCTCCAAGTGCCTTTCTAGTTACAACTGTGTTTTATTCATTATCTGTTCATACAGCAGCCTCCACTAATGGCTGACCACAAGAGGAGTTGTAGTTGTTCACAAATACATTGATAAACACTGCTTACAACTGTTTTATGGTGCATTATAAAGTGTTTATTCAATGTTTATGCACTGCTTATAAAGGCTAAATATGGGGACTTCAGGGAAAGTGGTGGGGATTTGTTATTTATTCACCAAAAATGGATGCAGGAATAAAATGTTTCCCCTCAGGTTCAGAGGAAAATAAGTGAGAATAAGTAACTCTCACTAACAGAGGAGGTGTTGGGGGGTTTACAGCACACATTTTAAGTTCCTAACATCCCCTGGAAATGCACCCTTTTACCACAAAACTGTACGTAAACTGTACCTCCCCTCCTCTCCCTGGTACTGAATGGAGCTCCGAAATACCTTCTTTGCCCCCAGCCTCTAAAGAAATCCCTCCTCTGCCTGTCTTTTGATGCCTGCCCCCACCTCTAAAGACATGCCTTTGTGCCTTATGCAGAACTGTATGCGCTGCACATTCTTTCTAGTTCTATAGGAGGATTTTTGTAACCCGGTCCTGATGAGCCCACGGAATTCAGCTTAAATAAACCTCAAGATCAGAGTCCGACCGAATCTCAGACACACCAGCCTGCAGAGGGCCACTGAACTCACACATAAACTCTCACACAGACAGACACACACACACACACACACACAATTTCTCTCTCTCATGCAAACCCTCCCTCCCCCCTCCCTGCTCCCTGCCTCATTTCCCATTCTTTCTGATTTCTGTCTCTTAAATTTTCACGCCAACATTTTTTCCCTTTGTCTCGACAATCAGAGGATCCTGACATTTTATCTTTTGCTGAACTAAGAAGAACTTAAGTGTCGAAAATGTTCCCCTTTAACTAACACACAGAGCGTTCAGAAATGGCAGGTTGACAGTTATGATTTCAGCGTCATTCTGCTCTCTTTCATTTAGTAATATTTATAGTGAATGACTAATCAAATTCATATATGACTACCACTTCTCACCAACTGTTAAAGCTTCTAGGAAACCTGAATACATTTTTAATAAATGCTGCCACACAAACACGCAAACAGCTTCTTTGTTATTTTGTATCACGCATCTGATGGTAACTCTGTGTGTGTGTGTGTGTGTGTGTGTGTGTGTGTGTGTGGGCTGAACAAGATCTTTGAATTCAACATTTGAAGATTAATTTTTTTAAATCTTCAAGTTTGACAGGATATCAAGTTTAACAGATATATCTATCTTTAATCTGTGCATTTATATATTGCACAACAAAACTGACACTGTGAAGAGTTTAAATGGGGTCCTGTGCTCTGTCTCCATAACTTAAAGCTTTATATTTTGGTCTCATGCCAGCACGCTCACCTGACATGACTCCATGAGCTGTCCAGTATTAGCCGCCCCTGGAATGTGTATTCACTGTGGTTCAAACAAATCCATCTGTATTTATCAGTCTGTGCAAACTTACAAAGTTTTGAAAATCACAAACACAAGAAAGAAGGGATTCAAAACATGCATGGAAAAATGCAATAAAAACTACAATGGGAGGATTAAATTCCAAAATACTATGTACACTAGGAGGAAGTGATGTTACAATTTTTTGTTGGACTATTATCTGAAAATAAAAAGAGAATAACTGATTGGAGAATAACAGGAGAGTAGAACACTAGATCTGGTGTCTAATAAAAACTTTTTACATGATCTACATAGGAAAATTAAAAGGGAAACACAGCTCATATCTGCTTACTGCTCACTCTCAGTGTGTTTGCATGTGGTGCATGATTCAGTGAACTAAACTGGGGTCAGTTTCCCCCCAAACAAATGCACATCAGATGGCTGCCCCTGCAGACTTTGTTCTCAGAAACCCCATTTGATCTTTCTGTCCTTTGTTATGACTTACACACACACACACAGTGAAACCTCTGCTCGAAAACAGTCTAGACAGTCTGATCTCAGCCGAATTTCTACTGAACCTTTCCCTCCCGTCTGTGGGGAACTTCCCAGTCCCCGGACCCCACTTTGGGAACCCCGGAACCAGACTCTACCCTCCTGGCTGATGCCCGTCTCTCTCTCTCTCTTTCCTTCTCTCAAGTGGGTGGTCCGGTGAGGTTTTTCGGGGCGGGGTCCTCTGTTTCAACCCTCCTACCCTGGTTCCCTCCTGAAACATGCTTTAATAGAGAAAGTATGCAATGCATACTGCTCAGCTACAACCCCCAATTATACTGCAACTGGGGTATTCGTGACTGGACGTCTGGGGGGGATCACACACATTTCCGATTAGAGGAGGAGAGACAGAGAGGAGGAGGGAGGGAGAGAGAGTTTACCCTTTCAATCCAGCCAATGAGACGGTCGATACACTAAGATTTTCATAGTTGTGCAGAAGCACAAAGTGAGCTGACTGTGTGAACTTCCAGGTGAAACTGCAAAACCGTCTCAAGGTAAGTTCAACTCTCTCTGCGCTCTCATTGTGCTGCGTTTGGCGCTGGCTGCATGAGCCGGAGCACTCAGCCTGAACATGGAGCCTATAGCCTCAATGTATGCATGTGTGTGTAGCCTATGTTCATGGCTGGTTTGAAAGGAGAGCTTTTGCACCTGTGTTCTTCCTCGCCTTTGTCCTTCTTGGTAAAGTTTTTGCAGCTCCTCGGCTTCACCCACTTCGGCGGACCTGCTATCTCTGCAGAAAACCCAACATATTTAGGATCGATTGCGCAAGTGATGGGAGCAGGGGGATGTTGTGTAGTTAGCGCCGACTTTACGCTTTAAAACACTGATGGCCTCGGCGGTTGTTGTGGCGATTTACATACGACAGTTGCTCGAGCCGAAGTCGGGAAGGTTTGAAGTCACGGGCTGGCTGCAGGAGCGCTTTACGCACCTTCTCTAAAGCCTCTCAAAGAATGTGTTTTTAAGGTTTGCAATTGCCGCCCATATGCAAAAAGTACATTCAGTCCCTGTAGGCCTGCTTGACTGCCAAACAGACTCGTTTAAGCGGACGGTGTGCGGCTGCAGAAGAAGTGCAGGACGCTTGTTGTGTTGCTCCGAAATCAGTTTATAAGCGTCGAGACGACGTCGTGCGTCTCGTTTGGCTTTAAATCGTTTCAGCGAGGACGTAGATTTCTCAAATGACTCCGACTTCCTGCTTCAGTGCGGCCGTTTTGATAGGCTGTGTTGGCAATTAGTGTTTGGCACATTCCTTACAGAGCCAGACCTTATGGTAAACGACCACCCTGGGACATTACCAGCAGCCTGGTTAAAGCAGACACTGTGGCTTTACTCTCTGCGAAACAAGGAGATCACACTGTTTTTGGAAGTTACTAGAAGTATGAGGGTTTTCCTGGAAAGCAGGGGGGACGTCCCCCAATACTTAGAACATGCACATTTGTCCACCACCCCCAATAAAATCATGCAAGTTGCAGAGGACTTTTATTGTGACAAAATGAAATTTGTTTACACTATAGATCGGTGCAAAAATGCACAAATTGCGGCACAAAATTCACAATGCAGGTAATAAAGTGTCTGATGCTCAAAATCTTCTGGCAGACAACCCCCGTAACTCCCCATTCATATGTGTGTGTGTGTGTGTGTGTGTGTGTGTCCCAATATTTAGAGCATGCACATTTGTCCACCACCCCTAATAAAATCATTAAAGTTGCAGAGGACTTTTATTTTACTGGCACAAATTAATGCACACAATTCACCATAATGCAGGAAATAAAGTGTCTCATGTTAAGAAATTTCTGGCAGAGGACCCCAAAACCCCCATGTCATATGTGTGTCCCCCAGTATTTAGAACATGCACATTTGTCCACCATCCCCAATAAAATCATACAAGTAGCAGAGGACTTTTATTTTGAGAAAATTAAACAAGTTTGCACCATAAATTGATGCACAAAATTCACCACAATGCGGGAAATAAAGTATCTGTTGCTCAAAATTTTCCCTGTCATATGTGTGTCCTCCAATATTTAGAACATGCACATTCGTCCAACCCCCAATAAAATCATGCAAGTTGCAGAGGACTTTAATTGTGAGAAAATCAAAGATGTTTACACTATAGATTGATGCAAAAATGCATAAATTGCAGCACAAAATTCACCACAATGCAGGTAATAAAGTGTCTGATGCTCAAAATCTTCTGGCGGACAACCCCGAAAACTCCTCTGTTATATGTGTGTGTGTCCCAATATTTAGAACATGCACATTTGTTCAACATCCCCAATAAAATAATGCAAGTTGCAGAGGACTTTTATGTTGAGAAAATTAAACACCATAAATTGATGCAAAAATGCACAAAATATGCACAAAATGCACCATAATGCAGGAAATAAAGTGTCTGATGCTTGGAATTTTCTGGCAGAGGACCCCCAAAACTCCCCTGTCATATGTGTGTCCCCCAATATTTAGAGCATGCACATTAGTCCCCCCAACACCAATAAAATCATTAAAGTAGTAGAGGTCTTTTGTTTTTAGAAAATTGAATATACTGTACACTATAAATTGATGCAAAATGGCACAATGAATGCACACAATTCACCATAATGCAGGAAATAAAGTGTCTGATGCTCAAAATATTCTGGTGGAGGAACCCCATAACTCCCATGTCATATGTGTGTCCCCCAATATTTAGAGCATGCACATTTGTCCCCCCACACCGATAAAATAATTCAAGTTCACACCGTAACCAGAGGACTTTTATTGTGAGAAAATAAAAGCCCTTTACACCATAGATTGATGCAAAAATGCACAAATTGTAGCACAAAAATTCACCATAATGCAGGAAATAAAGTGTCTGATGCTCAGAGTTTTCTTGTGAAGGACCCCAAACCTGTGTGTGTGTCCCAACATTTAGAACCTGCACATTTGTCCCCCCACACCAATAAAATCATAAAAGTAGTAGAGGTCTTTTACTTTTAGAAAGTTAAAGACATTTGTCCCATAAATTGATGCACAAAAAATTACCATAATGCAGGAAATAAAATGTCTGATGCGCAAAATTTTCCTTTGAGGACCCCAAAACTCCCCTGTCATATGTGCCCCCCCCCCAGTATTTAGAACATGCACATTTGTCCCCCCACACCAATAAAATCATTAAAGTTAACACCATAAATTGATGCAAAATGGCACGAATTGATGCACAAATTCACCATAATGCAGGAAATAAAGTGTCTGGTACTCAAAATTTCCCTGTCATATGTGTCCCCCCCAATATTTAGAACATGCACATTTGTCCACCACCCCCAATAAAATCATGCAAGTAGCAGAGGACCTTTATTAAAAAAACAACAACACACCACTACTACACCACAAATTAATGCAAAAATGAATGCACATAATGCACCATAATGCAGGAAATAAAGTGTCTCATGTTAAAAAAATTCTGGCGAAGGACCCCAAAACCCCCATGTCATAAATGTGTCCCCCAGTATTTAAACATACACATTTGTTCCCCCTCAAAAAAAATCATGCAAGTAGCAGAGGACTTCTATTTTGAGAAAATTAAAGACATTTACACCATAAACGGATGCAAAACAATCACAAACCAGGGCACAAAAAATTTCAATTATGCAGGAAATAAAATGTTTGATGCTCAAATTTTTTCTTTGAGGACCTCAAAACTCTCCTGTCATATGTGTGTCCTCCAATATTTAAAGCATGCACATTTGACCACCACCCTCAATAAAATCATGCAAGTTGCAGAGGACTTTTATTTTGAGAAAATTAAACAAGTTTGCACCATAAATTGATGCAAAAAGGCACAGATTGATGCGCAAAATTCACCATAATGCAGGAAATAAAATGTCTGATGCTCAAAATGTTTCCTGTCATATGTGTCCCCCTCCAATATTTAGAACATGCACATTCGTCCAACCCCCTCAATAAAATCATGCAACTTGCAGAGGACTTTTATGTTGAGAAAATTAAACACACTTACACCATAACTTGATGCAAAAATGAACAAATGGATGCACAAAATAATGCAGAAAATAAAGTGTCCATTGCTCAAACATTTCTGCAGAGGACCCCCCAAAACTCCCCTGTCATATGAGTGTCCCCCAGTATTAAAACAAAACATACACTTTTGCCTGTTATTTGATAACTGGTTAATAATTTGTCATTTTTCAAGCAAAAAAAGTAAACTATTCCTTAGTCTCAGGCTCTTAAATGTGAGGATTTGCTGCCTCTTTTGTCTCATGTAAAAGTAAACCGAATATATTTTGGTCCACGTTCAAACTGCTTGACAAAACAAGCAGTTTGAACGTGACATTTTTTTACTAGAGGATTAATCAGTTAAGAAATTGGTGTGAGACATTTTCGTGATAAATCTTTTATTTAATTGGTCTGTAAAATGTCAGGAAATATTCAAGCCCAAAAAACCCAAGGTGATGTTTTCATATGTCTTGTTTTTTGTGGCTTACAGCCAAGAAACTAAAGATAATCAGTTTTCTATCACATAAAACGTATACAAGCAGCAAATTATCAACATTGTGAAGCTGAGAAAGTTTTGCATTTTTGTTTGAAAATGTGTGTAAATGATTAATAATTTATCAAAGTAGTTGCAGATTCATTTTCCATTGATTTACCAGTTGCTTCATTAACTATTTGTTGCAGCTCCAAAGTTCCATCTGACCTGCATGCTCAGATTTGTCATGATTTTTTTTCCCCATGAAGGTTTTGCATGTTTTTTTGTGTGCTTTAACTGCACAAGTTTTAGTGTAAAAGCTATCACAGCATCAGCACAACAGGCACCACCCCATTGAGAAATCCTTCACAGAGGGCAGATGGAAAGGCAGCGTACAGTAGAGCAGATGCAGAGTTTGGATGGCAGATTGAGTTGTGAATATCTGTGCTACTTTTAGTCGCTGGACACCACTCTCATGTTTCCCTGCGTCTGCCAGACCCCTGTCTGTGTTCCGATGAACCTGGTGCCAAGGCTTATGTATAAGCAGTTCCCACGCTCGCTCTTGGAAAAGGATCCTGTGTGATTCTGAGTTATCCTTTCAATGATTTTCAGCACTGATTGAGACTCACTGTGGTAGTGGTGCAAAAAGAACAACAAGATTTGAAGTAGTAGAACATAGCTGATTAATCTTAAGTCCCTAGAGATGATGGCTGCATTCAAAAGTAGCACTTTTTTCCCATGTGTCTTTGCCCATATCTCCAGCTCCTGACGCTCCTGTCTTCTCCTCTTTAAGCCCTCAAGGCCACTCCTCCAGGCTTTGATGCCCACACTCCCTGAATTGGTGGACAGACGCAGGCATGAGTAACAGTGGGACCAAAGAGCCGTCTCCCCAGCCGAGCACTGCCCAGTCACCTCCTGAGCCTCAGCGCAGGGGCAGGGGTCGGCCAAAGAAACAGCAGCAGGTAGGATGTCAGTCTCTTAAGGATCAATTTGATCAGCCTTGACCTTAAATTGTTTTAAGTCTGGAAAACAAAGCAAAGAAATGTTTCCCACTGATTAGTCATGGTTCCACATCTCTCTCTTCAGGAGCCTGTCGGACCACCGACTCCAAAGCGTCCAAGAGGACGACCGAAAGGCAGCAAGAACAAAGGCCCCAGATCTACACTTAAGGTTTAACTGATCACAGTATCTAAGATCTTAATGAAAAATGTACAGTACAGGCCAAAAGTTTGGACACACCTTCTCATTCAATGCGTTTTCTTTATTTTCATGACTATTTACATTGTAGATTCTCACTGAAGGCATCAAAACTATGAATGAACACATGTGGAGTTATGTACTTAACAAAAAAAGGTGAAATAACTGAAAACATGTTTTATATTCTAGTTTCTTCAAAATAGCCACCCTTTGCTCTGATTACTGCTTTGCACACTCTTGGCATTCTCTCCATGAGCTTCAAGAGGTAGTCACCTGAAATGGTTTCCACTTCACAGGTGTGCCTTATCAGGGTTAATTAGTGGAATTTCTTGCTTTATCAATGGGGTTGGGACCATCAGTTGTGTTGTGCAGAAGTCAGGTTAATACACAGCCGACAGCCCTATTGGACAACTGTTAAAATTCATATTATGGCAAGAACCAATCAGCTAACTAAAGAAAAACGAGTGGCCATCATTACTTTAAGAAATGAAGGTCAGTCAGTCCGGAAAATTGCAAAAACTTTAAATGTGTCCCCAAGTGGAGTCGCAAAAACCATCAAGCGCTACAACGAAACTGGCACACATGAGGACCGACCCAGGAAAGGAAGACCAAGAGTCACCTCTGCTTCTGAGGATAAGTTCATCCGAGTCACCAGCCTCAGAAATCGCAAGTTAACAGCAGCTCAGATCAGAGACCAGATGAATGCCACACAGAGTTCTAGCAGCAGACCCATCTCTAGAACAACTGTTAAGAGGAGACTGCGCCAATCAGGCCTTCATGGTCAAATAGCTGCTAGGAAACCACTGCTAAGGAGAGGCAACAAGCAGAAGAGATTTGTTTGGGCCAAGAAACACAAGGAATGGACATTAGACCAGTGGAAATCTGTGCTTTGGTCTGATGAGTCCAAATTTGAGATCTTTGGTTCCAACCGCCGTGTCTTTGTGAGACGCAGAAAAGGTGAACGGATGGATTCCACATGCCTGGTTCCCACTGTGAAGCATGGAGGAGGAGGTGTGATGGTGTGGGGGTGTTTTGCTGGTGACACTGTTGGGGATTTATTCAAAATTGAAGGCACACTGAACCAGCATGGCTACCACAGCATCCTGCAGCGACATGCCATCCCATCCGGTTTGCGTTTAGTTGGACGATCATTTATTTTTCAACAGGACAATGACCCCAAACACACCTCCAGGCTGTGTAAGGGCTATTTGACCAAGAAGGAGAGTGATGGAGTGCTGCGGCAGATGACCTGGCCTCCACAGTCACCGGACCTGAACCCAATCGAGATGGTTTGGGGTGAGCTGGACCGCAGAGTGAAGGCAAAGGGGCCAACAAGTGCTAAACACCTCTGGGAACTCCTTCAAGACTGTTGGAAAACCATTTCAGGTGACTACCTCTTGAAGCTCATGGAGAGAATGCCAAGAGTGTGCAAAGCAGTAATCAGAGCAAAGGGTGGCTATTTTGAAGAAACTAGAATATAAAACATGTTTTCAGTTATTTCACCTTTTTTTGTTAAGTACATAACTCCACATGTATTCATTCATAGTTTTGATGCCTTCAGTGAGAATCTACAATGTAAATAGTCATGAAAATAAAGAAAACGCATTGAATGAGAAGGTGTGTCCAAACTTTTGGCCTGTACTGTATATTTGAAGTTCTGTGTTGTCAGACAGAACTTTTTGGACACCCTAAATTTATACATTTTTGTTTAATCACCAAATACATAACCAGTTAAATGGTTCGAGTATTTTTTTATTGATTGATTGATTCCAGCTTCTTAAATGTGAATATTTTCTGCTTCCTTTACTCCTGTTTGACAGTAAACTGAATATCTTTGGGTTGTGGACAAAACAAGACATTTGAGGAAGTCGTCTTAGGCTCTCATCAACAATAACTAATTGATTAATCGAAAAAACAATCGACTGATTAATTGACAATGAAAATAATTGTTAGTTTCATCCCTAATTAGAAAATAGTATGAGAAATTGTGACTTTGGACGTATCAAACTTTAGTCAAAACAACCTTGGTCTCCATCACTGCCGAAGAGAAAGAAGTCGGTAACACACAACATATTTGTTTTACAACTGATGGCAGCACTTTCTAAATGTTTGTTTCCATGTAACACGTTCTTCTGATATGTAAAGATCTGGGTCTTTCGTAGGATGCTATAACACAGTCAGAATTCATCATGAGGGCAAATGTCAGCTGAAAAAAGAGCAAAGATGAGCTGTTATTAAATCAGTGCAGTGTTTATCTCTTCTTCTTGTGGGTCAGTGCAGAGGCAGCTATCATTGTCCACAGAGAAATATCAGTGTTAGTGGAAGATACCAAAGTACATCTGCTCATATACTGAACTTAAGTACAACTTTAAGGTACATGTACTTTACATTAATATTTCCATTATATGTTTTTAATGCACTCCATTTCTTTACTTACGCCACTCTACAGTTATTTGACTAATGAAGTTACTACTTACTTTGCAGTTTGCTATTTTACATATCAAGTAGGGACTTAAGCTAGCAGATGGTGAGTTAAGGTGCCTAACTATTGGGCCCCAAATACTCCCAAATGTATCATACAAACTCTGTTTAGCATTTCAAAGTCTCTCAAGGTGAGTCCCCGAGACTAGTTCCCTAAGCCATCTAGAGAAACAAGGAGCACTGATAGCTTTCCGTTCCTTAAAAATAATCCTCTTTGCTACTTACATGCCAACCATCAGGGACTTCTGAACAGTATGTGGCAGAACAAGAGAAGCTTCAGAATAACCAAACAGAGCAATTAACAGGTCAAGTTCAATCTGAATGTCAAGAGAAGATACCCTGCCAAAAGAGACAGTCTTAGGACAAAACCAGAAAGTATTACCCAGAGTACCTTTTGCAAAGTTACATCTGTCAAAGATAGCAGATACGTTAGGATACATTGTGTTTATCTTTTCTTTTGAATATCTATGTATGAATTTGAACTGAATCAACTGCAGTCCAGCATTAGTTGAGCTTAGATGAACCCTCTTCATCCCCTCATTGCACATCTCCTCAGTCAACTCCACACCAAGATCTGCCTCCCATGCAGATTTGATATGGTTTGATGATACGTTACGATACATTTCAGAGGGAAATTTATTTACTTACGCCACACTACAACTATTTGACTGATGAAGTCAGTGTTTACTTTGCAATTTACAATTTTCCAGCTACAATAAACATTATTGATTTGTTAGTATACAAATAATAATGTAGTGTTGCTAAGTTTATTTATCAGCCTGCAGGAGAAAAAGTTCCTGTACTGCCCCTGCTGGCAGCTCTCCAGTTTGCCTGCACACTTGTTTGTGCATTCATAGTGTGTGGTAGTAACTCTGTAAATCCGTCAGTCTTTTAATACAAATGTAGAAAAATAATTTCTCTAGTTTATTTTGTTTTGTTGGGTGTGACACAGAAGAAATGTTTTTTCTATTTCTGGATAAGCATTATGAGGCAACTGAACTTGTGTAACTTGTTTAATCAAAGCAAAGCAACTCAAATAATGCACAAGGCTGCAATTAGACATGTCTATCACACAAATCATTTGTTTTCACATTTGGGAAAGTTAAACACTACTCGTATCATAAATGAATTAGTTGAAATGAGCTCTGGATCAGTCCAGCTACGATATTCAAATTTAAGCTTACATATAAATTCAGTGATCAGTGATAATATTTCAATAATGTCCAATATATAATAATCAAATACTCTGAAAGGCGATATTCTGCATAATCTTTGATACCTAAGTACATTTTCAATGCAGGACTTTTAATTGTACTGGAATATCTTTGTGTTGCTGTATGGCTACTTTTACAAAGGTTAAAGATTGAACACTTTATAAGCCACTCTGGTCACAGTGCCATGTGACAGTGATCAAGATCATTCTTCCAGTTGGATCCATGCTGCTCAAAAAAATCAAGAGAACACTCAAATCACGCATCAGATCTTAATGAAGGAATTATTCAAGTTGAAAATCTTTACTAATGTACATCATATCATTAATTGGGATCAAAATAACGTAACAATGGTCAATGGAAACCAAAATCATCAACCCACTGAGGGCTGGGTTCAAAATCACACGGAAAATCGAAGTAAAAAATTGAAATCACAGGCTGATCCAATTTTATCACAGCAACTCATAATTTGACTCATTAGTGTGTATGACCCCCATGTGCCTGTATGCACTTCCGACAACGTCTGAGCATGCTCCTGATGAGTTGGTGGATGGTGACTTGGATCAGACCTTGATCATGGCATCAGTGAGCTCCAATGTCGCGTCGGATGCACAGATACAAAACATCCCAGAGGTGCTCAATTGGATTTAGGTCAGAGGAATGAGAAGGTCAGTCAATGGCATCAATGCCATCATCATCCAGGAACTACCTACACATTCTGGCAACATGAGGCTGGGCATTGTCCTGCACCAGGAGGAACCCAGGGCTCACTGAACCAGCATAAGGTCTGACAGTCGCTCTGAGGATTTCATCAGTCAGGGTACCATTGGTTATGATATGTAGGTCTGTGCGACCCTCCAAGGATATGCCTCCCCAGCCCATCACTGACCCACCGCCAAACCGGTCATGCTGGATGATGTTACAGGCAGCATAACATTTACCACAGTGTCTCCAGACTCTTTCACGCCTGTCACATGTGCTCAGTGTGAACTTGCTCTCATCTGTGAAGAGAACGGGGCACCCATGGCGGACCTGCCAATTCTGGTGTTCTCTGCATGGTGCTGGACTGTGAGCACAGGTCCAACTAGAGGATGTCAGGCCCTCATGCCACCCTCATGGAGTCTGTTTCTGACAGTTTGGTCAAAAACATGCACACCAGTAGCCTGCTGGAGGTCATTCTGTAGGGCTCTGGCAGTGCTCCTCCTGTTCCTCCTCACTCAAAGGAGCAGATATCGGTCCTGCTGCTGGGTTGATGTCCTTCTACGGCCCTGTCCAGCTCTCCTTGTGTCACAACTGGTTTCCTGGTATCTCCTCCATGCTCTTGAGACTGTGCTGGGAGACACAGCAAACCTTCTTGCGACTGCGTGCAACCTGATTGGGCTGCAGGTACCACCTCTTGCTACCTGTAGTGACAAGGACACTAGCTGAACACAAAACGAGAGAGGACTCAGTCAGGAAGGATAAGGAGAGAGCAACTGTCAATGTAAAACCATTCCCATTTGGGGGTTGTCTTGCTTTTGCACCTGCTGTCACTTTCATTTGCACCAAAGCAGGTGAAATTGATTCACAATCACTTGTGATTCCTGAATGGACAGATTGATATCCCTGAAGTTTAACTGACTTGGTGTTACACTGTGACAATGTTCCCCTAATTTTTTTGAGCAGTGTAGTTTCCAATCAAATAGAAAGTGTTTTCAATTCACTAAAACTGAAAGCACACTGTCTTTATTGGTGTGTTTAAGTGATTTTAAAAGAAAAAAAATTGTTAGTGTGTTTAAAATGTGTTGGCATTTTTTATGACAGTATGAATTCAGTGTATACTTGTGAGAACATGCACTCAGATATTTCATGATCCGAAACTTTGCTGTTTGGATTTCTTAGTATACAAAAAATAATATAGTGTTGCTAAATCTTCTCTTCCAGTTAAATTTATTTATCAGCCTGCAGGAGAAAAAGATCCTGTACTGCCCCTGCTGGCAGCTTTCCAGTTTGCCTGTGCACTTTTTTGTGCATTTATAGTATGTAGTAGTAACTCTGTAATACAAATGTAGAAAATAACATGTCAACAAGAAGTGTTTTTTTTTATTTTTGGATATGCATTGTGAGGCAACTGAACTTGTGTAACCTGTTTCATCAAAGCAAAGCAACACAATTAATGTATGAACCTGTAATTAGACACACAAATTAATTGTTTTCACATCTGGGAAAATTAAACATTTCTCATAACAGTTGGTTATAAACAGAAAATGTGCCATAAATATATCCACTTAGTTGCTGATATTTTACTACTTGATTCTTTAAAATCATTTCATTTTTGTCTGAGACACAGTCACACTGTAGAAGCTGATGCATGTGCAGCATTTAATTGAATACACAGCTCTGCAGAAACTGCACATGTTGACATTTCAAGTGATGATTTGACTGAGAGAAAACATATCTTTCTGTTTATCTCTAAAGAGAGTAGTGTTGTTGCAGTTCTGTTTCAAAAAGTACAACACTCAGACTAAAAACTTAAAGGTATACACCCTTAATCTTAGTTAGTGATCAGTGTGACAGGATTGTGAAAACCTGAAACCTCCTTTTAATCATCCATCTGCTCGTTCTCAGAAAGCAGAGCCGGTGGGGGAGAGACGACCACGTGGGCGACCAAGGAAATGGGTATGGAGCAATCGTTGACAGTTACATTGTGGCGTCCAAAGCCTCCAAGGTGTCTCCTGGAGCTGCACCATCCTTCATGTGTCATTAATTCTGTTCCCTCTCTGTCCGCAGCCCCAGAAAGTAGTTCAAGAAGTAACTGAGGAGCAGCAGGTGAGGAAGATAACATCTTAGAAGAGCACGTTTGTTTCTTAAGCACTTCAAATAACAGGTTTACTCGACTGAAAAATGAATGTGATTTCATTGGTTAAAGTTATTGATAGAAGTGTCTTATAATTTAACAAACTGAGCAGAAGGTTTGTTGCAGCATCAGCCAATAAAATGTCAGTGTTAGTTATTAGTTATAACATCAAACTGAAGCTGAAGTCACTTCACAGAGTTCGTTACAGTGTAGAAATGCAACCTCTGCTTCAGTTGAACAGAAATCTCAGTTTGTGTCACGTTTTACCTTTTGACTAATATCAGTCACATTTGCGATCAGGGACTTTTAAAAGCAGAGCTGGCCTCATTTAACTGTTCATGAATATCTAATGCATGTGTTAGGTACAGAGCATCAAACCCAAACTACATTTACAAGCCCTCTGAACTTATTTTTTTTTTTTTTTTTAAATTTTTTAAATTTTATATACTTTATTAATCCCCGAGGGGAAATTCAATTTTTCACTCTGTTGTCAATTACACACAGGTCCGAACACACACATGCACAAACTGGACCTATACATGCACTAAGTGTAGAGATGTCAGAGTGGGCTGCCCATGACAGGCGCTCTGAGCGGTTGGGGGGTTCGGTGCCTTGCTCAGGAGGTGAACTGGCACCTCTCCAGCTACCACTCCACGCTCCATATTTTTGGTCCGGACGGGGACTTGAACAGGCGACCCTCCGGTTCCCAACCCAAGTCCCTATGGACTGAGCTACTGCCGCCCCCAAATTATAATGGTGCTGCAGCCAACAAATATGGCCATCACACTACTCCATACCTTTATATATACTCAGCCACCAGTTTATTAGATGTCTAACACTGATGCAGTGTGTGATACTGAGAGGTGTTTCTGACACATTAAATATGAAGGTAGAGACATACAACAAAGGTCCTCGTCTTAGCCACAAAGCTACCAGATGTACCACGTGATCTGGCAACTGAGTTCATACGCTTCAGTATTACATCCATATAAGTTGTCCTGTTGTAGACTCACACAGATTCATACTGGTGGAAACTTTTCCAGCTTGTGCCTCCATAACCACAAATCCAATACAATCTAAGAAAAAGCTTCTCACCAGCTGGAACCAGACTTCACTATGATGTCAGAAAGACGCTGAATTCTTACATCAGACATACGTTAATTTTAGTTGGAATGAAAATCTGGTCGACGTTTTTTTAAATGTCTGACGACGTTAAAATTAAAGTTGTGTGGACGTTAACATTATGACATTTTGCAGAGGTTTTGTTCTCCATACCTGACGACTAAATGTCGTTATTTTACGTCAAGATGACATTAGCATGAGACGGATGGAAGCAATGTCATTTGTTGTCAGTAGTAATGATAATAATAATAATAGTACATTTTATTTAAAGGCGCCTTTCCAAGACACTCAGTGTCACCTTACAGGCAAAAATAGAGAAAATAACAACAGATTAATGAATGAATAAAGTAACATTAAAGGATACATAATAAAAAGAACAGTAACATAACAACAAATAAATAATCAGCCAAACAATTTTACAGTGAATAGAATTAATGTGTGGCTAGACAGACGGGACTCAAACTGAATTGGCTATTTGAAAGAGATGAGTTGAAATTTTGGTCACCTGGCATCACAACCTAACTTCAGCCAAATATCAACATCTAACAGTGTGGGTGGGCAGCTGGGTTTCCTCCGACCTCTGTGTGTCCTCCAGCTTGTGCGGCACATGGTTTACAGTGAATCATTTGCACATGTGGCATATAGACAATAGACATTGTGGGTTTTTTTTGCATGTATATTTTATTATCTTACATTTTTGTCCTTTGTATTTTTGCTCTAGTCCTTATTTTTCACAATAGTCACAATTAGCACAGCCCTAGGAGCACGCCATGATGCATCTCACGTGTTTACTCAAGTATGTGAGAAATTTACCTGCGTATCTAAGTACAGTGTTTTATGAGACTTGTATAAAGCTACTAAAATTGCTGTTGCTTTGACGTTACATTTGACGTAAACAGCAAAACAACCAATGCACATGCTTCTCATGCTTTACGTAAACTGACTTGACGAGGATATGACGAGTTCTTGGAAATGCACAGCTGGCGGTGCTGAATTCCCCAGATACACCACCGAACATCCTTTCGTGACATCCAGTTTTGGTGAAGTTACGCCCTGTGTTTCTGAGAAACTTTGGTTCTTTTAGTCACCTTGTTCATCTTTCAAACGAACAACATTGCACAACAGTCGCTGCCAAGGCGGGCAGTCCTCTTGATGCCCCTCGTCTTGTTTATCGCATCCTCCCCACCGAGCAGTTTGTCAAAGATGCTTCAAGAACTGAAACCGTTGAGACAGACTCCGTTTCTCAGACGCACGCACACGAAGGGGAAGAATGAGTCAATGCAGAGAGGGGAAACCTGATCTAACTGTTCTCTTCCTCTGTCTTCTTGGTTTCCTGACATAACCGTCGTCTTCCTCACATTTCTAGGTCTGACAGCTGGACCTACTTCCCCGCACGTTGTCATGCAATGAAGTTTTAACACTCATTCTCGTATTCTCGCGCTCTTTCTAGTGTTGATTCATTAACCTGCGCACAATGACTCATTAGACTGAAAGTGATCAGACAAAGTGACAGCAGGTTTTTTTTTCTTGGGTCTCCTGTTGTTCCAGGGCTCTTCAGAAGAGGCTGAGGAGGGTCCCTCGCAGCTCGAGCCCTCGACATCTCAGGTTCCAGCGCAGGAGGAAGGGGAGTAGATAAGATGCCTCTCTACCTACCTCAAGGTTTGGCCTCAAACAACCAGGGGGACTGTCTCACTCCTATCTGTGATGGGGATTCAGGAACACACACACACAAACACACACACACACACACACTCACAAAAAAAAAAAAATATTGCAGACAGTGGTTTCTTCTCCCGATCTGATACTGTATCTTGGTTTTATTGGTTCGCTGTAAGAGTTCAGTGATCAGACTCTGTTTTAACATGAAAGAATTTGATCTTTGGATGTGACTTTTTTAAAAGGGAATAGTTTGACATTTTGGGAAATAGACTTACACACTTAACAGCCAAGCGCTAGATGAGAAAATTGATACCACTCTCAAATCTGTACGGTAAATATTAAACTACTGTTAGCAACCGGCTAGCTTAGCTTAGCACAAAGACTGGAAACAGCTAGCCAAGGGTAACAAAATCCACCTTTAAAGCTCACTTATTAATATCTTATATCGTATTTGTTTGATCTGTATACAAACCAAAGTGTGAAAACAACAGTATTTCTAGAGGTATTGTGCCTTTTGAGTTTTAAAAGTGCTGGTAGGTGGGTTTGCAGTCTTATGCTAAGCTAAGCTAAGCATCCCTCTTTGTATCAGTCTTCTCATGTAACCCTGCAAGAATGCCAAGAATTGTTTTTCCCAAAGTGTCCAACTATTGATTAAAGGTTTCCTGCTTTCCTGAACCTCACTACATCCCCACTAATACATTTTCATTTTAAAATGCATGAGTATTGTTACTTTTACGCCTAGCGTCCACACTACTCCAGCCTTTTGGAACCTTTAAAACGGAGACCTTTGAAAATGCAGCTGATTCCATTTTAGTTTAAAACCCCGGGGTTGCATTTTCATCTGGATGGTTGTAAAGGGATACTTTGAAAATAATGACGCAGACACCCACGCTCACTTCCCACTTGGGTCTTCTCACTCAAGATGTGTCAAGCCAAAAAATTATAGGTGGGTTTACATACCTTTCCCATCGCCATGGCTTCCTCCAGCGATGGATAATGCTGCCACCACCTTGACTGCCTTATACTCATGTGTTATTTTGAGTAGCAGTTCCACCTCGTCATCAGTCCAGGCAAAGAAATCTCTTGTCTTAATTTTTGCCATCTCTGCACTATTTTCTGTAGCTAAGCAACCAACTGCAAAGTAGACAATCTGCTTCCTGTTTATGTCGACATGTGTATGCCCAGTGTACGTGAATGTTCATGTGATATGCGTTTTTTAGGCATGTTGTGCTGAAAACACACCAAGCAGCCGTGAAGTGCGGCCAGAGAATACCTGTAGCCAATCAGTAAACAGAGTCCTCTGACTCCTGTGCCTGAAGCACATGAACATGCCTCCTGGCCGCAGAGAAATGGATTTATTGCTGCTGCTTGATGTGTTTTCAGTGTTAGTTAGGAGGGTGATTATTTCTTAAACGGTGCTAAAACAGTTGTTGCTTATGAGATTGTTTTTTAAAACACCATTTTAAAATGAAAACGTATTGATGTGGATGTAGCCTCAGTGTGTGTGTGTGGTGTGTGTCGAGAGGGGACGGGCTTGCGGGTTAAAGTGGGAGGGGGGTTAAAGAAAAAAAGGAACCAACCTGAACCGTTTTATTGAAACATGTTTCTAAATCAAGTGTCATGAATCCTCATATGAAATGGGAGCAAGATGGTGACATTGATAGCGACATTACAATATAGACATGGTGCGTTGAAGTCATTACTTTGAAAGTAGACGTGAAAGGTTTTATTCCAAAATGAAATATCCAGCTCTACCTACAGAAACATCTCTAAAAGTAAAAGAAAATGCAGAGAATTACATTAGCAATTGCCAATGTAAGCTAGAGTTCATTATTCAGATTAATAACTCTAGTGTTTTTTTCCTTTCAACCAGCGGTGAGAAAAAACATCCAAAGGTTTAAATGGATATCTGATATTTGGAAAGAAACCCTTCACATTTACTTTGGTCAACAGCAGTGTTGACGTGTCATTTTACCACACTCAGGATTTTGCTATTAACAGTGCTTTTACACCATATTGAAACCTCAGGTACAAAACTATTCAGGAACATGTCGTCAGTCTACTCAGTAATAATTATTGTGCTGTGTTTGTTGTGCATTTCTGATCTGTATTTGACATTACCAGTATGCCTTGACACAAAGACCTCATTTAAACCTCAGTTGCCCTCAGTTTCTTAATCTCTCATTCTACCTCAGTAACACAAACGATCTCCATCAAAGTAACGCTCCACTCTCTCAGCAGCAGCATACGCACACACAGATTCATGTGCAGATGTACAGCACAGACAGGCAAAGGGTTTTCGGGCCTTCATACCAACACAGAAGCAGAGGATTTTACTATGAGTGTACAAATAAAACCATCAGTGTCATTTCTTTTTTTTTTAAAAAAAAAAAAAAAAACAACTGTATTTGTTAAACTCTGAAGTGAGACTTGGTTTGTTGTCCTGGGAAATAAAATGCAACCAATAGTTTACAACAAAACTTGATAAAGTACTTGCTTATTAGGGTGTAGTTCCTTTTGAAATACTTTTTTTGGGGGGGTCTGTTACTCCTTTCTCATTTTTACTACATCATTTAATTTCTGATTCTTACACTGTAAATTGTTTGTGTGACAATACGTATGATTTAAAAGCAAAGGGCAGCAAATCACCACACAGTGCTGAAATACATGGCAGTTATGGGAAACAGAGACAGCACCATGGTTACCTTGCATTGACATTGCATTGAAATTGCTAAATAAATAGTCTTTGTTTTACTAGTTTAAGACAGAAAAAAGACAGAAGTTGTTTCTTCCTTTGTTTGTTTTACTTTTAGTGAGCACTGTGGCCACACTGTGACAGTAATGGGTGAATGGTAAATGCAAAAATATAATGTAATAGAAGCATGAATAGAAATGAGTAATACAGTGGACAAACTTACTCAGTAACATAATTAGTAACATCTACCCAGTGAAACTGTTGCAAGAAAACCCCTGATTGTGTTGATGGTATTGCTTATTACACCATGGTTTGAGTGAAAACTCAATTCTGACTGGCTGCAGAGTGTCCATTAAAGGTACAGTATGTAAGATTTAGGGGGATTTAGTGGCATCTAGTGGTGAGGATTGCAGATTGCAGCCAGCTGAAGCTTCTCCAAATTAGGATTTCTTCAGTGTTCATTGTTCAGGAAGTTTTTATCGGGAGTCGAAATATCTGCAGAGGTGTCTTCCTCTACAAAACAAACAGACCAGGTGATTAAAACTAGTAAAAACAATGAATAAAGCAGTTTCATGTTAAAAATCTGTGTTTCTCCTACGCTGTTCGGCTCATTGCAGACAATTCAAAGTGTGCTCACCTTTTTTCTGATCCAGACGTTCAGGAGGTTTTTACCAGAATCTGCATTATCTGCTCAGGTCTCCTCTCCAAAAAAAAGGGACCTGCTGATTTATTTCGGTAAAATCTATAAATGTAGCAGTTTTACGTTAAAAAAAAAAAAATCTGTGTTTTTCCAACACTGCCCATCGTGGAGGGGCTGCTAACTATCGTGGCTGAGGCAAAAACAGGAATGGCCTTATGCCAGTGTTTGGTTTGTCTTTTCAGGGCTACTGTAGAAACATGGTGATCTCTGTGGACATTGGACAAGTACCCAGTCCCTATGTAGATATAAACACTCATTCTAATTGAACAAAAACACAGTTCTGATTTTCAGGTGATTATACTCTAAAGAAAACATACTAATTGTTTTAGGTTTATTTTCTGCCAATATGTCACCCCAAATCCTACACAGCGGACCTTTAATTCCTGACAGTGGACACCAACTAAGTGTTTCCAGTGATGTCTGCTCACCCGTTCTAAATTAATGTACTGGCTATATGTTATCAGCCTGTCTACGATGAGTAACTATAGCAACAGGGACACCGTCAGAGCCTCTGTTTACAATTTATTGCAACACATTAACAAGCTAACATCTAATTACAACAGTGACACGGCTGGATAGGTAGCTAGTTTTGTTGTCAAACATATTGTCAAATTATATTTACTGTTTGTCAGCCGTACAGAATGTTACTGACTTTGAATCTTGCTGGTGTAATGTTACCTTTCTGGCTCATAGCTGAGCTAAAGGGTTCTACGAGCTGAGATAAAATATCTCCCTTATTTGAGGTTTGTCCTATTTACTGGAGTAGTGAATGTTTCCGTTGCATACGAACCTTATGAAATGGTAATAATTGTTCTAGATATTAGTAAAACCCTCAGGTGTTACAGTAAAATTGAGTTATGGCTTGTAAAAAACTGATTGCAAAATTCTTGAAAATATAAATTAATGCCCTTCGAGGTGTCCATAATCATCAATAAATTTACTCGTAGGAAGCAATTGTCCGATGTCATCCATTAATTCCTGATAATGGACACCTCATCTGGGATTATACCTTACCTAATTCAGTGCTTTTCATCTGTGATTATTCTTTTAAAAGTTACATCGTCGTGCTTTAAAGGGTCAGTTCACCCAAATTACCAAAAAGGAAAAAAAAAAACAACCTACCAAACAAAAGACTCTCTCTTACCTCTTGTGGTGTCCAGCAGTGCAGATGGGTTTGGTTTTAAGATATCTGTTTCTGAGACACTCGAATAACATGGAAATTATTGGATTTTTTTGTTGTCACACTATTGTGCTCATGGTGTTGAATAGATGAACAAAATGATCTACATGATTCAGATACCAGAGGATTAGTAGAAGAAAAAAAAAACACGCCAAAAGTTTAACTCATAGAAAATAGTACATTTGATCTGTAATGAATCAGTAAAAGCTTTGGTACTTTGGAAGGATTTTTTTGTATAGATTACCAAATTCTTTTGTTTTATAAATCAAAAGTAAAGAGGTTTTCAGCCTGTTTTTCTAAAAATGTTTTGAGACCTTGTCAGTCAGTATTTCAATCACCAGGATAAATGTTGCAATTGTACTTTTCTGCAAGCCACGGATATGAAACATTTGTAAGTTGTTATGTCATGGATATGTTGAAACTGTTTATGTTTCAACAGTGCTGTGGTTACCTAGTGATTATGTTTCGGCACAAAAACAATTGGTTGGGAAAAGATCACGTTTGGCGGAAAATACCTTTTGGTGGCTCAAAATTTTGGTAGGAAATGCAGCCAATTTCTCCATAAAAAACACCCGGATTTGTTGTGTCTTAAACAATTGTCTGCAGCTTGGCAGCCGTGTCGCCTAGGTGTTACGCCACCCCCTCCACCTTCTGATGACTAAGTCGGCTCATATCTGTGTAATCAGAACTGCATTACCTTAGTGTGAAACGCACAAGTGAAACGTGTCCGTGGTTTGCAGAATTGCACAATGCCAACATTTCCTACTGGCAACTTTGGTGGGATTTCTGCGCCTAAACTGACAGTCAATCTATTGCAACTACTTCAACTTCCTCAGTCCCTGTGTCATCCTGTATGGCAGACAATTATCCAACAGTAACTGCATATCACATACTAGTTACATGACTTTAAGATCACCCATCAGTTACTGTTTATTTAGAAAACTTGCTTAGTTTCATCACCAATCTTTTGTATCCCAATTATTTCCTGTATTTCAGCATTGTTGACTGAATTGCTGCCAGAGCAACTTAATTCATTTACAGGTATGTTTCCTTGTTCAGCTGCATTGACTTTACTTATTTTGCCCTCTGGACTACCTCTGAAAACTAAGAAGCCTGGGATGTCTGTGAGGAAATGTTTGGTTAAGTTGTATCTGACTGTTTCCATCAGACCTGCAGGCGATGTGTATCATGAAAATCTTGAAATAAGTGTCAAACTAGTACTGTTGTAGTCCATTCATCTCATCTCACTACATTCATGTCGCCATAATGAATGGAAGTCAGCCTGAAGGGTGCCTCATAAGGCCCTGACACACCAAGCCGACGGTTGGCTGTCGGTTAGCGCCTGTTGCCCTGGTCCTTGCCGTGTTTCAGGCTTTTTTCAGCTGATTCAGTATGGTAAATCGACATCAGAGACAGTGGGGCCCATCGGTGAACAAAATCACTCTGATTGGCAGTTCAGGTCAGCACACGAGAAGAGAAATGGAAGTGAGGAAAGTAAACAAATAGCTAAACTCGTGAGGGAGTTAGCTCAAAATAAACCTGTTATATAAGGTAAGATCATTTTATATGCCATTGAGCTCTTTAGCAAAAGTTTCATGATGGATTGTGTTACTGTTTACTTGCACATGGTAAATATGCTCTGTTCTTTCAACATTGGATTGTATTGTTGAGGTGCTAACTGGCTAACTAGAGTCATGACGGTCTTCCAAATTCCCTTTTTGAATCATTAATACAGACTACTTCCCTCTGCTAGAATGGAGTTATTTCCTCTCACACAGGCACAGAACTTACATGCTGGTTGGCTAACAGCTGTAGTCTTTGCAGTGTGTTCATGTGCAGCTTTTTGGCCAAGACACAGGGGACGTGAGGCAACGCAACAGTCGGCTTCCATCGCCGCCCTCTGTTTAATGTTGGTTTGGTGTGTCTGGGCCTTTAATTTAACTACAGCTGGGTCAATATTTGTTTTCTGGATATTTACTCTCTCTATGGGGACAACGTTGTTCTGTGATCTTACTAGTAGTGATAGAGTTACATACAGTACTTGATCCATTTTCAACTATTGAAAAGTTGAAGTGTAACTTGAGAAATCATCTTGTATGCCTTGTTTGTTTTTAACACCATTTTGTAGTTATGTTATTGATGTGCCCTCATCCACTTCATTAATACAACTCACAAACCTGTGATATATATTTTGTTACGATTCTTTACCATGTGATTTGTGTTATTCTGCTTCTTTATCGCTTACCAATAAAATATCACACCTGTCCACTCTCTTTGTGATGGATCTGAACAACTCCTTTTTTTTCAAATTGGTTTAAATAGTTTTAATGTATACAGATGGAAACAATCCTTCATTGCTCAGTGAAGAAGAAACAAAATGGAGAGGAACAGTTCACTTAAGGATGGTAACACATCCAGAGTTCAAGCTTGTCAGAGACAAAAGACCACAAAATCAGTATAATAACACAAATGTACACTTCTCTCTCATCAAACATGGACAAAGATACTGAAGCTCAGATGAACTTCACTGACAAGCTACCAAACATTTTAACAGCAATGACACAACATGATTCAAGAAAAGTGCATCACACTGCATTTGTGCGCCAAATGGTAACAGTGCAAGATCATACGTGATGCCTCCCATTATGCTCCCTTATCATACATGCACCCTACGTTTTTGTTTTTTTTGCCAGACTCTGTGTCGTAGAGATTAAAACGTTCACCAAAGCTCCAGTTGTTCCCAAAAACAGTCCAGTTTTCCCTTTGTGTTCCTTCCTGAGAGACAGTGGGCTTTTCTCATTTCACGGTTTTCATGTCCTCGATTCCTTTCCTCACCTCCTCTCCTCGTGTCTTAGTCCCACCTGAGATACGAGCAGAGGAGGCTAAGGAAGAGATGGAGGAGAGAGCAGTTGAGGCAACATGCATTTAACAAAATGAGACATACATGCTACGGAGCCCTCATTTTAAAGTGATGTCAATTATGGCCACACATATACAGATATTTTTGGAATCTGATATTTTCTCCTAAGTCTTTTACCAACACCTTCAACGGTGCAGATTTAAAAAAAAAAAAACAAAGCAAAAAAAAAGGTCATTTTGTATTTGCGTTGACATTTCAAATGCTTTGGGGAAATGATTTTTTACGTTTTGTTGGCACTGTTTGCTCTAATGACTCACTCTACCTAAAACTTCCTGAACCATCTCCCATCTGCTGCGGCCAGTGTCATTTGCTCCACCTCACTGTCCGCCATTTAAAGGCCACCAGAATCAATGGCTTGGGTCAAGTCCAGTTAAACGAGAAGATAGTGGTACAATTTCGAGAGTGGGATTGTAGTCGATGAGTGGAAGGAAAACTTTAGCACGTCCAGAGCATCACTCTTTTTCTTGAGTGAGCTCCATCTTCCTTATATTGAAGGGGAATCAACATTGATGAGACCTCTGTTGGGTGTTTTCGAAAGGGAAGCCTATACATCTTATTAGCTTTGTCACAAAGGGAGATTTTCATGAAGGGGGGGGAATATCAGTTTTCAAAAATATTTGTATTCATGTAGACAGGGCCTAAATATGATGGATGGCACAGCCGCATCATCGGCTGTTTGTCATGCCGGTCCTGCCTCTTTTAGATGTCAGGGGTGCTGAAAAGACTTTTGCGCAGGATGCACCTGTGCATCCTCGCTCATAGCTCCTCAGGGAAGCCTCCTCTCTCCTCAGGATGCATCTTAGGAATTGAGACATTCTTCAAGAAGATCAATTGCTGAGTTATAGGCTGGAGGATGGAGGAGTCAGGACACTAGGAGGCACGAAACAGACAAATGAGAAAAGCCCAGTCTGTATCTCGATGAGGCCAGCAGCCCCCAAAAACTGCAGTCAACTAATGGAAGAGATCTGTTAAGCGTTGAGAGCTTTGGCTACATCTGTGAAGACCAGACGACTGGGCCTCTGCGTGGTCCCCTGGGAGGTTGTGAGAGTCTGCGGAGGAGATGGGCAGCAGGACAGATGGGAGATAAAACTGTTAGTGACATTAAGATCACATCGGGACACCAGCGTTGAATAGTTAGAAAAAGTGATGACAGCAGTTGACCCAGTGCAACGTTCTGTTTTGTTCGTTTCAGGAAAAATCCATACAGGTACACCAACTTTAAGGTCCAGTGTGTAGGATTTAGTAGGATCTAGTGGTGAGGTTGCAAAGCTGAAACTTCTGAGTGCCAAAGAAGATATGTAGGAGAACTATGGTGGCCGACGCAAAAACATGAATGGCCTTTTCTATAGCCAACCCCATCTCACTCCCAGTTTGTCAAATACAATGCTTAATCAGTGGCCATCGGCGTCAGACCCCAAGGCACCAAGGCACCTTTTAGCAGCAGTATAAAATCCAATGGTTGGCGCCGTTTTTTGTTTTACATTCCGGGCAACTACCGTAGTCTAAAGAGCAAGAAAGTCTGCATAAGGTGGGCAGGAGGGGAGGTGGACTTTCACTCAGGAGCCGGCTGTTTGTGTCCTGTGTGAAACCAAAAGTCAGTCAAGTTATATTAATAACAATGTAGTTAGCTAGCATGTGCAACATGATAGGCTAGTGACATATGTCACGTATGTGTTATGTATGTGACGTATGTGATGTGACATGTGACCTACATCATGTGACATACTGTATATCACGTGACATTGAATTATGTAAGAATAATATTACATGAGTTGGGAGTGAGAATGTGTTGCTAGAGTCAATGTTTGTCTGTTGTGGGCTACTGTAGCAACAACATGGCAGACCTTGTGGAAGAGGACCTGCTCTGTGTGTAGATGTAAATGGTTCATTCTAAGGTAATGAAAAAACAAGGGTTTTTATTTTCAGGTGATTATAAACTAATGGCAATATAGTCATGAATATTCTGTGTCATCTCTGCCAATAAATGCTCCTAAATCCTTCACACTGGACCTTTAATACTTAAAGATTTAGAGTGTGACTGATTACTGAAACCAGAGAAGATTTGTCAGGATCAGAGGCCACATGTAAAACTACAGAGTATGCAAACTGTTTGGAAGAGTGTGTACTTAATTCACTAATATTTTAGAAATGTCAACCTGCATCCTAAAAAATAGTTGATAATTAATTGCAGTGCTGATGGACACACACTGTTCTGCAATGCAATGCTCCTAAGAAATGTGTTTGATATAAATAATCTAAAGGTTCTCTTTCTGGCTATTTTAAGGCTTTCAACTGCAGCTCATGTACTTCATCAATGAATGGAGTTTGCTCAGTTATTATGGGATCCAATTGCCCCATGTAAGATGCAATTTAAAGCTATGGAAAAGCTAGTGAGTGGGCTGTGGGCTTAGGCTCATGGTATGAAACTATTTCTACTGAAGAAAAAAAATAATGATAATAAAAATAATAATAATAATAATATAAACAATAAATAAAACTACACTTATTTATCATTTTTCTTAATCAGTAGTTCTCCAAACATCACTCTGACTGTACTCTACCACTGGAAGTCTTCACTGTGTGATGGTGTGTGCATACTTTTTGTGTGCATGTGGCCCCGGGAATATTTGATGATTAAAGTATTAAGTTGAGGGAGCACAAAGGAAAGGATGAAAGATATTATGGATGATGGTTTTAAGTTCAAACTGAGTGTGTTGGTATGTGTCCTCTGTTAGTATATACTGTAATATAGATTAGTAAATATGAAATGACGAATACTACACAACATCTAACCAACTAGTTTTTGTTTGAGATACTGAAATAATGATAGAATGAGGATTGTGGGGAAAAAAGAGGTTTAGAGAGACAACACTCAGGTGATACTTTACCATGTTTGCCTTTTACCATTATGCCATTGTCAAAACTTAAAAGAAATTAAAGAAAATAAAGATAAATTATGACCAAAAACAAACAAAAAATGGTCAGTTACAGATTTACAGATATGAATGGAACAAAAAACCCTGATGATCAGTTAAAGCACAGATGTCCTGTGATACTTTACTCCACTTTATCAAAATAACAACATCTTCAAAATATATAGATAGACCTAATTAAGGCTACAGCTAACACAAGCCACACGAGCTGCTTCAATGCACCACACTGGGGCATTTTGCTTGTGTTTGATTATTGGCGATGGGAAACATTGGCCCTGTTTACACCTCATATTAATGTGCGTTCAGGGTGATCGGACCACAAGTGAACAGCTCTAAGCACACCAAATTTGTCCCCATAGCATTTTGAAATCTGATCGCTCCGACCACACTCACAGCGGGCAAAGCAAATCAATATGCAGCGAGCAGCCCTACAATTAAATAACTTTAAAAATAGTAAAGGCTGTATGTGTGTGTATAGCACGATAAATCTCCTACTAGTAAAAACAACAAAGATGCGTTTGGTCTTTGCAAATAGAAATGACTGACTTGTTTATTTCAGGGTGTCTACAGGTATCAGACAGTTAAATTTAATGCTTTTGAAGACCTGTTCAAGACAACTTTTTACCATATTTCAGACAGAGTTTTACTGATTTAAGCATCACAGGTAAATATTGCAGGCAAGTAGTATATATGTGGTCTTGTGCAAAGGTAAGTGTTATGTAGAAATATGGTTATTAGAGTGAGTTAAATCAATCTACAATTTGCCAACAGCTAAGTGCAAGTGTGAAGTAAAATGACAGTATTATAGTTTTTTTAAGGATTTGTAACATTAGAAATCTGGATTTTTACATAGAAAGGCTTTACTCATTTTCACAAAAAGAAATTAAAAGAGGAATAAACAAAATTAGATCAAATGTTTATAATAGTTAAGACCTCACAAATTCAAAATTAACACTATTTAATGACTTTTAAGGCCTTATTGTTAACACTGAATTTAAGACTTTTTAAGGACATGAAGACACCCTAAGATGCATGTGGACACGCATTCTAATGCCAGAACAGACTGACTTAGAACTGTCCACTAGTGATCAGTTCACCTGAGACACGTTAACCTCAGGTGTAAACAGGCTCACTGTCTGAGCCACTGCTCAAAGCTTTCTATTAATGTCTGTCTAGGAATATAAAAGATGGTGGTCATGGCTTTTGTGTTCATCTAACCGTGCACCACTTGTGGTCTGAATGGGAGCACTCTCGTTCTATAAAAGAAAGTTGCCAGAGACACACAGTGGGTTCCTGTGAGGCCCTTACCTTGGCATTGGGACCTGTGAGGCTGCCTTCCCGGCCGTGATCCAGTAGTTCCTGTTCCAGCAGGTCATCTTGTTCTTCAGCCGGGTCAAAGTTGTACATGGGCATAAGCTGGTGCCTCAGCTTCTCCAACCTGTGTGACAAGAGTTAAGAGATGAAACCTGTCTGCATTTAAGGAAGAGGAAATTATGCTTTGTTGCAACAGTAGCAGCAAACAACTATTTGCTATGTAAAGATAAAGTGGAGTAATGGCGTCCTGACTAGAGAACAGTCATTGTGTGTGTTTTAAAGGTATATGTCCACAAGATCCATCATTTCCACTCTTCTGTTCATTGTCTATGTAAGCAGCGGTGCAATGCATTCTGGTAGCGCCATACTGCATTAAAGAGACGAGGCATGAAGTTGAGGTCTTATGCAAATCATGTCCAGAGGGACTTGCCACCTCTGGAAACTACCAGAAAACTTTGAAACTAACTGCTGCCGATCTAAAATGTAGAAGATTCAGTAACTGCATGGCTTATTTTTCACCTCAAATGTTGTCAAGCACATTTCGGTGATTATTTTCATATTATAAAAGAAACTTTCCAAACAAGCCGCCACGTTGCCGCCACAAGCCGCCAAACTGGTCCAGTTTAATATCTGGAAGCAGACAGCCCATGAGTAAAAGCTAAAATGCCAAAAATGCCCCTGTGACCTTATTACATAATTCACATTTTTTCTCTATTGATGTGGTCGAGGGTCCGGCTGACGTGCATGCTAATGCATGTGAGTCTCTATTTGAGTATCCCACTGGCTAGCAAATGGCGATTGCTCTGCACTGTGCTCATACGGCAGTCACTGCTGGTAGCACCATCTTATAATAATAATAATAATAATAATAATAACTTTATTTATATAGCACCTTTAAAAACAAGAGTTTACAAAGTGCTTTGACAAACAAAGCAAACGCAGGAATATCTATAGCAAGAGAGTCAAAACAGTGTGGGCAAGCAAAAGCAGGACAAAATTAAGCTCAAATTGAAGTAAACTAAGCAAAACACAGACAGAATGAAAAGAGAATGTTAAAAGAGATAAGAACAATAAAGGCAATAAAACTATTATTTGTAAATACTAGAAACAAACGAATAGAAGGATAAAAAGACAACAATGCATAATGACAATAGCATAACAAAGAATAAACAATTAAAAGGAATAGAATAAAATAAATAAAAAGAGTAAACAAAAAGAATAAATAAAAAGATAAAAAGACGACATCACATGAAGGCAAGTCTATAAAAATGGGTTTTAAGAAGAGATTTAAAAGATGTTACCGATTCTGCAAGCTTTATCTCCTCAGGCAGGCCGTTCCAAAGTCGAGGGGCCCTGGTGGAAAAAGCGCGGTCGCCTCTAGTTTTAAGTCTCGACTTTGGAACGGCCAGGAGGGCCCCGCCTGAGGATCTTAGGCTGCGTACTGGCTCATATGGGGTCAACATTTCTGATATGTAACTTGGGGCCAGACCCAGACGGGCTTTAAAAGTGATCAGTAAAATCTTAAAATCAATTCTAAAACGCACAGGGAGCCAATGGAGGGAAGCCAGGATTGGGGTGATGTGATGTCGTCTGTTAAAACCAGTAAGAAGCCTAGCTGCTGCGTTCTGAACCAGTTGGAGGCGGGAGAGTGATTTATGGTTTATGCCAGAGAGGAGTGAGTTACAGTAATCGAGTCTGGAGAAGATGAATGCGTGGATTATTTTTTCTAAGTCAGAATGTGGGCATCTTGGCACCTTCGTCGGAAGCATTGCACCCACTCCCCAGCTCCCCCTGGTTAACTAGCTCTTTCAGCACTGTTGGCGTTGTTTAGACCTGTTCATGGTGTTAGCACCATTAGCTGCTAGCTGCAAGCTCAGCCACCTCCTTGTTGAGAACAGACAACCTGAATCAGATCGTATACAGCTCCAATTTCACCTTTAGAGGGTTAAAAATGGGTGACCTGTCCTCTACACAATGTGTACGTACCCTGTTGTCTCAAGTTCCCACTAACTCCAGTGCAAACAACACTCCTATGATGGAGCACTTATTTTGTGTTAGTTTGTGTAGAAATATATATAATGTGGACACACTATCAACTAAAATAATAAAGATTTTAAACTACGTTTTGACACAGGGCCCCTCTACAAGACAGCCAGAAACCAGATCTGCGGGAAAAATCTTCAACTTACCGCTTCCGTTTCCGAATATACAGCATCTAGAATATAGAAAGACAGACATATTGAGAAAGATACACAAGCAGTTTAACTGGTGGAGGTAATCTGTCCAAACTAAATGGAGTGTCTGTTACGTCCAAGGTCTGTTAGAACAAATATACAAATTAAACATGAATCTAATAGGTCAAGACATTACAATTCATTCAGAGGGAATTCACTTCTAGTGAATCAAGTGCTAATTTAGAGACAATATTTAAATGATATCTTACAATGGCCACTGCCAAGCCAATGACAGTGATGATGCCAAAGGGCACGAGCACCATTCCCATCCCCGAGCCCTCGATCACCGCCTCCGGAAACGTTGTGGCATTGAAGCTGGTCTCGTTTGTTGTTATAGTAACAGTCATTAATGTCGTCCGGGAGGTGACATTGTCTCTGACACTCTTGCTCGTGGAGAGGAAGGGGATTGCGGTGGCTGTGGCAGTTGTGGAGAGAAAACTTGTAGTTGTCTGAGCTGCAGTTACAGCCATGGTCAGGTGTTGCAGTTTCAACTGAAGGATGTATTTTCGGTCTGTGCGTGGATGCTGCCGCGTCGCTCTCAGCCTCTAGTGCGTGCCATGGTCGACACAGGTGTCTTCCTTCTGGTGTGAGGTCTGCGGGGGCATTGGTGATGCTTCGGCCATGTGATCAGGGAAATAAAACCTAAAACTGAAAGGCAGAACAGCATGTGATTAATAAAGGGGGTTTTATTTTTAGCCTAAGAAATGCTTTGTAGGTCGTATGAATTTAACTCCAGCCAAAATGCTAAAATATATCACTAAAATTGCTTCTCTGCACTCAATGTTTACCTAAATCTTTGTATTAACATTTCCGTTTTGGTAGGCTTCACCCTTGTTTTCAGTCAAGCCGCAGCTGATTGTGCCAGTGGGGTTGTGGTAGGTGTTTTTGGGCAGGATGTGGGTAGCAAAGGCATAGGAGGAAAGTGGCATAACAAACTTGATAAAATACCGAGGAATACTAACCACTCAAACTGTAACGTGCAGGGTGAGGAAATGTGCTGGCAGCGTGTTCAAAACGTCAAAGTCAAACTAAACACCCACACACGCCACCACACACACAGCTTCCACAAATATCCACTGCATCCAAAACCCGGTGCATGTACCTCCCACCCACACACACTCACACTCAGTGTACACATCCCATGAGAGAGATAAAAGCAATTTACATATGTGAGGAGTTTTCAAACATCTCCTCTTGAAGCAGTGTTACATGGTGACACAGGAGGGCAAAGCAGACACATGATCCATTCCTCCCTCCTGAGTGCATCCTGTCTGCTTGTGCCCTTAATGAGGAACATGTGCAGCTGAAGCAACAACCAATGAAACGCCAAGGCTGGATTCAGTCATTGCTGTTGTCCCTGCACTGCAACAGGACAGACATCTTTGTTTGAATCATGTTATGGCCTTATTAACGTGTTACTGACATGTTATTTTTAGTCAGGATGCTGCCCTGCACCAACAGCTGATCTACTAATCCGGCCAACGTGACCAGGTCCTCCTCCATGTGTCCTCGCAGATTAGAGAGACATGCATACGTACCTTAACATACAACATGCATGACTTGAGAGGTGATCTGCAGCAGGCCGGGGTTAGCTAGAGAGGGGAAAATTTCATTGGAAGAGGCAGCATTTCCTCCAGCGGCTGCCCCTCCTCCTCCTCCTTCTCCTCCTTCTCCTCCTCCTCTTCTGCTGCTTCCCCCTTTAGCAATGCAGGTATTGCACAGGCTGTTTACATTGACTAAACAGCCATGTTCTGCAAAGATGGACTCCACACACCAGTGTAACCCTATCCCGGCAGCCTCCACGAGATCCCCTTCCCGTTCTCCGGTTGCCTCCACGGATCTGCTCCCCCCGTCTTGCCCTTTCTTGTGTTTCACACAACAGAGGCTGCTCCGGGGATGCTGCAAACAGAGAGGAGTGCGGCGAGCTCCCTCCCCGCCGCCCTGCAATTGGTCTAATGGCTTCAAGATGATAGATGCGGTTGGCTCCCTCTGCTGTCCATTTGGCTTTGCAGGGATGAGAATGGGATTTAATGGCTCTGCTGCACACCAGATGCTGTCAGACCCATGTGAATGACTGCATCCGGGTGGCAGCTCTGAGGAAGTTAACCCTATCATGTCTTTTCTGCAACTTGAGGAAAACAGAAAAAGAAGCCCACAAATAAAGCATGGATTTCTTTTATTTCACTGTGAGGGATTTGTACAGTTATTCACAAATCACACAGATATATTTGCACACATTTCCATTTGTACAACTAGACAGTACTTGTCTTGTTTTATTATTGTGTAACACATGTTCACAACAGTTGCAGAATATCCACATGTCCTTCAGCTCATTTTGAAAGAGTCCCCAGTCATCATGGCCACAAATTCTGGAAGAGTTAAAATCAGCAGTTAATATTTTTGTCATTACATATTACCCCCTCATTTGTTATCCCAATCAGTTCAGTCTAAGGACACATTTTTAAATTTGGATATTTTTTAAATTAAAAAAAGTAAATAAATGCAATCCTTGTCGCAGGAAACAACAACATGGTAAGAATCATAACTTTTTTGTAATTTAATATCGTCATAGACAAAAGTAGCTGACAGGTTAAAGAGTTCTGGAGTGAAAATCTGAAAATAAGAATGAAACTTTTCACATGAATTTTCACAGTTTTAAAGGTCCAGTGTGCAGGATTTAGGGGGATATATTGGCAGAAATATAAAACAAAATAATGTTTTCTTTAGTGAAAAATCACCTGAAAATCATGTTTTACCATCGAATGAGTCGTTTATATCTACTCCCTTGGAGTCTGCCATGTTGTTCTACAGTAGTCCAGAACAGACAAACAAAACACTGGCTCCAGAGAGGGCGATTTGCATTTTTGCATTTTCGTGGTGGCCACTGTAGCTCTCCTACACGCTTGGCACACTGCAGAGGTTTCAGTTAGTTGAAATCTGTAACCTCAGCTGCCACTAAATCCCACACGCTAGACCAGGGCTATTCAATTACAAATTCAACTGGGCCGGATTTTAAAACCAGAAAATGTCGATGGGCCACATGTTCAGCATGTGTATATATATTTATATAAATATTTATACACATGGCCCTCCTCAACATAATGCAGAAACAGAATAAAAAAGAGCTATCAGTGCACAGAAGCAAACTCTTATTTAAAGACATATCATACTATGACTTTTTTCAACATACTGTACTAAAACATTTTATTAGTATTTTTTTTTTTTTTTTTACATACAATACTCAGGTTAACAATCAAACCTACATTGTGAAAGTCCCATGCATTGACCATCCACCATGTCTGCAGTTCTCCAGGGACTCCCCATTTATACCATGTCACCTGACTTTGGTCTGAATCTGCACTTTTTGTCTTGTAAAATGACAACACTGAGGTGTTTTCAACACACTATACTGAGTTATTTAGGTTTTTTTGACTTATACTATGAATATTTTTAAGTTAGTTACACATGGATGTCCTTTGTTTATTTTTTTTAATGCTTTCTCTAAGGACACAAGACAAAATCTTCAAGGAGGCACATTTGTGTGTCGCCAGTTCGTTAGCTCAGGGAGATAGAGGACCGATTTGAAGGTCAGAGGATTGGGGTTCAATTCCCAGGTGAACAGTCAGTCTGTATTGCAAGCTGATGTCTGATGGAGAAAGTTAAAATGTCTAAGAAACACAGACAAAGTGTCTCTGGCCTGGTAGCTTGGGCTGTTAGAGGACAGGTTGGAAGTCCTTAGGTTGAATGTTCAATCCTAGTCCAAGGCATCTGAATTTTAAATGCCGCTGTCCAGAGTAGAGAGTGAAAGTCTCCGTGAAACACAACGGAAGTGTGAGGTGGAATAGCTCAGTAGCTCAAAGTAACGATAATAGCCAATTACGGCAGAGCTTATTATTATTACTATTATTATCATTATTATTATTATTATTATTATTACGGTTTTGATTAAATTTCTTGGTACCAGTCCCTGCCCGGGCCACTCAGAGGTTGCTTCTGGGCCGTATGTAGGCAGCAGGCAGCTAATTGAATAGGCCTGCACTAGACCTTTAATGAAGGTTGTAGTGTTCATAACATTTAATTTTCACTTCTCCGTTAAAATATTTATGCATTCAATTTGTAAACACATAATGGATATATCTTGTTGAATAGTAATGACTTTTGACCTGAACATTTCTGACTGAATCTGGTAGAAATAAATTAATCATACAAACTGAGAAGACAAAATGTCCAAAAACAGAGCAGTAATGTAGTGCTGTCAAAATGAACACTATGATAACAAATTGCCCTTAACATTAAATATATGTTTTTGACCAAATTACAGTTTTCTAGAGTGGTTATAATGGCCGGTAATTTAATTATACATCCAAACCTTCATAATCAATGGTTCCATCTCCATCTTTATCTGCCTCCTTCATCATCTGCTCTGCCTCGATCTCATTAAGTGGTTCCCCGGCATTCATCAGGACATATCTGGAAATGAATATTAAACATGAAGGAAGCAATGAAGGAGCATGATGATGACAAAAAAATGTTAACACTGAGTGAACACAGAGTGGTTGGCATGAGGTTTTTTGTTTCATGAATTTTAATTTGAGATCAAAATAAATAATTATTCATCACTTGGACAGTCGACAGTGCAGTGTAATCCAGTATGCAATTGGTCAATTTAAAAGGATGTACTTATTCCGTGTATAGTAAATGTTTATGCTTTTCTTTTCTATCATTGTGTTATTCTTACTTGAGTGTGTTCCAGTCTATATATCCTTTAGCCTCTTTGTCAAATACTTTAAAAGCAGCTCTGAGTTCAGTGTCCTGGTTCTTGGTTCTTTCGTGGTACAGTGCCATCAGACCCAGGAAGCTGTCACAGTTAAATATCCCTTTACCTGGAGAGTCATAGAAAAAATTCAGTTAAAACAAAACATGGTCATCTGAGTGCAGCAGAGTGACTTCTGTTTGCAAGTTTGGTGCACAGAAACAGAGTACACAGAGACTTTTTCATGCACATAAAGACATACAAACTGAACATATAAGAGAAAAACAATGCATTAAAAATCATGTTATTTTATGCGCAGTAAAATTATCTGACCACAACAATCTGCATCCCAACACACTGTATCTATGAAAAACTCCAGTGGTCACAATGTCCATGAACAAGCCATGATTCACAGCTAGAATTGAGTTAGAATTAATCATAATTTATTGCAAAGCAAACCACTTCTGCAGTACATCTATGACATCAAAATGCCAAAGTAAAATTAACAAAAATTGCAGCATTATATTTGTTCTTTCAGAGATAAAGGGGAGGTAGTAAGAGAGAAAGAGTAGAGAAAATGGGAAACAGGAAAATGACAAATTATATAATGTATTAGTTACGGCTAAGGTAAACAGGACTTAATTTGACATAGTATATTAGCAAAAGTCCATTTAAAAGATGTCCTCCTTAAATTAGCAGAAGGCGGAAAATCATGATGTAGTTTGATAGTATTCAAGACTTTGCTGGACACATAATGAAGCCCCTGACAGAGTCTGGAGATTTTAGATTCGTGTTCTTTCATGATTTGCAGTGTGATTAAATTTTGTGGTGATGGCAGTAAACTATTTATTATTATTAGGGGACTAATTGTTTGGAGAAGGCTGCAGGGAGGAAAGTGTGAAATTTAATTGGAAAAGAAACGACATCAATACATTTTAATTAAACAAACCTTTTCCAACTTCAGGATGTTAGCTTAACTCCAATACAGTTCTGTGTGTGTGTGTGTGTGTGTGTGTGTGTGTGTGTGTGTGTGTGGCACAACAATGGGAGCACCAAGTCTTTTTTATGGACTGAAACCATGACTGAAACCCACACATAATCACACAAAGTGAAACACTGACACCTAGTGATTGATGTGGTAACCTGCAGTATAAACAGAATACTGCAGTGTTAGATAATGGTGTGTGTGTGTGTTTTTTTTTAAATAATGCATTCTGGAAAAGGTTTCTCTCTTCAAAAGGTGCATGAGTTCGCTTTATAAATCTTAACTCTATCTAGATTTGCAATTAAAGTACAGATTTGATCAGCTGCAAAGAGTAATATGTTTTAGGATTAATTTATCTTAACCTTATCAGAGCAAGTGGCAAACATCCTTTTTATTTACCTTCCTACACTTTAGCTAATGGTAATGGCAAACTTTAGCCGATGTGAATGGCCAGGCTATCATTACCCAGCCTAATTTAGCACTTTAATTACGTACATGGTTTGGGCTGAACTTTAGTCAGATAAAGCTTCTACTTCCATCCTCACCTCCGGGTACAGCTCAGAATACATGCAAGTCATTGCTTATAAAGGCATTGCTCAAATGCATTTACAGGTGTTGCTCATGCATGGAAATAGAACCATTTCATGATATAATACAGTCAAATACACCACCAACACTATGGTCTCAAAAATAGATGAATCAGTGGCTTTCTGACACAGTGTAACCAAAATAATTAACGTTGCTTTAAAAGATATGTGATTTATGGCATGGCTGTTGTACTGGATTACATTTTATTATACATATACCTTATAAAGTGGAAGTTCAAGAGATATACAGTCACAGGTGTGTGTAATACCCTAACTACCTAATCTATATTATCTTAAACGTAGTCAGTGGCCATGAGAGCTCAGAAAGCCAAGTTAAAGGTCCAGTGTGTAAGATTTGGAGGGAATTAGTGGCATCTAGCGGAGATGATTGCAGATTGCAAACAGCCAAAACTTCTCCTGGTTATAATTCCTTCAGCACTCATTGTTAAAGAGGTTTTTCCCGGGGCCCAAATTATCCGCAGAGGTCTCCCTCTCTCCAAAAACAAACAGACCCAATGATTAAAACTGGTTAAAACACAGAATAAATCAGTTTCATGTTACAAATAAATGTTTCTCCTACACTGTTCAGCTCATTGCAGGTCTGC